GGTCGCGCGCACGAAGAATCGGCCGCGCGCGGGCGGCTAGCGAGGCGCGCGCGCGAAAAATCGGCCGCGCACGGGCGGCTAGCGAGTCGCGCGCGTTAAAAACGAGCCGCGCGCGGGTGGCTAGCGGGCTGCGTGCGCGCGGTAGGTAGAGGCGCACGAGGGCGCGCGGTAGGTAGAGGCGCACGAGGGCGCTAAGGCGCACGAGGGCGTGCGGTAGGTAGAGGCGCACAAGGGCGCTAAGGCGCACAAGGGCGCTCGGTAGTGAGAGGCGCACGAGGGCGCACGAGGGCGCACGATAGGTAGGTAGGTAGCGGTGGGCCCTAGGAGCGGTCCTAGCAAAGGACCTGCTCTGATACCATGTCAGAATGAACAGGCAGGAATGATGAACTAGCAAGGATTGTGAGTACAAATATGAAACCCTAATGTTGTGACCCCCCTATAGGCTAACCCACTACAGCCTACACAAATACAACATGTATAATGTTTGACACGCCGAACTTTTCTTCCCGCAAGAACCAAGCCGAAAAGGCTCTAGTATGTGTATTTGAATATGGGCCACTAGAATATGCAATAAAATTCACGTTGTTGAATTCTATTCCCTACGCCTATAAGGATTCACGCGCTAATTTTGCACTTGGCGCCAAAACAGTCGAAATCGTGGGCGCCGAACTTCTTTTCGCGCAAGAACCAAACTAAAAAATGCTCTAGTATGTGTATTTGAACATGGGCCACTCGAATATGCAATAAAATTCAAGTTGTTGAATGCTTTTCCCTACGCCTATATGGATTTACGCGCTTTTTTGTTATGCACTTGGCGGCAAAAACGGCCGAAATCGTGGGCGCCGAACTTTTCTTCGCGCAAGAACCAAGCTGAAAAGGCTCTAGTATGTGTATTTGAATATGGGCCACTCGAATATGCAATAAGCTTCAAGTTGTTGAATGCTTTTCCCTACGCCTATATGGATTCACGCGCTTTTTAGGCACTTGGCGGCAAAAACGGCTGAAATCGTAGGCGCCGAACTTTTCTTCACGCAAAAACCAAGCCGAAAAGGCTCTAGTATGTGTATTTGAACATGGGCTACTCGAAAATGCAATAAGCTGCAGGTTGTTGGATGCTTTTCCCTACGCCTATAGGGATTCACGCGCTTTCTAGGCAGTTGGCGGCAAAAACGGCCGAAATCGTGGGCGCCGAACTTTTCTTCCCGCAAGAATCAAGCCGAAAAGGCTCTAGTATGTGTATTTGAACATGGGCCACTCGAATATGCAATGAAATTCAGGTTGTTGATTGCTTTTCCCCACCCCTATAGGGATTCATGCGCTTTCTAGGCACTTGGCGGCAAAAACGGCCGAAATCGTGGGCGCCGAACTTTTCTTCGCGCAAGAACCAAGCTGAAAATGCTCTAGTATGTGTATTTGAACATGGGCCACTCGAATATGCAATAAAATTCAGGTTGTTGAATGATTTTCCATACGCCTATAGGGATTTATACCCTTTCTAGGCAGTTGGCGGCAAAAACGGCCGAAATCGTGGGCGCCGAACTTTTCTTTCCGCAAGAACCATGCCAGAAAGGCTCTAGTATGTGTATTTGAACATGGGCCACTAGAATATGCAATAAAATGCAGGTTGTTGTATGCTTTTCCCTACACCTATGGGGATTCATGCACTTTTATTGCACTTGGCGGCAAAAACGGCCGAAATCGTGGGCGCCGAATCCTTTTTCCCGCAAGAACCAAGCCGAAAAGGCTCTATTATGTGTATTTGTGCGGAGATAACTATAGCAACGGGAGCTAGACTACGGGCTAGGCACGGGTGCTCGTATGATCTCTGCGTTCGTTGGTCCTTAGTCGTTTTCCTAGTGCACACACTGCTTGCTAGTTCACAAGGCAAATTGGCAAGAGTTTCACTAGAGAAAGTTGACAATAATGATACAAAGAAGTTGGCAAGGCAAGACTACATCAGAGCTAGCATGCAAGCAGGTCGACTGCCAGCGCAGCACGGTCGACCGCGTGCCAGCACGACTTGGTCGACCGCGCTCCAGCAGTGCAGAGGCGCGGCTTGCCAATGCTGCAGGTCGACGGCGTGACAACCGTGCAAGTCGACGGCGTGCCAGCGTTGCTCCTGCAGTCCAGCATCGCACCAGCTTCGCAGGTGCTCGTAGGTGATTGGCGCGCACTGCTTCGTCACCTGCACAGCGCACGCACCAAGTCCATCTTGTGCTGACGACTGCATCTCATCTGCCAGGTCGACCTCGGGATACCACCACCGAGGTCGTCCTCGCCAACCTCGCCTGGGCGACCTTCGCGTGCCTTCGCAGACCCTCGTCACCCAGGTAACCTGGTCGACCGGGCAACCACGTCGACCAGGTGCTCCTGTGCGTGCCTGTCGACCTCCCAAGTCGACGGCCACCTCCAGTCGACCTCACCAGGTCGACCACGCCCTCTGGTCGACCAACTCCAGGTCGGCGACACTCCTGGTCGACCACCTCCAGGTCGACCAGCACTCCTGTTGGCCGACCACCCAAGTCGGCTACCCCAGGTCGGCGTCCCCAAGTCGACGCCCTCTGCAGGTCGACTTCTCAAGTCGACCACTCGAAGTTGGCGCCCTCCCGAAGTCGGCGCCCTTGCAGTGGCTCCCGTGCAGGTCGACCAACCTCGTCGACCAGCTCGCCCACTGCTGCAGGTCGGCTGCACCCCTACACCCGACCAGGAAGTCGGCTCCGCCCAAGCGAGGACGGGGCCAACATCCAACTCCCGTTGACAATTTGAACATGGGCCACTCGAATATGCAATAACATTCAGATTGTTGAATGCTTTTCCCTACGCCTATAGGGATTCATGCGTTTTCTAGGCACTTGGCGGCAAAAACGGCCGAAATCGTGGGCGCCGAACTTTTCTTCGTGCAAGAACCAAGCTGAAAAGGCTCTAGTATGTGTATTTGAACATGGGCCACTCAAATATGCAATAAAATTCAGGTTGTTGAATGCTTTTCCCTACGCCTATAGGGATTCACGCACTTTCTAGGCAGTTGGCGGCAAAAACGGCCGAAATCGTGGGCGCCGAACTTTTTTCCCGCAAGCACCAAGCCGTAGTATGTGTATTTGAACATGGGCCACTCAAATATGCAATTCAGGTTGTTGAATGCTTTTCCCTACGCCTATAGGGATTCACAGGCTTTTTTGTTATGCACTTGGCGGCAAAAACGGCCGAAATCGTGGGCGCCAAACTTTTCTTCGCGCAAGAACCAAGATGAAAATGCTTTAGTATGTGTATTTGAACATGGGCCACTCGAATATGCAATAAAATTCAGGTTGTTGAATGCTTTTCCCTACGCCTATAGGGATTCATGCGCTTTCTAGGCACTTGGCGGCAAAAACGGCCGAAATCGTGGGCGCCGAACTTTTCTTCGCGCAAAAACCAAGCCGAAAAGGCTCTAGTATGTGTATTTGAACATGGGCCACTCCAATATGCAATAAAATTCAGGTTGTTGAATGCTTTTCCCTACGCCTATAGGGATTCACACGCATTCCAGGCACTTGGTGGCAAAAACGGCCGAAATCGTAGGCGCCGAACTTTTCTTCACGCAAGAACCAAGCTGAAAAGGCTCTAGTATATGTATTTGAACATGGGCCACTCGAATATGCAATAAAATTCAGGTTTTTTTAATGTTTTTCCCTACGCCTATAGGGATTCACGCGCTTTCTTGGCACTTGGCGGCAAAAACGGCCGAAATCGTGGGCGCCGAACTTTTCTTCGCGCAAGAACCAAGCTGAAAATGCTCTAGTATGTGTATTTGAACATAGGCCACTCGAATATGCAATAAAATTCAGGTTGTTGAATGCTTTTTCCTACGCCTATAGGGATTCACGCGCTTTCTAGGCACTTGGCGGCAAAAACGGCCGTAATCGTAGGCTCTGAACTTTTCTTTCGCTCAAAAACCAAGCTGAAAAGGCTCTAGTATGTGTATTTGAACATGGGCCACTCGAATATGCAATAAAATTCAGGTTGTTGAATGCTTTTCCTTCGCCTACCAATAGGGATTCATGCGCTTTCTAGGCACTTGGCGGCACTAACGGCCGAAATCGTAGGCGCCGAACTTTTCTTCGCGCAAGAACCAAGCCGAAAAGGCTCTATTATGTGTATTTGAACATGGGCCACTCGAATATGCAATAAAATTCAGGTTGTTGAATGCTTTTCCCTACGCCTATAGGAATTCACGCGCTTTCTAGGCACTTGGCAGCAAAAACGGCCGAAATCGTGAACGCCGAACTTTTCTTCGCGCAAGAACCAAGCTGAAAATGCTCTAGTATGTGTATTTGAACATGGGCCACTCGAATATGCAATGAAATTCAGGTTGTTGAATGCTTTTCCCTACGCCTATAGGGATTCACGCGCTTTTTTGGCACTTGGCGGCAAAAACGGCCGAAATCGTGGGCGCCGAACTTTTCTTCGCGCAAGAACCAAGCTGAAAAGGCTCTGGTATGTGTATTTGAATATGGGCCACTCGAATATGCAATAAAATTCAGATTGTTGAATGCTTTTCCCTACGCCTATAGGGATTCACGCGCTTTGTAAGCACTTGGCGGAAAAAACGGCCGAAATCGTAGGCGCCGAACTTTTCTTCGCGTAAGAGCCAAGCCGAAAAAGCTCTAGTACGTGTACTTGAATATGGGCCACTCGAATATGCAATAAAATTCAGGTTGTTCAATGCTTTTCCCTACACCTATAGGGATTCACGCGCTTTTTAGGCACTTGGCGGCAAAAACGACCGAAATCGTAGGCGCCAAACTTTTCTTCGCGCAAGAACCAAGCTGAAAAGGCTCTAGTATGTGTATCTGAACATGGGCCACTCGAATATGCAATAAAATTCAGGTTGTTGAATGCTTTTCCCTACGTCTACAGAGATTCATGCGCTTTCTAGGCACTTGGCGGCAAAAACGGCCGAAATCGTGGGCGCCGAACTTTTCATGACTAGTGACTTCAGTGTGTATATAAACCACCCATTATTGCAAACGAGCAAACAATACAAATATTGAATGCAAGTCCAGTGCAGTCTTGTCGAGCTTCAAGGAGCATCTGTAAGCCTCTCGAAGCACCCCCACAGATTCCTCTCCACCTCTTCCAACCCCTGAGCCTGCTGCACTTGTTCCATCACCCGCCTTCTTCCCCCCAACAGATGAGCCAGCGGATGCCAGGGCAAGGCCCAGCAAGGCCTTCAGGTGTGACTGTACGAGAAGGCACAGCCTCTCAGACGTGTGGCTGTAAAGAGGGGACGCCTTGGTTTGAGCTTGCTTAGAATACTTCATGGTTTTGGAATCGGGAACCGGGGGGGAAGTGGGGCCTGGGGGTGGTGATAATGCATCCTGCGCTGCCATGAGGTGCCTTAGCGCTGCGAGGTGACTCTGGTGGGGCACAGGGGAGGGGAGGGGTTGAGATGGGAGAAGGGAGGCGAATATATTCGTCTCAAAAGTGACAGAGCAGCCTGTGCTGCCATGAGGTGTCTTAGCACTGCGAGGGTCACTCTGTTTGGGAATAGGAGAGGGGTGGGCAGGACAAGAAACGAGGTAGAAGAAAACGAGCAATTTTTGGGCGCATCAAAAATAGATTGTGAAGAAAAAAAGCAGCACCAGCCAGCATTCTCTCTCCATCAGTATCGTCACTCAGTAAATCACAAGTGCATATAGCCACAAATGTGTTGGCACATGCAAGACCACAGAGCACAGCCAACCCCCTCTTTGAGAGCATACCTGCCATTGCTGCTTCTGCCCGCCCAGACCAAACACTAGCGCCGCCCTCTCCATGCATATAGTCACAAACATGTCTGGATGCGCGTCCGCTCGATAGAAGCACGCTGCCTTGTGCCAGTGCACCTCTGCTAGTGCTGCCAGACGCTTCTTCTGCTGCTGCCAATCAGCCACACCTCCTGCTGCAGCTCCTGCAGCAGCAGCATCAGCAGAAGCAGCACGCAGGGCACAGTCCCTGTGGTAATCAGCAAGATGGAAGTGAGCGAAGGCAGCTTCTTGCTGCCTGCTTGGCCCGAGCGACTCATACAGAATCAGAGCCTTACTCAAGGCATCCTTGGCCGAAACATAACCTCGCACCTCCCACTCCAACTCACTCCCCTCACACCCCTCCCCTGCCTCCCCTCCCCCTTTCTCCCTCACTCCATCCCCATCCCCGCTCTCGTTCTCCACCCTCCCTCCACTGAACCGACCAGAACTATCCGCATTCTCTCTCCTATTCCCAGTTGCGGCTGTTGGAAGGCCCAGGCGTTCCGCAGCGGCCATAAGCATGCCGACTCTTAGGTAAGTGTGGGCAAATTGCAGATTCACCTCATTCCAGATCATACCATACGCCCGTGCTGCTGCTGCCTCACTCCCATCCCCAACTCCACCCTTAACCCCCCCTGCTCCTTCTACCCCCCCTGCTCCTCCTGCTCTTCCCACTACGTCCTTACTCCCATCGGCAGCACCATCAGCCTTTCCTTTTCCCACGCTCCTCATCAGCTCTCTACGCGCATCCCCATACCACCCAAGGGCACGCATATACCTCTGCCTCGCTCTCTCAAACTTGCTCAGTAAATCTGCACCAGCACCAGCACCGGCAGAACCACTTTCACCATTGTTAACATTTGTGGCAGCATCCCAAGACCCAGCAGCAGCAGCACCAGAAGCAGCAGGAGCAGCAGCAGAAGCAGTGGGAGCAGCACTGAATCCCACGCCAGAAGCACCAGCTTGCTCAGAGCAAATCAGAACAGGAGCAGCCAGCAGCTCAGCATCTGCCCTCTCCCCATGGCCGAGATTGCAGAGCACGAGAGCAGCATTGGGGGCATCTCCAGCCTCCCAAAAGGCCTCTGCTGCCGCCACCAGTGCTGCCCGTGCAGCTGCTATGGTGGCGTGTGGGGTAGTGGGAGGTGGAGGGGGGGAGGAGGCAGAGGACGAGGAGGAAGAGGAGGGAGGGGAATTGAGAAGCCATCGGCCTCGCTCGTTGCAAGCCCAACCGCGTTTCCTCATAACCGCCTGCTTGCTTGTCGCGTCCTGATTGGCCGAGAACGCGGCCGCTGCCCGGGAGTAAAACTCGGCCGCTGATTGGTAGTTGGCGTTCGGGTCGAGCACAAACGGGCGGCCAAAGCAACGCGTTTTCCAGCTGCTTGCAGAGGCGGCAGCAGGGGGGAGGGCTGATGGTGCTGAAGGTGCTGATGCTGCTGATGCTGCTGGTGCTGATGCTGACGACGATGGTGCTGATGGGGAAGGATGTGGGGAGTCACCGTTGTCCCGCCGTGCTCGTTCGTTCAAGCAGCTACAGCCGCTCCTCCCACACACGCTGCAGACAGTACCGTCCATACCACCCCTGCCCTTACTACCAATCTCCTGACCACTATCCCCTGCCCCTGCTGCTGCCCCTGCCCCATGCCCACCACCCTCCCGCTGCCTCCTCTTCTTCCTCACCCGTCTCACCTCCCTCGCCACCTCCTCCTCTATCCTCAGCTCTGCACTCCCAGACGCCTCCCCCTCCGCAGCCACTGCAGCAACCCGTGCTTTCAAACTGCCCTGCTCCTTCCTCCCCTCGCCAACCCTCGCCCCTTGATTCGGGTCACTGAGTCTCTCCTCTTGCTTCGACTCACCGAGCCTTGCCTCTTGCTTCAGATCACCGAGCCTAGCTGCTTGCTTTGGCTCCGGCCCCACACCGACCCTAGTCTCTAGGTCCACATATAAATCTCCTACCAGCTCCCACAACTCACCCCAGAAGCTCCGCCCACTCACACGCCTAGACAGCCACATGCTACCCTCCCACCCTGCACATTCTCCCCCTCCTGCCAACACCTTACCTGCTGCTTCTTCCCTGCCCACCCCCACCCTTTTTAGCCCCGGAGAGTCAACTCCACGGCTCTGCCTTTCATTCTTGCCAGCTGACTGACTGGACTTCGCAGACACCTTGGTTTTAACCTTACCGAGAGATTTTGTGACGGTATTTGGTGTGACAGAACGTGACGCAGCAGCAGCACGGGGCACAGGAGCGTCAGATGTGGAACAGCCAGAATCTGACAGCCTCAATCTGTCCTCCACCCTCACCTCCTTTACAGTCTGACTCGCTACATGCAACGCATTTCCTCCTTCTGCCCCTCCTTCACCCTTCTTCTGCTTCCGATCTTTTCCTTTCGCTTTCTTCCTCCCAGCTCTCGCCCCTCTCTCCGCTCTCCCTTCCTCCTTCTCGCCACCAGCACCCCTGGAACCTGGCAAGCCTGGATTGCCTGAAACCTCGGTCTCCCTTTCACTCCCCTCACCCCCAACCCCCCATCCTTCCAACCCCCGAAACCTAGCCTCCTCCCCTTCCTCCCCGTTCCCCTCCTCTCCCTCTCCCCCCTCTCCTCCCTCTTCCCCCTCCCCTTCCCCTCCCAAGCCTAGATCCTCCAAGTCCCAAGGCCACCCCCCCACCACCACACATGCCAGCTCAGCGGCTCTTAAAGCCCTCCCCACCTGCCCATCCCCTTTATAAGCTTCTGCCAGGCCCAGATAAGCCTCTCCCAGAAGTGCTATCAGCTTGCATATGCGCCGATCGGTAACCGCAGTGGTGCTGCTGGTAACCGCACTGCAGCTGGTAACCACACCACCGCTGGTAACAGCTGCTGCAGCAGAACCAGCAGAGGCAGCAGAAGCAGCAGAAGCAGCTCCAACGCTGCTACAGGTGCTACCCAGGGAGCAAGACGAGCGTGCGTCCTCATCCCCCTCCCTCCCTTCCTCCTCCCCCCACTCCTCCCCTGCCTCCACTCCTCCCTCCATTTTCCCCATCCGCTGTCTTCCCCTCCCCTTCGCGCCCCTCCGCCCCTTCCCCTTGCTCCTCCTCCTCTCCTTCTCAACCACTCCAAACGCCCTCCCATCCCCGCAAACCGCACCAAACCCCTGGGAAAGGCAGCAGGATTCCCCACAGAGACACATACCCGAACTAGAGTACGCTCTGAGGCTGTGGAGGAGGGACAGAGGGGGATTCATTAGGCTCTCCTGGGTGTGAGTCAGCAGGTGCCGCTGCCACCTCAGCGCACCGATTGCTTGCGTGGCATGCCATACAGATGCCAGCCGGACCGCTACTGCACTCTCTGCATCGCCGACAGCAGGAGGGGAACGGGTAGGCAGTGGTGATTTTGGTGGTGGTGGTGCTGCTGCTGCCGCCTCTGTTGTTGCTTCTGCCACTGCGCTCTCTGCATCGCCGACAGCAGGGGGAGGGGAACGGGCTGGCAGCAGCGGTTTTGATTTTGGTGCTGCATGTGAACCTGTCGCTGCTTCTGCACCCGCTGTTTCTTCTGCCCCTGCTGCTTCTTCTGCACCTGCTGTTTCTTCTGCCCCTGCTGCTTCTTCTGCACCTGCTGTTTCTTCTGCCCCTGCTGCTTCTTCTGCACCTGCTGTTTCTTCTGCCCCTGCTGCTTCTTCTGCACCTGCTGTTTCTTCTGCCCCTGCTGCTTCTTCTGCACCTGCTGTTTCTTCTGCCCCTGCTGCTTCTTCTGCACCTGCTGTTTCTTCTGCCCCTGCTGCTTCTTCTGCACCTGCTGTTTCTTCTGCCCCTGCTGCTTCTTCTGCACCTGCTGTTTCTTCTGCCCCTGCTGCTTCTTCTGCACCTGCTGTTTCTTCTGCCCCTGCGGCTGCTTTTGCTCCTGCCACGTTTACCTCTGCTGCTGCTTCTGCATTTGCTGCTGCTTCTGCATCTGCTGCTGCTTCTGCCCCTGCTGCTGCTTGTGCTACAGCACCCTCTGCGTGTCCCACTGTAGGGAGGGGAGGGGGCAACATTGGGGGTATTGGTGCTGCTGCTGCTTCATTTTCTGCTGCTGCTGCTGCTTCTTGTTGTGCTTCAACCGCTGCTTCTGACTCAGTTGCTGCCACAACCTTTGATTTCTCTGGTACTGGTTCATTTGCTACAGTTGCACCCGATTCCTGTGCTATAGCTGCCCCTGATTCCTTTTCTACAGTTGCACCCAGTTTCTGTGCTACTGCTACAGCTGCCCCTAACCCATGCGCTGCTGGCGAGCTGATAGTGAGCTGCTGGCTCGTTGGTAAAACGGGAACCACAGCCAGGTGCTGATTGGCTAGGGGAATTACAGCTAACTGTTGATTGGCTTCGGGAATCACAGCCAAGGGTTGGTCGGCTCTTGGAATGACAGTTAAGTGTGCGTTGCCCATGGGAACAATGGCCAAGTGTTGAGAGCCCACATCTGCAGAAGCAGCTGCAGCATCAGCAGTAGCAGGATCAGCAGCAGCAGCATCTTTGGGATAAGTGATAGCAAGGCGAGAAGACAGGGTGGGAGCAGAAGGCGATTCGGAGGAAGGGGTGGAAAAGGGTAAAAGATTAGACCGGGGTAGATGGGAGGGTAAGAACGTGATTGGTTGGAGAAAGGGGAGGTGGAGCGAGGAGGGATGCGGGAGCGACGGCTGGAGAGAGGGATGGAGGAGGGGGGGACGGGTCATGGGAGGGTGAGGGAGAGGGGTATGGGGAGCTGACGACGAGTGGAGGAGGGGCGGGTGGGGAAGCCGGGGTTGCAGGAGGGAGGAGTGGAGGTGCGAGGGTTGGAGGAGAGATGAAAGCTCGTCCTGTGGGATCTGCAGGAAGAAACGTGCCATGTACTCATGGGCTGTTGCTCGCAGACCCTGGGGGGAAGAAGAGGCGGAAAAAGAAAAGGACGAGGCAGGGGGTGGGGTTGGAGGAGAGATGTGCTGGATCTGCAGGAAGAAAGGGCAGCAACATTAGAGCTTACCGGAAGGGGCACTAGGGGACTGTACGTGCTTACCGTGTGGTCTTTCTGGTGCAGCCGCTGCAGGCAGTACCCGAATAGCTGGGCCATCCTGTGGCGGTCCCGCGGCACGTGCGAGTCGGAGAGGCGAAGGGCCAGGCGGTAGAGCAGCATGGCGAGGGGCAGGGAGAGGTGCGAGGGGGGGTACCAGGGGGGGCACTAGGGGGAGCGCTAGGGGGAGCACTAGGGGGAGCTAGGGGGCTGATGAGAGCTTACCGGGTGGTCTTTCTGGTGCAGCAGCTGCAGGCAGTATCCAAACAGCTGCGCCGTCCTGTGCCTGTCTCGAGGCACGTGTGAGTCTGAGAGGCGGAGGGCCAGGCGGTAGAGCAGCATGGCGAGGGGCAGAGAGAGGCGCGTGGGGGAGCACTAGGCGGAACTATGGGGCACTAGAGGGCACTAGGGGACCCAAAGGGGCAGTGGGGCGATGAAAGCTCACCGGGTGGTCCTTCTGGTGCAGCAGCTGCAGGCAGTATCCAAACAGCTGCGCCGTCCTGTGCCTGTCTCGAGGCACGTGTGAGTCTGAGAGGCGGAGGGCCAGGCGGTAGAGCAGCATGGCGAGGGGCAGAGAGAGGTGTGCCGCTACAGCCGGATCGAGAGACGGTAAGGGGGAGTTACCTTCTGCTTGCCCCCTTGCCCGCCCCCCTGCTGCCTCCCCTGCTCCTTCCCTTGCACGTCCCCCTCTTGCCTCTGCTGCCTCTCCCGTTGGCTCTCCGAAGGATGAGGAGCTTAAGGAGGAGGAAGAAGTCCTGCTGACGTGGCTGAGTGTCGCTGCTGACGCAGAGGGATGGGCGGCGAGGGAGGGGGCGAGGCGGAGCGGTGCAGATGGGTTCTGGAGTGGTGGGGTGAGGTCGAATAGCTGCAGCACGTCAGTGCCAGCATCCTTGCGCAGCTGCAAGGGGGGTGGATCCGGGGGGGGACGTGGCAAGGAAGGGTTGAGAAGGAGAACATAACTCCAGGAGAATATTCATACAACCAGTGACCCACATGCATCAAGTATTCTAGAACCTGGACTCACCCAGTAGGTGCCGGGGCTGCGCGCGCACTTGTCCTGCAGGAACCCCAGGATGGCGAGTGCACTGTCACTCACAGCGTGCGGGAATGAAAGAGGGTGATTGATCTCCAGCCAGGAAGCACTACCAGCACATGCACTCACCCAGTAGGTGCCGTGCCGGGGCTGCGCGCGCACTTGTCCTGCAGGAACCCCAGAATGGCGAGCGCACTGTCCCTAGGCGACTTTTGAGTCGACTCAAAAGTAACCCCAGGATGGCGAGCGCACAGTCCCTCACAGCGGTGGGGGAAAACCAAGGAGGGCGGCTTGTGCCTCTCACAGCACAGGCTGCACCTGACTGACAGGTTATGGGGACTCAGCTACATTGGGACTCAGACAAACTCACCCAGTAGGTGCCGGGGCTGCGTGCACATTTCTCCTGCAGGAACCCCAAAATCGCGAGTGCGCTGTCCCTCACGGCGTGGGGGTAAAACGACGCCGAGCCATCTCTTGCAAGGCACTTGAGCAGAAACACGTCGTCACAGTGCAGCAGCTCGTAGCCCTCTGAAGCACCACCTCTCCCAACCTATCCCAACCTCTCCCAACCTCTCCCAACCTGGTAGATCAGCAGCAAGGATTTGGACTCACCCAGTAGGTGCCAGGGCTTCGGGCACATTTCTCCTGCAGGAACGCCAGAATCGCAAGTGCACTGTCCCTCACAGCATGCGGGTAGAAGGAAGCCGAGCCGTCTCTTGCGAGGCACTTGAGCAGAAACACGTCGTCGCAGTGCAGCAGCTCGTAGCCCTGCACGGCGCCCTTGTGGTGGTAGCAGATGGCTAGCTCAGGAACCCCCGCCATGAGATTGTCAAGCCATATGTCCAGCCATACGAGAGGGGAGCTCTGCGTGTGTGCGGGAAGAGGGAAGGACAGACATTGCAAAGCTTCTCAGGACAGAATCCCGCCTTGAAACGGAGAAGTGTGGCTTTGAGAGGCCTTGAGGGTTGCTCCTAGAGGATGAACAAGTCGTCACAGTGCAGCAGCTCGTAGCCCTGCACGGCGCCCTTGTGGTGGTAGCAGATGGCGAGTTCCGGCACCCCCGCCATCAGGTTATCCAGCCATATATCGAGCCACACCAGTGGGGAACTCTGGATAAGGGCACATGGGTGGGTGGGCGGGAAGGGGTAGTTGCAGCAATTGAGGCGCCTCACGAGCACAGCAGTGCAGCAGCTCGTAGCCCTGCACGGCGCCCTTGTGGTGGTAGCAGATGGCTAGCTCTGGTACTCCTGCCATGAGATTGTCAAGCCAGATATCCAGCCATACGAGAGGAGAGCTCTGGGACAGTGAACCGGAGGGGAAGGACGCACGTTGGAAAGCCTTTTAGAGCCAGATGTCCAGCCACACAAGTGGGGAATCCTGTGCGTGTGTGTGGGACGGGAGGGAGCACATTGAGAGGCCTCTTAGGTGAAATCCCCTCTTTGAACGGAGACAAATGAACGGAAATCTCTCCCACTTGAGCAGAAACATGTTGTCGCATTGCAGTACAGAAGCTCGCAGCCTTGCACAGCGCCCTGATCGGCTCGGAACCGATCGTAGTGAGAGGCTTCACAGGGGGAGCACCCTGAGTCTGAGGTTGTGAATTTTGAGTACAGTTAAACAAATCACAGATTTTTGTGTCACCGTTATTCCAGCAAGATCGTACCTCATGCTCCACGTCAACGAGGTGAAGGCTGACTGCAGCATGCTTCTCATTGCTGAACAGAATCAGGTTGACTTTTGAGTTGACTCAAAAGTCAACTCGTCCACCAGGTGAAGGCTGACAATCACATGATTCTCATTGCTGAACAGAATCAGGTCGCTTCCCAAAAACGCAAACACCACAAGAGCATATAAGACACAATACACCCTGAATGAAAAGGTGTAAAAGCAAAACTTCTTTCCTCATGCTCCACGTTGACCAGGTGAAGGCTGACTGCAGCATGCTTCTCATTGCTGAACAGAATTAGATTTCCTGTCAAGGGCACTTCAAGTATTGTCAGCTTGCAACAAACAGCAAGATCATACCTCATGCTCCACGTCGACAAGGTGAAGGCTGACTGCAGCATGCTTCTCATTGCTGAACAGAATCAGATCGCATCCCAGGAACAGCCTCAGGTGCTCAAACTGCCAGAACACCACTCGAGAAAACCCATCTGCCCCTGTTTCTGCCTCCGCTCCTCCCCCTCCCGTTTCCATTCGTTTCCCCCCACCTCCCGCCCCTCCTCCTGTTTCCATTCGTTTCCTTGCTCCTCCTCTGCTACCACTGCTCAGCCTTCTCCCACGCTTGCTGTACGGTATGCCTTTCCCAGAGCCCTCCCAACGCTCATACCTCTCCTCTTGATTCTGCTCTTCCTCCTCTTTCTCCTCTTCCACTTCCAATTCCCCTTGAATGCCTTCAATTTGATTCCTCAAACCACCAGTGCAAGAAGCGTCGTTCCCAACAGCCTTCTGCAGCCCATACTGTTGCTGCAGCTGCTGTTCTTGCTGCTGGCATTCCATCTGCTGCTGACTGCTGTGATCGCACACTCGCACCACACCTTCCGCATCCCCAACAAAATCAGTAAAAGATTTTGGGAGCGGCTCAGAATGATGCTGCTGCTGCTGTTGCTGATGATGCTCCATCTGCCGCTGCTCCTGCTGCTGCCGATTCCTGTATTCGCACACTCGCACCACGCCCTTCGCATCCCCCACGAAATCCGTGAAGGCTTTTTTAGGCACCTCAGAAGTGTGCTGCTGCTGCTGCTGCTGTTGCTGATGTTGATCCATCTGCTGCTGCTCCTGCTGCTGCCGATTCCTGTGATCGCACACTCGCACCACGCCCTCCGCATCTGCCACAAAATCCGTGAACGCTTTTGGTAGGGCAGCAGCATTAGGCAGTCCTTTTCTTGAACCATTGCTGTTGCTGCTACCCCTGCTGGTGCTGTTTTGGTTGCTGCTATTGTGACCGCTGCTGCTACTGCTACCAGTACCACCAGAACCGGCAGACGAGCCAATGGCACTAGTGCTGCCGCTCCTGATGCCTCTGCCGGTAGCTTTGTTGCTACAGGACGCGCCCTGTTGACTGTGTAACTCCGGGGTTACCAGCTTGGAGAGTAGAAGCGCCTCGCGCTGCCCTCTGGAGGTCCGAGCGACCTTGTGGGAGTCCACACAGCCAGGCTCGGAGCTGAGAAGAGCATGGGGGGACAGGAGGGTCAGGATGAGCGGAAGAAGGAGAGTGAAACTCTGAGTTACCAGCTTGAGAAGGAGCAATGCCTCTCACTGCCCTCTGGACGTCCGTGCGACCTTGTGGGAGTCCACACAGCCAGGCTCGGAGCTGCGAGGAGACGATGGGAAGGAGATGAGACGAAGAAGGAGAGTGAAACTCTGGGTTACCAGCTTGAGAAGGAGCAATGCCTCTCACTGCCCTCTGGACGTCCGTGCGACCTTTTGGGAGTCCACACAGCCAGGCTCGGAGCTGAGAGGGAATGAGCGGACGGGGAGGGTGGGGATGAGTAGGAAGAACGAGGGCGGCGCACGCTGATAAAGCGGCTCGGCTTGGAAAAAGGCAGCTTGAACAGGGCCGCGGGCGCTATGGGTGGATTGAGGTGCCTCAGAAGCAGCATCCACTCACCCGGGGTTGAGCACGAGCGTGCGGCCGACGCAGTGCACGCTCACCAACAGGCTGGCCTTTGAGAACGGCAGTTTGAACAGATGCTTGAGCACGCCCTCCCCCAGCAGCAGCAGCATTCACTCACTTTCTCACTCACCCTGGGTTCAGAACAAGGGTGCGGCCGACGCGGTGCACGCTGACGAACAGGCTGGCCTTTTGAAAACGGCAGTTTGAACAGCTGCTTGAGCACGTCCGCGGGCGCTATCACGTCCACCGCGTCCTCCGAGGCCTCAGAAGCAGCCCTCACTCACGCAGGAGCAGCATTTACTCACCCTGGGTTGAGAACAAGGGTGCGGCTGACGCGGTGCACGCTGACGAACAGGCTGGCCTTGGAGAAGGGCAGCTTGAACAGCTGCTTGAGCACGTCCGCAGGCGCTATCACGTCCACCTCAGGTAACGTTTCACCCAGCAGCAGAGCAGCAGCAGCAGCAGCAGCAGCAGCAGCAGCAGCAGCAGCAGCAGCAGCAGCAGCAGCAGCAGCAGCAGCAGCAGCAGCAGCAGCAGCAGCAGCATTCACTGACTGACTCACCCTGGGTTGAGAACGAGAGTGCGGCCAACGCGGTGCACGCTCACGTACAGGCTGGCCTTGGAGAAGGGCAGCTTGAACAGCTGCTTGAGCACGTCCGCAGGCGCTATCACGTCCACCTCAGGTAACGTTTCACCCAGCAGCAGAGCAGCAGCAGCAGCAGCAGCAGCAGCAGCAGCAGCAGCAGCAGCATTCACTGACTGACTCACCCTGGGTTGAGAACGAGAGTGCGGCCGACGCGGTGCACGCTCACGTACAGGCTGGCCTTGGAGAAGGGCAGCTTGAAGAGCTGCTTGAGCACGTCCGCAGGCGCTATCACGTCCACCTCAGGGTAAGGCTTTCTCCAGCAGCAAGAACAGCAGCTGCAGCAGCATTCACTGACTGACTCACCCGGGGTTGAGTTCGAGCGTGAAGCAAACATGGTGATGGTGCACGCTGACAAACAGGCTGGCCTTGGAAAAGGGCAACTTGAACAGCTGCTTGAGCACGTCCGCGGGCGCTATCACGTCCGCCGCTCCTCACAGGTCTGGGAAGCAGCACTCACATCACATCACATTTACTCACCCAGCAGCACCACGCACTCACCCGGGGTTGAGAACAAGAGTGCGGCCGACGCGGTGCACGCTGACAAAGAGGCTCGCCTTGGAAAACGGCAGCTTGAAGAGCTGCTTGAGCACGTCCGCGGGCGCTATCACGTCCACCTCAGGGTAAGGCTTTCCCCAGCAGCAGCTGCTGCAGCAGTATTCACTCACTCACTCACCCGGGGTTGAGAACAAGAGTACAGCCGACGCGGAGCACGCTGACAAAGAGGCTGGCCTTGGACAAGGGCAGCTTGAAGAGCTGCTTGAGCACGGCTTCCCCCAGCAGCAGCAGCATTCACTCACTTTCTTACTCACCCTGGGTTCAGAACAAGGGTGCGGCCGACGCGGTGCACGCTGACAAACAGGCTGGCCTTGGAAAACGGTAATTTGAAGAGCTGCTTGAGCACGTCCGCGGGCGCTATCACGTCCACCGCGTCCTCCCCAAACTCCGCCAACCCCCTCACCGCCAGCGCCCCATGTCAGGGGGCGCAATCACATCCACTGAACCTTGAGGCGCTTCAGAAGCAACATTCACTCACCCCGGTGGGTTCAGGTGCATTAGAAGCCAGCATTCACTCACCCGGGGTTGAGCACGAGCGTGCGGCCGACGCGGTGCACGCTGACAAACAAGCTGGCTTTAGAAAACGGTAATTTGAACAGCTGCTTGAGCACGTCCGCGGGCGCTATCACATCCACCGCGTCCTCCCCAAACTCCGCCAGCCCCCTCACCGCCAGCGCCTCGCACTTGCGCGCGCCACTGTGCTGTAGATAGGACCCCCCCCAGGTGGAACCTGGAGGGTCCGAGGGGCGGTCGACTGGCAGGAGAATGTTGTCGCGGTGGAGCCATGCGGGGGGGTGGGTGTCCAGGGACGGTCGGACTGGGGGAGGGATCACCTTGGGAATGCCGGGAGTCCTGTGGAAAAGGGAACGGGACGAAATTGAGGACAGACACGATTAGTGAGAGAGAAAAATCGGAACCTGGCGGTTCCGAGGGGCGGTCGACTGGCAGGAGGATGTTGTGGCGGTGGAGCCATGCAAGGGGGTGGGTGTCGAGGGACGGTCGGACTGGGGGAGGGATCACCTTGGGAATGCCGGGAGTCCTGTGGAGAGGGAAAGGACGAGGGATTGGCTAGGTTAGAAGTGAAAAAACGAGGAGGGACATGATCAACGGCAGATTTGGACAGAACTCAGGGTAGGAATGAAACGGTGTTCAGAGAAATCCATCTTGTGTCGCATAGCGATTCACCTATCGTTGAAGAAGGATCTCGATATCCCCGGGGAGAACTCGAGCGTGGTGAACTCGCGGTCGAGCCAGACCGGCAGCGAGCCGCAGAGGAACATGCTGCGAGGCTTCGCCAGCTGCAGACTCGCCACAGGCGGTCCGGCCGAATCCGCCATAATGATTCTTCGTTGCTCCTCCTATTTATGCTGGTGCTTGATTTTCCGATGCTCGCTCTCAAGCGATAGAGTTACTATAATAGTTCAGGAAGGTACTCATGAAGCTGGAACCAGCAACTATCCATGCAATCGGCTCTCACAATACGAAAACATGCGTGTTAGATTCAACCTGCGGTTTCTCCAGTCCAAAAGAAGAACCGTCGCCCTCACGGAAATCAGAATGAAGAAACTGAGAGCATGGTGTGCAGTCTGCTCTGGTTGAAACCGTCCCTGTGTGATGATGATCAGAGAATGGTTTGCCGCATTTTGTTCGAGAGAACCAGCAGATTCGGACTTCGAGATAGGTTCGACACGGTTCGCTATGCTTCTGTGGGCTACAGTGTGGTGGAGATGCTGAAAGTGCTGGTGAAATCCATCTGGATTCTGGAAGCCCTATGTTACCTTGCAGAAACCATTTTCAGGGTCGCACAAGCGAAAATTCCAGAAGCAGACACCCGTGCGGATCACTTTCCCTAGGGATTGTCGAGACGAAATCGTTAGCGAAAAGTGAGTTCACGAAGAGCGCCCATTCGCGGATTCCTGTGGTTCTTCGTTCTGGACAGCCTCGCTACCATGGTTCACAATGTTACATCGCCGAATCCAGCTACACCACCGATTTTCCTGTCAGGCTCAGAATATTTCCCAAACCTCAACCACGCGCGCCAAGCAACGTTATCCACGACACATACCCCGGGGGAGCACCACTTTTGAGCTACTTAGGGTTCCATATTACGCTTTAATCAGCGTCGCCCGAGCACTCTGCCTCCGGACGTGGCAGGGACCTCGCACCCATTGCCGGATTCCTATTCGCCACTTCGGATCCTTCTGTGTTCCCGCGTCGAGCGTGATCCGTGTCGCAACACATCCATCCCATTTTCCTCGTCAGACCAATTCTAGCCCGCCATGGTTGTTCTAGTCGCCGCTCGAGCCACCCAACAGGGCCTCTTCCAGGCAATCAGTTTCACCTCGTTTCTATCACATTCGTGCCTAAAACGAGGGCGACCATGCGCGCTCCTTTCCCGCCTCCATTCCGCCTCCCCAGCACTCCCCTCCCCGTCGATCCTCCGCGTCTCCCCGCTCACGCTCCCCGCCAACGGCCTCCGCTCCCCATTAAATCCCGCGCCATCGCCGCAAATCACGGATGCCGATTCGAAGAACCGACGCGGAGCCGCGTCCAAATCCGCTCTCCTAACCTCCGCGCCGCTCTTTCTCCTTCCGAGCCAGCAACAGCAGGCGCCTCGTGGGGTCGCGGCTCGGGCTTCCTCTAAATCCTCTCGAATCGTCAAGGATGCCTCTAAGAAGAAAGGCGGGAAATTCGGTCTAGGAGGATCCGCCCAGGAAGCGAAGCAGCAGCGAAGGGGGGGTAGCGGACACGGCGGCTCGGCTTTTGGGGCTAACGAGCTCACGGGAAACGGGGGATTGCTCGAAGCGGAACCGTCCGATTTGGGCGATCTGGGTTTATCCAAGGACGTGGACGCGGCGTGGCTTCTTAGCGGGTCGCGAGACAATATCGAGGATGACGTGCCGGATTCCCCGTTTCTAGACGCGGTTGTTAAGGTGTATTGTACGCACACGCAGCCGAATTTCTCGCTGCCCTGGCAGAAGCGGCGGCAGTTTTCTTCGACGGGCAGCGGGTTCATGATTCCGGGCAGGCGAATTTTGACGAACGCGCATTGCGTGGAACACCACACGCAGGTGAAACTTTGAGACGTCTCTTCCTTTTTGTTTTTTGTTTTTTTTAGTTAATCATGTATTGGGACGCCTCGAATGTTGACGAATGCGCATTGTATCGCGTACGGCACCACTCGCAGGTGAAACTGAAGCGACGCGGCGACGACACCAAGTTCGTCGCACGCGTGCTGGCGATCGGCGTGGAGTGCGACATCGCATTGCTCGCTGTGGACGACGAATCGTTTTGGCAGGGCCGTCAGCCGCTCAGGTGAGGTGCTGTGAGGTGGTGTGAGGTGCTGTGAGGTGCCGGCGTGAGAGTGCGACACTGCACTACTCGCTGTGGATGACGAATCCGTTTGGCATGGCCGCTAGCCGCTCAGGAGCAGCCGCTCAGGAACAGCCGCTCAGGTGCTTTCTCCCTTATGTCCCAACATATCAACTCCCTTCCCCTGTCTATCTGGCACCTTCAATCCGTCCACCTCTCTGTTCTCCCCTCACAGGTTCGGTGGCCTCCCCCACTTAGAGGACGCGGTGACAGTGGTGGGGTACCCTGTGGGAGGCGACAGTATCTCAGTCACCTCTGGCGTCGTCTCGCGCATCGAATTCACCGCATACACTCATGGTGCTTGTGTGTGTGTGCTCTCCCCTTCACTCCTCCCTTCTTTCCTCAACAGGTTCGGCGGTCTCCCTCACTTGGAGGATGCAGTGACAGTGGTGGGTTACTCCTCTCCACTCACTCTCCCACTCTCCGTCTCCTGCCCCTCATCCTCTTCTCCGCTCACACACAGGTTCGGCGGCCTCCCTCACTTGGAAGACGCGGTGACAGTGGTGGGGTATCCAGTGGGAGGCGACAGCATCTCAGTCACCTCTGGCGTCGTCTCGCGCATCGAAGTAACCTCATACGCTCACGGCGCCTCAGTGTGTGTGCTCGTCCCTTCCCTCCTCCCTTCTCTCCTCAATAGGTTCGGCGGTCTCCCTCACTTGGAAGACGCGGTGACAGTGGTGGGGTATCCAGTGGGGGGAGACAGCATCTCAGTCACCTCTGGCGTCGTCTCGCGCATCGAAGTAACCTCATACGCTCACGGCGCCTCAGTGTGTGTGCTCGTCCCTTCCCTCCTCCCTTCTCTCCTCAATAGGTTCGGCGGTCTCCCTCACTTGGAAGACGCGGTGACAGTGGTGGGGTATCCAGTGGGGGGAGACAGCATATCAGTCACCTCTGGCGTCGTCTCGCGCATCGAAGTCACCGCATATGCTCACGGCGCCTCAGAGCTTCTAGGCGTGCAATTCGATACAGCAATCCCCAACCCCCCCTACCTTTCCCACGTTCCATCTCCTGCTTCACTTCCTTGATTTCTCTCAAACGCAGGTTCGGCGGCCTCCCTCACTTGGAAGACGCGGTGACAGTGGTGGGGTACCCTGTGGGAGGCGACAGCATATCAGTTACCTCTGGCGTCGTTTCGCGCATCGAAGTAACCGCATACGCTCACGGCGCCTCTGAGCTCCTAGGAGTGCAAATCGACGCGGCAATCAACCCCGGGAACAGCGGCGGCCCGGCTTTCAACGACCGCGGGGAGTGCGTGGGGATAGCGTTTCAGTCACTAAAAGACAGTGACACGGAGAATATCGGGTACATTATCCCAACGCCGGTCATCTCGCATTTTCTCGGGGATTACCGAAGGAACGGGCAGTATACCGGTTTCCCCGCGATCGGAATCCTCTGGCAGAGGCTGGAGAACCCTGCGCTCCGGGCAGCTCTGAAAATGTCGCCCGGGCAGAAGGGCGTTCTCGTGCGAAAAGTCGACCCGACGTCTAAAGCTCATGGGGTGCTACAGCAAGGGGATGTTATCATGTCGTTTGATAACGTACCCATTGCAAGCGATGGCACCGTGCCTTTCCGAACCGGCGAGCGCATCTCCTACGGGTTCCTGGTCAGCCAAAAGTTTTCCGGCGAGGTTGCCCGGCTGGAAATTCTGCGCGACGGGCAGCTGATGAAAGTTCAGGTGGAGCTGAAGCCGCCGAAACGGCTCATTCCGGTCCACACGGGAGGGAAACCGCCGACGTATCTGATAGTGGCTGGGCTGGTGTTCACTCCTGCAGTGCAGCCGTTCCTGCAGTCGGAGTATGGGAGCGAGTTTGAGTTTGAGTCGCCGGTGTCGCTGCTGCAGAAGCTGCTGCATGGACATGCGGAGCATGAGGATGAGGAAGTGGTGGTGCTCAGCCAGGTGAGAAACGGTTGAGATGGGTGAAGGATGGCTGCAGGGATTGCAGTGGTTGCTGCAAGGATTGTGGTGGTTAAGCGCAGGTTGGGGCTTGCTGGTGGAGGTGATCACGGGCAGGTTCATAGCATGTTCTGGGCCTGATTGTGGCTGGGCTGGTTTTCACTCCTGCGGTGCAGCCTTTCTTGCAGTCAGAGTATGGAAGCGAGTTAGAGTCAGGTGCACACAAGGACATCGCCCACATACCTCGTGGCCCTAAACAGCACTGCTCTCCCTTGTTTTCCCCCGTTCACACTCAACTCTCTCCCTTAACTAGGTGCTAGCACATGAAGCCAACATAGGCTACAAGGACACCACAAACACGTGCCTGATCTCTCTCAACAGCACTCCCATGTATCTTGATGGTTTGTATGCTCTTCTCCCCATCCTCTCCCCCCACCTCTCCCCCTCAGGTGCTAGCGCATGAGGCCGAACATATTAGGCTACACGGACACCACCAACACGTGCCTTGTTGCTTGCTCTCAGCAGTGCATGTGTCCTTCCGCCTTGGTCCCCTTCCGTCCTTCCTCCCACCTGTTAGCTAGGTGCTAGCGCACAAGGCCAGCATAGGCAACGAGGAAACGACAAACACGTGCCTCGTCGCTCTCAACTCAACAGTGCATACGGCCTTCCGCCTTGGCCCCATTCTCTCCTTGCTCCCACCCTTTGACCAGGTGCTGGCGCACGAGGCCAACATAACATTGGCAACGAGGATATCACCAGCACGTGCCTCGTCTCCCTCAACAGCATGCGGCGGCTACTCTGCCTCCCTGCTCATTCACCCCTGACTCCCTTACCCTCCCCATTACCCACAATCCAGGTGCTAGCACATGAGGCCAACATAGGGTACGAGGACATCACCAACACGTGTCTCGTCGCCCTCAACGGCACTCCCATGCTCTTACCCTTCACACATACCGACCCTTTGCAACCCCCCAACAGGTGCTAGCGCATGAAGCCAACATAGGGTACGAGGACATCACCAACACGTGCCTGGTGTCTCTCAACGGCACGCGGGTGCGCAACGTGCGACAGCTGGCAGCATTAGTAGATGCATGCACATCGGACTGGGAGAGCCAGCCATTCATGTGCTTCGAGCTGGAGCACCGGCAGCTCGTGGTGCTGGAAACCAAGAGCGTGCGGGCTGCCACTGCCGATGCCATGGCCGATCACAGCATACCGTCGGATCGATCGGAGGATCTACGGTCCGTAGCAGCGGCGGAAACAGCAGCGGGAGAAGCAGGAGCAGCGGAAACAGCAGCAGGAACATTAGCAGCAACAGCAGTTACAGCAGCAGCGGAGGTGGATGTTGGTGGTGAATCTGCATCGGCGTCTAGTGGGGAAGACGAGACGTCAGGGAAAGCCGTTCGCATGAGGAGGGGTGACGCTGATGTGCGGGTTGCTGCGGCCGTGCAGGTAGCAGCGAAGGGAAAGAAGCAGAAGCAGAGGAAGGGCAGAAAGTGAAAAGGCAGACACAGGGGGAGTGCCAGAAGCAGGAAACAAGGGTTTGAGAGAAAGAGCCTTAAAGGGCAGCGAAGGACCGGAAGTGAAATGGGAAGTGAAGAGCAAGTCTGGCTTGTGTTATAATTAGATGGGAAATAAGAGCAGCATAGTTAACTGTTGGCATGTTTTCTTTTGCCTTAGGTAGTGTTACACATGGATGGATCTATAGCATTTGCATGGCAAGGCTGTTGCTTCCAATTTTGTTTGTCCCACTGATGGCTCCAGATGCATTTTGTGTTGACAAAACAGCATGGTGTTTTGATGAGGCGAGCTCGCCATTGGCAGCATAGTTGGGTTCAGGACGGTTCCACAATTCCTGAGCGGTTTTCAAAATTCATCTCTTTGCACCTTGACAAAACAAAGTTAACCGCAGGGAGCGTACGTAAAGTACAACCTGACGTCGCCCTGAAATCTAGCTGGGTATATAAATCAATAATAGATGGATACATCAATAATCTCTAATTCTATTGGAACAAGCATCCCAGCAATATTCACTTGTAAGATCCACGCTGCGATGAATGATTGATCTACCGACAGTGCGATTGACTCGAAGGACGTTAACGACGTGCGAAGCGACGTGGAGTTACCTGTCTGACGTGGAAGCTGGCATTACACAGGCCCACGGGGAGCCATCATTCGTGGCCTGACGACAAAGATTCCCTAAAACAGATACGCCAGCGACAGCAGAAGTGCCAGATTTGGCAGCTTGCCCTTGTGCGAGCGTCGCTGATTCTCATCGCAAAGCAATTGATTTTATTGCGAACGCATCCCAGCGCAATCCGGGCACCATCAGTAACCAAGCTGGCACCTTCCGCGCGCAATCAGCGAAAGCCTGGCGAGGCTTTTGCCAAAATTGCCCTTTTCGCTGCAGATGCATATTCCCTCCTGATTGGAGTGACGTTCATATTTGCAGGGCCGAATTTCGCAGCACGCGTGGAGTGCCCGAAACACGTCGCTACAGAATACATGTGAGAATTGCAGTGCTGTCAAGTTGATCAGAAAAGCTGCCAGAACAAGCACCACGCGCCATCCAGCAAGCACACCACTCACTCTGAATCACACAGCTATTTACGCTGCAGAGGAGACTCAGTGTGAATCAATGCTCAGTCCCAGAAATTCTCGTTCTGATAGTTTTGAGCCCAATTTCCGCGATGGACGGACGGATCAGCAGCACGCCATAATTCCTTTAGCGTTTCCTGGCTAATTATCTATAACGTCGCAATGCAGTCCTACCCGAGGCATGAAGGCACGGAGCAGCACCAGCATCAGCCGGAGACGCGAGCTTTCAGCCGTCTGCGCCACACGCGTCCGCAGGCCATACAGGTGCAGCGGCGATGCGCGCTCGCCGCGCTAAACCCTCCCCGCGAAAGCTCCCCCAGCCTGATTCCGCCCTTCTCCAGCATGGCCCACTCCCCCAATGGATCGCAAGCGCGCAAACCGCACCTTTCCTTGAACGTCCCTTCCCCCTCGTCACTTCCGCGGAATGTTTCCCCCTCCTGCCCCCCGCAAGCCCCCGCAAGCTGTACCGCCGCGGCGACGTCGCCCGCTCACTCCATCTACTCCCCCGGCCCCGCATCCGCTCCCGCGGGTCCTCCGCAACTTCTGCCTTCCGCCTCGCTTCTGCGCCGAGCTTCCGCGCCGACTCTTCCGGAGCCGCAGCCGGGCATCGCGGTGGTATCAAGAACTTGCGCCGCCCTAGCTTCTGACAGCTGCGGAACGCAAGCTGACGGGCCGATGCGACAGGAGCAGCAGAAGCAGCAGCAGAGGGAGCAGCGGAAGGAGCAGCAGAGGGAACAGCGAAACGAGCAGCGGAAGGAGCAGCGGAAGGAGCAGCGGAAGGAGCAGCATCGTGGGGGCGCCGACCACACTCACCCTGCGCGTGGCGCGCAGCCGCAACAGCCGCTTACCTTCGGGTCCGACGAGCAATGGGAGCGGATCTTGGCGGCGAGACGCGAGACGCGGCGCAGAGCCGCTACTAGAATTAGTATGGATAGCATCGAAGAGCGAGTCGGCGCTATCAGAGGCGGCACGACTGCTGCCGTAACTGCCGCCGCGATTTCTGGGAAGGGAGCGCAGCCGGCGCGAGGGGGGCTACAGCGCTCGGCCGGGAGCTGCGACGTCTGGCGACTCGTCTCATCGATGGACGCGCGCGAATGCGACTCCCCGCCGGTGGGAACTCGCTCCGCGCGCCGGCACGATCCGCGGGCCGCCACCGGCTCCGCCGCGGGGAAGCAGTCGGAGCGCCTGCGGCTGTCGAGGAGCGGCGGGAGCTGCGACATGGCGCGGGTGGTGCAGATGCTAGAGGATGAGATGGACCGCGAGGAGCGCGACGCGCGGAAGGGGTGTGCGGCCGCTACAAGCGACGCCCCGGGGAAGCGGTCGGAGCGCCGCCTGGCTGCTGGAGGGGCAACGCTGCGGGGAAGCGGCGGGAGCTGCGACATGGCGCGGGTGGTGCAGATGCTAGAGGACGAGATGGATCGCGAGGAGCGCGACGCGCGGAGTAATGATGTTCCCAGCAATGATAGGCGTGCGAGTAGTACCCTTGGAACCCGACAGCGGGGAACCGAAGGTTCGGATTCTGCTGGTGGAAGCTGCGTGACGCGGTCAGGCGGCGCACCGCAGCCCGCCGGACCTTCTCGCTGCGTAAGTCCACTCCCGACTTGCAATTCGCGCGACTCGCGCAGTCCAGCGGACACGTGCACGCGGCGTGGGCTGCGCGGCTCTCCGCAGGGCTCCCCGCTCCGCTTTGTGGTTCCGCGCAAGGCGACCGCGACTGAACGTGACCGCAAGGTGACGGCGACTGCTACTGCTACTGAAAGCAGCCGGGCTATTCACTTTACTAGAAGTCATGACTGGGACGCGGACTCGCCTAAACGTGGCGGAAGTGACGGTGCTGGCAGCGGCGGCGCAGGTGTCAGAAGAACCGGCCTTCGTCGCAGTGGCGCTAGCCAAGATGTCGCACCGTTGATCCGCGATCATGGCGCAGAAGAAACGAGGTCGTCGCACCCGAAACGTGTGAATCCCGTCGCTCATCATCGCGTACCTCTGTCCTCGTCGCCGTCATCTAGGGGAGCTCAAGCTTTGCCCGTCAAACGCAACTTTGCCGGTCGCTCGAGCAGCTTGAGTCACAGCGGCGGAAGCTGCAACATTGCGGAGCTTTTGCGCCACGTGCGGAACGAGCAGGCGGAAGAGTCGAAAGCGGAGGGGGTTGCGCGCACCCCAGTCGGGGTTGAGTCGCCGCTGCGACCCACTTTCGTCCGATCCGTTCCCTTCCCCAGCAGCATCAGCGAGTCGTCGCGGTCGCGCGCAGTGCAGCTGGTTGCGCGCGAAGAGGGAACAAGCGGTCTGGAAAAAGGGGGGCACCGAATCGTCGCAGGCAGCAGCAAATCGTCGCAAGCAGCGCAGCTAGTTGTGCGCGAAGGGGGAAGACGCGGCCTTGAAAATGGGGTGCAGGGCGGGCGCACTCGAAGGCGGTCGATTTCGGGAGATGGTTCCGCTAGTTCCCCCTTTACTTGGGGGGAACAAGAGGAATTCTCGGAACACGCGCGCTCGAAGGGGCTGGGGGAGGCACGTGGCAGAAACAGAGTGGCGGCTGGTGACAAATCGGCAAGCCTCGGGCGCAGCGGCGGAAGCTGTGACATGACTTCCTTTACCAGCATTTGCAGAGGAAGCAGGGGAGACGCTGTGAACGAGAAACACACCAATCACGACGCATCTTCGCTTGTGCAAGCTTCGGCTAGTGCTGGCTCTCCATCTACAGTGCACAGCTCAGCTGTCCCACCAGTTTATCAATCTAAAGATATTCTGAGAAACCCCACGCTTCAGCACCAACGCTCGATCTCCATGTCAGCAGCAAATGAAATCTCCCATAAGTCTACACTCGGTGATGACGTGAAGGACACCGTGGCAACCGCTACTGAATGCAGTGATTCGTTCAAGTCACATCGCAGAATGATTTCATGGCCGTACCCAACCCCAAGCCCCATCGAGAGTTCATCGCACATCGGTGTCATGCAATCTCACTCGTCGCCATATCCAGACCTACACCACCATCCCTCCCACATGCACATCACTAGCGATGCTCTAAGGCCAGGATCCACCCACATCACACCATCCCCGGTCCTCCCTTCCCTGGCTGTTGCTGCTGCTGCTGCTGCTACTGCTACTGCTGGTACTGCTACTGCTGGTGAAGCCGGCAGGGAAACAACTGCCTTAAACGTCAACCATCCACGCACTGCAGCACAATTGCCTGGTTCACACACAGGTGAACCTGCAGACGACCCGTACTCGAGTGAACCCGCTGACGACTCACACTCGAGTGAACCAGGAGAAGACTCGGACGACGAGTTTGCAAGGCTGTACTGGAAAGCAATGAAACACAGAAGAGCAGCTGATGCAGCAGTTTCCACGGCCATGCAGCAGTTGGGGTTGGAAGGGAGTGACATTGTGGCTCCAGCACAGAAGAACCCGCGCCAGCTTTTCAAGTCGACTCCGAAATCCATTTTGAGTCGACTCAAAAACACAGCCATGCAGCAGTTAGGGTTGGAAGGGAGTGGGCTGAAAGCACAGAAGCACGAGCACAACTATAGCATTCAGCAACAGCAGCAGCACAGGGGCAGGGTCCGCCAAAGTACTGACAGGAGCAGCAGCAACCGCAGCAGCAGCAACAACAGCAGCAATTATAATACATGTGCACCCATATCACCCAGAGATGCGAGCAGCAGGTACACTATCGACCGCCCTTTGCAAGGCCCCACATCTTCGCAAGACCGCCCTTCAAAAAACTCTCGCCGCCGCAGCTTCACCCTTGGAGATGGCACCAGGTCAAGTGGGTTGGCAGCTTGCGATGCCACCGCCAGCATTTCAACCCCTGCTTGCAGCACTGTGACTGGTTCAGAGACTCAAGGGAGCGTCTGCAGGAGGGGCAGCCTGAGAGGCATTGCGACCGGTTATGACTCCCAGGGGAGGGACGGCAGCATGGTGCAGAGTCGCAGAAGGCACAGCGGGAGCAGTGCCAGTCAGGCAGAGTTCTGGGAAGGAGCGAGCGATCACCCTCGCAGCATTGGGATTAGCATAAGCAGCAGCAGTAGCAGTAAGCAGTATTTGACTTTGCTACCTCCTAGCTTGTCAAACCCTTGGGCTTCTCAGCCCAGGAAGCTGGCCGCTAGGGGCGATACAGTTGGAGATCAGAGCACTGGGCGAGCAAGTTCCGCCAGGCTTGTTTCCTCAAAGGAGTGCCAGTAACACGAGCTGTAGTGGCAAAAGAGACAGAAATTTAGGCGTAGGAGCAGACGGGAATTCAGGGTTCTGTTGTTTACGAAAGTATCGTGTACACCACATTTCATTTATAATTACTGACCTAATAATCAATACTTTCTCAGAAAGCAAGTGCAGTGTACACCTAACTGTGCTGCTTGATTTACAGCACGTAGGCTTGGACTAGTCATTCTCATACGGTGAGGTTTTCCACCAGTCAAGCGCATAATTTCTGTAGATGCAGCAAGCATGGTGTAGTGTATCCTTAAGTCCCAGTCTCTAAGCTGGTGCAGAGGGAATACGGTGCTGGAAACGAATCGGGCATTATCCAGTACAATAACAAAATCAAACTGATTCCTGAAGCAGAATCACGTGCCTCGTCTTGCCTACCAATATTACACACTAGCTACTCCTGTAGAGACGAATTTTGCTTCTCAAACAGCGTAGCAATCTGCAGCAGCACAACATCCCTTGGTGCTCTATGATCATCCAAGTAACAACCACGTCATATCCTTGTTGGTGTTGACCAACTCCACAAAAACTCCGCCCTCCTCCCACCTCCACTTATTATACATGCGGAGCACATTTACGACCAGCCACGTCCGCTGTCCTCCTTGGATTCTAGGGGCAGCTGGGTCAAATCCTGCTGGCTGTCGACCTTGAAGGTGGCGCCACACAGCTCCCCCTGGCTGTCCACGTGCTGGATGGCCTTGAGCTGCTTCTCAGGGTCCGTGAAGCTGCGCAGCCCACCGTCCGAGGAGTAGAAGCAACCTGCGTGGGTGGGGTTGGGTGACAAAGGGTGGGAAGGGGTGAGATGGGGTGAAAAGGGGTGACAGGGCACGAAGTGGGAGGTAAGCTGGCTGTCCACGTGCTGAATGGCCTTGAGCTGCTTCTCTGGGTCCGTGAAGCTGCGCAGCCCACCGTCCGAGGAGTAGAAGCAGCCTGGATGGGTGGGGATGGGTGACAAGTGGTGGGGTTCGGTGACAAAGGGTGACAGGGAACAAAGAAGCGGTAAGTTGGCTGTCCACGTGCTGAATGGCCTTGAGCTGCTTCTCGGGGTCCGTGAAGCTGCGCAGCCCACCGTCAGAGGAGTAGAAGCAGCCTGGATGGGTGAGGTGGGTTGGGGTTGGGTGGCAAGGGGTGACAAGGGTTGATAAGGGTTGGAAAGTGGTGACAAGCGGTGACACGAGGAGACAAGCGGTGACAAGGGGTGACAGGGCACGAAGAGGGGGTAAGTTGGCTATCCACGTGCTGAATGGCCTTGAGCTACTTCTCAGGGTGGGATGGGATGTGGGATGGGGTGTGTAATGGGGTGAGGGATGGGATTTGAAGGGATGTTTGATGGGATGTGCGATGGGATATGCGATGGGATGTATGACGGGATGTGTGATGGGTTGTGTGATGGGATGAGTGATGGGTTGTGTGAAGATGGGGTGTGAAAAGGGGTGTGTGATGGGATGTGCGGTGGCATGTGTGACCAGATGTGTGCTGGAGTCTGTGAAGGATGTGCGATGGGATGTGCGATGGGATGTGCGATGGGATGTGCGATGGAATGTGCGATGGAATGTGCGATGGGATGTGCGATGGAATGGGACAGGCGCGAACCAAGGAGGAAGAGGGCGAAGGGGCAGGGGCAGATCGAGGAGGAAGGGGTCAACGAGGAGAAAGAGGGAGAAAGGGCAGAAAAGGGCAGAAGATGGAAGAGGCAAAAAAATCCTGGCGCATACCGAGAGGGAAGGGGGCGAAGGAGGAGCCAGTGCCGGCCTTGAGAACAGCAGGGTCGTCCGAAAAGGCGAGCACTCCGTCGTCCAAGCACTTGCCCCAGTACAAGGGCACCTTGCCTTGCGCGTCCTGGTGGTGACAGTGGGCAGCACGAGCATGGTGGATGTCGGGGTGGTGTAGGGATGGAAGGCGGGGAGCAGAACCGGGTGAAGAAACGGATGAAAAGGGATTTCTAAATACAAGGAATTGTTTCGATTCAAGGGGTTGTTCCAATACAAAGCAGCCCGAGCGTTCTTGGAGAGGTAATCCTTGGGGCAACGCGTAAATGCTAGCAAGCAAGCGTCCTCTGACAAAGAACGCTTTTGTCTGTTGACAAGTCCCTTCCCCCTCATTTCCTCTTCATCCCCTCTGGCTCATCATCTGTCACCTTCTCTATTGCGCCCTGCCTCGTTCATTTGTTTTTCAGATTCTCTCTGACTGGCCAAACGGGCCATGACTAAACGACGTCTCCAGAGCCTTTCAAAGCAACCCAAACCCTGAACCGTTATCCATAACCCTAACCCAACATTGCCGTATCACTAGCATTGCCATCCACACCAGCTGAATCCTCCCCATTCTCCATGACTTTCACTTGATCAACTCACATGCGCCACGAAAACCTTCTTCGCCTTGTTGTCGTACAGCACGAACGCGAACGCGCCCGCGAGGTCCGCGATGACCTGGTCGGGCGGGTACGGGCGGCGGTCGCGCAGCGTCTTGTACGCCTCGATGATGAGATTCACCTCGCTCACGTGCCGGTCCAGCCCGTACCGCTGACGCAGCTGCGCGAGGTTCTCGATGTTGCCGGCGAACGCGCAGAAGACATCGTCGCATGCTGCAAATTGCCTGTTGGAACGGAGGGAGCGGAGGGATCAGAAGGAGTGGAGGGAAAGAATGCCGTCAGGGTTAGCCATGCTGACTTGCCAGCCCAGACCGTACCGCTGCGGACGCTGCAGGCGAAGTTCTAAACATGATCCGAAGAACATGGATGAAACGACGTAAGGTTCAAGCCGGGCCCCTCGAGGGAGAAAGAACGTCGCAAGGAGGAAGTACAAAGAGTGCAGGTGCCTGAACTGCGCGAGGCCCTTGAAGTTGACACTGGAGGTGAAGGAGGCGGCATCGTACGCGGCAAGTTGCCAGGTCCCGGAAATGGCGGAAAAGGTTAGGGTATATTCTTATGAGGAAGTTCAGACGCGTACATATCAAAAACGAAAATAAAAGATCGGAGGCACAGGGATAGAGCTCGCAAGACGTGCTTTTCAAAGTTGTCAGGGAAAACAGAAGAATTCATGGGAAATCCGTCGAGCGATAGAGCCATGAGAGCTCACGCAACGACCAGAAGCACGGACGCAGCGAGAATGACGAAACATCTAAAGGTTGCGGCCTACCTGGGCATGAGAAAGTCTTGCATGTCGTGCGTGTACGCGATAGCGTGTTGCTCGTCAAACTGCATAAGCACGGCTCCAGGATGCGCTTTCTTGAAGCCGTGGAGGATCTCCTTGGCGTCCAGCCGGCCCGACATGGACGCCGATCGGTTCAGCTTCGGCGCCATCAGCTCCTGCGGCGCCTCGCCTATCGATTTCTGGAAGATGGCCAACATGGTTGCAGGCGGCGCTTCGGGTCGACCTGCTGGAGGATACAACAGGGAAAGAGGAGGCATAGCCGGTGAGGAGGGAACGTGGAATGCTGCAGGCAACTTTGGGTCGAACTGCTGGTGGGATGAAGAGAGCCACAGCGTCAATGGGGGGAAAGCGAGGAATGCTGCAGTGCCATCGGCTCCTCCGGCTTATGGACTTTGTGGAAGATGGCCAGCATGGATACAGGAGAGCTTGGGAGCGTCGGGAAGAGGGATTAAAAGAGGAGTCAGGGGTGAGGAGATGAGCATGAGACGTGCCTCCTCCCACGCCTGGCCGGCATGGAAGATGTTGCAATGAGCTGCTGAGCCTCTTGAGCCTCTTAACAAGTGGACATCTGAGATTCATAATGTTTCACAGTGTTCACGGAAATTTGGAAGAGCTAACGGAACCGTGAAGCAGTCAAGAGCTGACGAGCAGCGTCGTCTGCCAACTTTCGGTAACTTAATTAATCGCGAAATCACGGAAACCCGCGATGTAAGGACATCAGAAACGAGGATGCAAGACGAATATGATGGACGAGATAAAGAAGCAGGCCCGAAAGAGAGAGCACATTTGTTAACAGACTACGACCAGAAATGAAGCTTACAAAGAGGATAAGGCGGGGTAGACAAGGGCCCCGCGCGTTTAAAATTACGATAGCGGCGACTGCAAGATGTTTGTTTAAATACCAATACAAATTACTTTCCCCGAATGCGCGTATGAATGTTGAATTAATGCAGGACGAAGACTGCAAAACCTAACGCAAAGATCACGGCTGATACTACTGGTCGATCGCGACACAGGTAACGAAAGTCGATTAGAAAATGATGACTTCGTTTTTCACGGTAACTATGTGGAACATGAATCTGACAATGCCAGCCAGATATAAAAATGACAATCACAATCACAATGACGATGAGGAAGAGGAGGAAGAGGATGATGGTGTGGTGTGTGGAACGACAATCCCGAGAAATGCTGCTGATCCTGGTCGTCCATTGTCTGCTGTAAACCCGATGTAATCGGCCAACGAGGGAAAACTTATGTCAGACATGGAACATGCGGTGTCGATTGGTTCTTTCACAAGATCTAACGGCTATAAGCAGAGTTCGACATCGCTGTCACTACAGTTGCATCCCTTGTGGCAAACACTTGTCAGCAATGTCATATCGTGACGGGTCATCATGTGACCCCTCGAACACGTCAGCGTCAACCTGTTTAGCATTCTCAGGATGTGACTGTGGGCATGGGCCATTGATTTCTTGATTGGTCAGGTGTGCGAAGCTGAGGTGTCAATTCGAGTCAATCCGACGCCTTACTGGCGGACTGCCCGATCGGTGGGTTGAAACGACCAGCAACCGTCTTGAGCAAATCGAAGCAGCTGAAATCGCGTGTGCTGTCATGTACCCACGTGAGAGACCCCCAGATCCAGGCAGCATACCCTTCCGTGGGCACGTGCGGGGTCCCACAAAGTCGCTGAACATTTTCTAGAAATGGCATATCAGCTTCATAGCAGTACACTTCATGCATCATGCATATTTCGGTATAGGTTACGCTCAGCGGCGACCCTTATTTTCAGCAACCTGCAACCCCCTTCCGCTAGTTCACTTATTTTCGGCTTCAAGGACTTGCGCTTGCACCTTCAACCAAGCAGTACAATCCTCAGTTGATCCATTACCTGGATTAGCTAATTGCCACTCCATCACTCGATCCATCTGCATGCATACCACAAGCATAAACAAAAGCAACAGATGAGCCCAATCTTCTCAAATATGCAGGCATATGGAAAGCAGCTCAACGGAAAATGACTATGAAGAGGATGAATAGGCCGAATATCCACACACATGTTCACTTAGACATACCCAGTATCCGGTACGTGGGTCGCCTTTCTTGAGCTCCAGTGCAGCAACCACATCCCGACCATTCAGTATGGGCTTCACGTCCCACACGCCATCCAAACCTGGTGAAAAGGGGGTTGAAGTCATTTCTGAGTTGACTCACGTGTCATCCCAGTCACTTAGTATGGTCTTTATGTCCCACACACCATTGAAACTAGGCCGAAAGGGGGTTGAGAACACAAAACAGGAGCTAGGAAAAGTGGTGAGTGTAGCGCTGGACGCGAAAACAAGGGGGGTTGGAATGGCATGAAATAAACCACACATAAGCACATCCCACGACATGCCCGCACCCCATCCAATATAAGCACATACCCATGGCATGCACCGCTTGAAGCACTTTCAGATAAAAGTCGCTCTGATCAAACTTCTCATGTTCTTTCCCCAAATCCTCTTCCCCACCCCCCTCCCTCCCCTCCATCCGCCTCCGCTTGCAATCCTCCTCTTCCCGCTCTCCTTCGCCTCCCCCCCCCTTCACCCCCTCGCCCTCCCGCCCACACTGTTCACTACGGGCGGCAGAGGAAACGGCCGGCAGAGTGGAGGCCAGCAGCACAGCGGACGGCCAGCAGCCCTTCACCTTGCGGAGGAGCTTGCCTGAAGATGGGGAGAAAAGGGAAGAGGGGGGCATTCAGACAGAGGGACTCGGGACAATGGGGGCTTCCGGAGCGAGCAGCCCAGCGCACGGCCAGCAGCCCTTCACCTTGCGGAGGAGCTTGCCTGAATAAGGGGGTACGGGAAGAGAGGTTGGGGGAAGAGGGGTCAGGAAAGGGGGGTTTGGGTGGGAGGCCTTTGGAAGACGGGGCAGAATGGAGGCCAGCACACCTGCCAGCACCCAGCACACCTGCCAGCACCCAGCACACCTGCCAGCACCCAGCACACCTGCCAGCACCCAGCACACCTGCCAGCACTCTCGGGTTGCCTCGGAACTCCTCATGCGGGGGTGAGATCAGCGTGAGAGCTCGTGCCGTGCCACCCACCCCTCCTGCTGCTGCTCCTGCTCCCTCTGCCCCTGCTGTGGCGAGCAGGGGCGCCAGGGCAGCAAAGTCATCTGCTGCTGCATGCAGCAGCACCACCTGAAGATAAGATGGGAGGGAGCAGGTAGACAATGAAGGGCATCTGAAATTGCTAGAACTGCTGCTCCTTCTCCTGATCCTAATCCTGCTGCTGCTGTGGCTTAGGGGCGCCAGGGCAGCGAAGTCCTCTGCTGCTGCATGCAGCAGCACCACCTGTAGACAAGATGGGAGGGAGCAGGTAAACAATGAAAGGCATCTGTTATTGCTAGAACTGCTGCTCCTTCTCCTGATCCTTCTCCTCCTGCTGTGGCCAGCAGGGGCGCCAGGGCAACAAGTCCTCCGCCGCTGCATGCAGCAGCACCACCTGAGGGGGTAATGAGGAAGGGGGGAGGAGAGCAAAAGGATAAGGTTACTGTCTCATGCCCAATGCTGTATCCCCTCCTGCTGCTGCTGTGGCTAGCAGGGGTGCCAGGGCAGTGAAGTCCTCCGCTGCTGCATGCAGCAGCACCACCTGAGGGGTTCAGAGGAAGTGGGGTTGAAGGGAAAGGAGGACAAGGGGGGGGGGGACAAAGGGGGGGACAGGGGGGGGAGACGAGGGGGGGGAAGGAGGGTGCAAGCGGGAATCAACAAGAGCTAAAGAGTGTGAAGTGCTGTGGCGAGCAGGAAGCTAGCGGGGAATGACTTGCATGACAAAGGACATGTCGGCATATAGGTTGGGAGGACGTGCCACATCAGCATACAGGGTGGGTGGGGCACGTGCCACGTCAGCATACAGGGTGGAGGCACCTGCCACGTCAGCATTCATGGTGGGGGCACCTGCCATGTCAGCATAAGCTCGTTTGAGCTTGAGTGAGTCGAGGACGATGTGTTGCGCAAAGGGCACCTCCTTCTTCTTCTTGTCTAAGTAGTGCGCGTGCCTCAGGGGCATCAGCAGCGCCGCCAGCAGCAGCCCCACACTAAGGTCCGACGAGTGATCAATCAGAGCCTGCCACGTGGCACATGCAGAAAAACAGAGAGAGTGAGATGTGGACTACGGGTTTAGGCGTTACCAGGGGCTGGCGTTACCTGGGGCAGGCGTTACCTGGGCAGGCGTTACCTGGGGCAGGCGTTACCTGGGGCAGGCGTTACCTGGGGCAGGCGTTACCTGGGGCAGGCGTTACCTGGGGCAGGCGTTACCTGGGGCAGGTGCTGCTCCCACTGGTGCAGGCGCGTGCAAGTGGCTGCGAATGATGCTTCGCAGAGCCTGATGTGGAGATGTATACCCCATGCATGCACCCATGCACGCACCATGGAAGCATGCATGCACCCACCCATGCACCCACCCATGCACCCACCAATCCATCCACCCATGCATGCACACGCTTTAACCCCCACATCCCCACACACACACCACACACACACACAACCACACACCCCGAACAACAACACCACAGCAACGCATGGGGAGCAAGGGAGGGAGGGAGAGTTATGGATGACACGAGTGTGTGGGGCCGGTAGAATTTGGGGGAAAATATGTACAGAAAGGAAGGAAGAAAACAAAAATTGCATGGAAAGGAGAGAGGTATAATCCGGGGGGGGGAGGTGGGTAGAAATGGGAGAGGGGGAAGGAAGAAAAGGGGGGAGGGGGGGAGGGGGAGGGGAGTGGGGGGTCAGAAAGTAAGAGGGGAGTTGTCAACATGAAGGGCATGAACGAAAGAAACATACGGGGGGGATTGAGACAGATCCTCAGTGCAACCTGCATGCGACCATCTCTGGTTACCACGTTGCTCACTCACCCTGGGAGCTCATCGTCAGGAGGCACATCGGCAGTGTGCGAGGGCGCGTGGGGGAGCGGGAACACGGTGGGGAAGACTGGAAACAACAATAGGAGGGGAGCTACAGCAGCTAGACGCCTCTGGGTACCATGTTACTCACCCTGGGAGCTCATCGTCAGGCGGAACATCGGCAGTGTGCGAGGGCGCATGGGGGAGCGGGAAGACCCAAACAGGGGGGTTGCAGCAGCTAAATGTCTCTTGTTACCACATTTCTCACCCTGGGAGCTCATCGTCAGGCGGCACATCGACAGTGTGTGAGGGCGCGTGGGGGAGCGGGAAGACGGTGGGGAAGAGGTTGAGATCCACCACCAGGGAGATAGCGGCGTAGGGGTCACGGGACTTGAGCATCAGCTCTACCTGAGAGAAGAAGGAAAGAGGAGGATGGAGGGAGCGGGAAACAGGTTCAAGGTGGCAGCATATTGATAAGAAAGCACGGGAAGACGGTGGGGAAGAGGTTGAGATCCACCACCAGGGAGATAGCGGCGTAGGGGTCACGGGACTTGAGCATCAGCTCTACCTGAGAGAAGAAGGAAAGAGGAGGATGGAGGGAGCGGGAAACAGGTTCAAGGTGGCAGCATATTGATAAGAAAGCACGGGAAGACGGTGGGGAAGAGGTTGAGATCCACCACCAGGGAGATAGCGGCGTAGGGGTCACGGGACTTGAGCATCAGCTCTACCTGAGAGAAGAAGGAAAGAGGAGGATGGAGGGAGCGGGAAACAGGTTCAAGGTGGCAGCATATTGATAAGAAAGCACGGGAAGACGGTGGGGAAGAGGTTGAGATCCACCACCAGGGAGATAGCGGCGTAGGGGTCACGGGACTTGAGCATCAGCTCTACCTGAGAGAAGAAGGAAAGAGGAGGATGGAGGGAGCGGGAAACAGGTTCAAGGTGGCAGCATATTGATAAGAAAGCACGGGAAGACGGTGGGGAAGAGGTTGAGATCCACCACCAGGGAGATAGCGGCGTAGGGGTCACGGGACTTGAGCATCAGCTCTACCTGAGAGAAGAAGGAAAGAGGAGGATGGAGGGAGCGGGAAACAGGTTCAAGGTGGCAGCATATTGATAAGAAAGCACGGGAAGACGGTGGGGAAGAGGTTGAGATCCACCACCAGGGAGATAGCGGCGTAGGGGTCACGGGACTTGAGCATCAGCTCTACCTGAGAGAAGAAGGAAAGAGGAGGATGGAGGGAGCGGGAAACAGGTTCAAGGTGGCAGCATATTGATAAGAAAGCACGGGAAGACGGTGGGGAAGAGGTTGAGATCCACCACCAGGGAGATAGCGGCGTAGGGGTCACGGGACTTGAGCATCAGCTCTACCTGAGAGAAGAAGGAAAGAGGAGGATGGAGGGAGCGGGAAACAGGTTCAAGGTGGCAGCATATTGATAAGAAAGCACGGGAAGACGGTGGGGAAGAGGTTGAGATCCACCACCAGGGAGATAGCGGCGTAGGGGTCACGGGACTTGAGCATCAGCTCTACCTGAGAGAAGAAGGAAAGAGGAGGATGGAGGGAGCGGGAAACAGGTTCAAGGTGGCAGCATATTGATAAGAAAGCACGGGAAGACGGTGGGGAAGAGGTTGAGATCCACCACCAGGGAGATAGCGGCGTAGGGGTCACGGGACTTGAGCATCAGCTCTACCTGAGAGAAGAAGGAAAGAGGAGGATGGAGGGAGCGGGAAACAGGTTCAAGGTGGCAGCATATTGATAAGAAAGCACGGGAAGACGGTGGGGAAGAGGTTGAGATCCACCACCAGGGAGATAGCGGCGTAGGGGTCACGGGACTTGAGCATCAGCTCTACCTGAGAGAAGAAGGAAAGAGGAGGATGGAGGGAGCGGGAAACAGGTTCAAGGTGGCAGCATATTGATAAGAAAGCACGGGAAGACGGTGGGGAAGAGGTTGAGGTCGACCACTAGGGAGATTGGCGCATAGGGGTCACGGGACTTGAGCATCAGCTCTACCTGAGAGTGGGGGGAGATAAGACAAGAGGCAAGGGAAGAGAGGAGTTAAGGGAAAAGCATATTGATGACAAAAAGGCATGGGAAGACGGTGGGGAAAAGGTTGAGGTCGACCACCAGGGAGATTGCTGCGTAGGGGTCACGGGACTTGAGCATCAGCTCTACCTGAGAGGAGGGAGGGGAGGGGCGAAAACAGGTGCAAGGAGGTAGCCGAAGCAGCAAACGGAGAGAGGGCAAGGGAAGGCAGTGGGGATGATAGATGACTAGGGCGATCGCTGCATAGGGATCATAGGATTACTATCAGCATCAGCATCAGCGCATCAGCATCAGCATCAGCATCAACATCAGCATCAGCATCAGCATCAGCGCATCAGCATCAGCATCAGCATCAGCGCATCAGCATCAGCATCAGCATCAGCGCATCAGCATCAGCATAACCGCATCAGCATCAGCATCAGCATCAGCGCATCAGCATCAGCATCAGCATCAGCATCAGCGCATCAGCATCAGCATCAACATCAGCATCAGCATCAGCATCAGCGCATCAGCATCAGCATCAGCGCATCAGCATCAGCATCAGCGCATCAGCATCAGCATCAGCATCAGCATCAGCATCAGCGCATCAGCATCAGCATCAGCATCAGCGCATCAGCATCAGCATCAGCATCAGCATCAGCGCATCAGCATCAGCATCAGCGCATCAGCATCAGCAACAGCATCAGCATCAGCATCAGCATCAACATCAGCATCAGCATCAGCGCATCAGCATCAGCATCAGCATCAACATCAGCATCAGAATCAGCATCAGCATCAGCATCAGCATCAGCGCATCAGCATCAGCGCATCAGCATCAGCATCAGCGCATCAGCATCAGCATCAGCATCAACATCAGCATCAGCATCAGCGCATCAGCATCAGCATCAGCGCATCAGCATCAGCATCAGCGCATCAGCATCAGCATCAGCATCAGCGCATCAGCATCAGCATCAGCATCAGCATCAGCATCAGCATCAGCATCAGCGCATCAGCATCAGCATCAGCATCGGCATCAGCATCAGCGCATCAGCATCAGCATCAGCATCAGCATCAGCATCAGCGCATCAGCATCAGCATCAGCGCATCAGCATCAGCATCAGCGCATCAGCATCAGCATCAGCACAAGCGCATCAGCATCAGCATCAGCATCAGCGCATCAGCATCAGCATCAGCGCATCAGCATCAGCATCAGCGCATCAGCATCAGCATCAGTATCAGCATCAGCATCAGCGCATCAGCATCAGCATCAGCATCAGCGCATCAGCATCAGCATCAGCATCAGCATCAGCATCAACATCAGCATCAGCATCAGCATCAGCGTCAGCATCAGCATCAGCATCAGCATCAGCAGCATCAGCATCAACATCAGCATCAGCATCAGCATCAGCATCAGCATCAGCGCATCAGCATCAGCGCATCAGCATCAGCATCAGTATCAGCATCAGCATCAGCGCATCAGCATCAGCATCAGCATCAGCATCAGCATCAGCATCAGCGCATCAGCATCAGCATCAGCATCAGTGCATCAGCATCAGCATCAGCATCAGCATCAGCATCAGCGCATCAGCATCAGCATCAGCATCAGCGCATCAGCATCAGCATCAGCATCAGCGCATCAGCATCAGCGCATCAGCATCAGCATCAGAATCAGCATCAGCATCAGCGCATCAGCATCAGCATCAGCATCAGCATCAGCGCATCAGCATCAGCATCAGCATCAGCATCAGCATCAGCATCAACATCAGCATCAGCATCAGCATCAGCATCAGCATCAGCATCAGCATCAGCATCAACATCAGCATCAGCATCAGCATCAGCATCAGCATCAGCATCAGCATCAGCATCAGCATCAGCGCATCAGCATCAGAATCAGCATCAGCATCAGCATCAGCGCATCAGCATCAGCATCAGCATCAGCGCATCAGCATCAGCATCAGCATCAGCGCATCAGCATCAGCGCATCAGCATCAGCATCAGTATCAGCATCAGCATCAGCGCATCAGCATCAGCATCAGCATCAGCGCATCAGCATCAGCATCAGCATCAGCAGCATCAGCATCAACATCAGCATCAGCATCAGCATCAGCATCAGCGCATCAGCATCAGCATCAGCATCAGCGCATCAGCATCAGCATCAGCGCATCAGCATCAGCGCATCAGCATCAGCATCAGCATCAGCATCAGCGCATCAGCATCAGCGCATCAGCATCAGCATCAGCGCATCAGCATCAGCATCAGCATCAGCATCAGCGCATCAGCATCAGCATCAGCATCAGCATCAGCATCAGCATCAACATCAGCATCAGCATCAGCATCAGCATCAGCATCAGCATCAGCATCAGCGCATCAGCATCAGCATCAGCATCAGCGCATCAGCATCAGCGCATCAGCATCAGCATCAGTATCAGCATCAGCATCAGCGCATCAGCATCAGCATCAGCATCAGCATAAGCATCAGCATCAGCATCAGCATTAGCATCAGCATCAGCATCAACATCAGCATCAGCATCAGCATCAGCATCAGCATCAGCATCAGCATCAGCATCAGCATCAGCATCAGCATCAACATCAGCATCAGCATCAGCATCAGCATCAGCATCAGCATCAGCATCAGCATCAACATCAGCATCAGCATCAGCATCAGCATCAGCATCAGCATCAGCATCAGCATCAACATCAGCATCAGCATCAGCATCAGCGCATCAGCATCAGCATCAGCATCAGCATCAGCGCATCAGCATCAGCATCAGCATCAGCATCAGCATCAGCATCAGCATCAGCATCAGTATCAGCGTGCTCATTTCCCGTACCATATTCCCAACCCTCTCTTTCCCGTGACTCATTCCCAAACCTCTCTTTCCCGTACCTCATTCCCAATCCTCCCTTTCCCATACCTCATTCCCAAACCTCTCTTTCCCGTACCTCATTCCCAAACCTCTCTTTCCCGTACCTCTTTTCCGATCCTCTCCTTGCTGACTTTGTTTCCCAGTGCTGTCCGAACCTCCTCCGAAGCAGCAGCTGCCCGCAGCTCCTCATCCAATGAGAAGCCGAATCGGGCAGCTGAAAGGAACCGGAGGGCTCGCACATGGGCAAGATGGGGGAAACAAGGGGGAAGGGAGCAGGGAAGGGGGTATGTGGGGGGGGGGGGGGGGGGGAAGGGGCATTTAAGAAAGAGTTCCAGTAGAGCAAAAAGGGGAACATGAAGGAGGGGGGGAAGGGGAAGGGAGGGCAGAGGGGTGTGGGAGAAAAAAAACTCTAAAACACTAAGTTGCTCTTCTAAGGAAGCTTCCTTTTCTGCTGAGAAGACAGCCCAGACCGGACCACTCACCGAACCTGACAGCCCGAAGCACCCGGAGAGGGTCGTCAAGGAAGGTCTGGTGGGGCGGGAGAGGCGTGCGGATGATGCCCCCATTCAGGTCGGATATCCCTGGGAAGCAGAATAAGGAGGGGGGGGAAGGGGAGGAGGGTAGGTGTTTGGAATGTTGAATGAATGGATGGTGGAGAGGAAGAGGCGTGCAGATGATGCTCCCCTTCAGGTGAGTTATTCCACTTGCTCCGTGCTGATGTTGTACAATATGCTGTTGCTGGTGATGGCAAGGTCCCTCAAACAATCTCCCTCAAAAATCCCCTCACTGAAACAATCCCCTCACCTCAAAAATTCCCCTCACTGAAACAATCCCCTCACCTCAAAAATTCCCCTCACTGAAACAATCCCCTCACCTCAAAAATTCCCCTCACTGAAACAATCCCCTCACCTCAAAAATTCCCCTCACTGAAACAATCCCCTCACCTCAAAAATTCCCCTCACTGAAACAATCCCCTCACCTCAAAAATTCCCCTCACTGAAACAATCCCCTCACCTCAAAAATTCCCCTCACTGAAACAATCCCCTCACCTCAAAAATTCCCCTCACTGAAACAATCCCCTCACCTCAAAAATTCCCCTCACTGAAACAATCCCCTCACCTCAAAAATTCCCCTCACTGAAACAATCCCCTCACCTCAAAATTCCCCTCACTGAAACAATCCCCTCACCTCAAAAATTCCCCTCACTGAAACAATCCCCTCACCTCAAAAAATCCCCTCACTGAAACAATCCCCTCACCTCAAAAATTCCCCTCACTGAAACAATCCCCTCACCTCAAAATTACCCTCACTGAAACAATCCCCTCACCTCAAAAATTCCCCTCACTGAAACAATCCCCTCACCTCAAAAATTCCCCTCACTGAAACAATCCCCTCACCTAAAAATTCCCCTCACTGAAACAATCCCCTCACCTCAAAAAATTCCCCTCACTGAAACAATCCCCTCACCTCAAAAATTCCCCTCACTGAAACAATCCCCTCACCTCAACAATTCCCTCACTGAAACAATCCCCTCACTGAAAAATCCCCTCACTGAAAAATTCCCTCACTGAAACAATCCCCTCACCTGAAAAATTCCCCTCACTGAAACAATCCCCTCACCTCAAAATCCCCTCACTGAAACAATCCCCTCACCTACAAAATTCCCCTCACTGAAACAATCCCCTCACCTACAAAATTCCCCTCACTGAAACAATCCCCTCACCTAAAATTCCCCTCACTGAAACAATCCCCTCACCTCAAAATTCCCCTCACTGAAACAATCCCCTCACCTAAAAATTCCCCTCACTGAAACAATCCCCTCACCTAAAAATTCCCCTCACTGAAACAATCCCCTCACCTCAAAAATTCCCCTCACTGAAACAATCCCCTCACCTCAAAAATTCCCCTCACTGAAACAATCCCCTCACCTCAAAAATTCCCCTCACTGAAACAATCCCCTCACCTCAAAAATTCCCTCACTGAAACAATCCCCTCACCTCAAAAATTCCCCTCACTGAAACAATCCCCTCACCTCAAAAATTCCCCTCACTGAAACAATCCCCTCACCTCAAAAATTCCCCTCACTGAAACAATCCCCTCACCTCAAAAATTCCCCTCACTGAAACAATCCCCTCACCTCAAAAATTCCCCTCACTGAAACAATCCCCTCACCTCAAAATTCCCCTCACTGAAACAATCCCCTCACCTAAAATTCCCCTCACTGAAACAATCCCCTCACCTCAAAAATTCCCCTCACTGAAACAATCCCCTCACCTCAAAAATTCCCCTCACTGAAACAATCCCCTCACCTCAAAAATTCCCCTCACTGAAACAATCCCCTCACCTCAAAAATTCCCCTCACTGAAACAATCCCCTCACCTCAAAAATTCCCCTCACTGAAACAATCCCCTCACCTCAAAAATTCCCCTCACTGAAACAATCCCCTCACCTCAAAAATTCCCCTCACTGAAACAATCCCCTCACCTCAAAAATTCCCCTCACTGAAACAATCCCCTCACCTCAAAAATTCCCCTCACTGAAACAATCCCCTCACCTCAAAAATTCCCCTCACTGAAACAATCCCCTCACCTCAAAATTCCCTCACTGAAACAATCCCCTCACCTCAAAAATTCCCCTCACTGAAACAATCCCCTCACCTCAAAAAATCCCCTCACTGAAACAATCCCCTCACCTCAAAAATTCCCCTCACTGAAACAATCCCCTCACCTCACAAATTACCCTCACTGAAACAATCCCCTCACCTCAAAAATTCCCCTCACTGAAACAATCCCCTCACCTCAAAATTACCCTCACTGAAACAATCCCCTCACCTCAAAAATTCCCCTCACTGAAACAATCCCCTCACCTCAAAATTCCCCTCACTGAAACAATCCCCTCACCTAAAAATTCCCCTCACTGAAACAATCCCCTCACCTCAAAAATTCCCCTCACTGAAACAATCCCCTCACCTCAAAAATTCCCCTCACTGAAACAATCCCCTCACCTCAAAATTACCCTCACTGAAACAATCCCCTCACCTCAAAATTCCCCTCACTGAAACAATCCCTCACCTCAAAAATTCCCCTCACTGAAACAATCCCTCACCTCAAAAATTCCCCTCACTGAAACAATCCCCTCACCTCAAAATTTCCCCTCACTGAAACAATCCCCTCACCTACAAAATTCCCCTCACTGAAACAATCCCCTCACCTAAAATTCCCCTCACTGAAACAATCCCTCACCTCAAAAATTCCCCTCACTGAAACAATCCCCTCACCTCAAGAATTCCCCTCACTGAAACAATCCCCTCACCTACAAAATTCCCCTCACTGAAACAATCCCCTCACCTACAAAATTCCCCTCACTGAAACAATCCCCTCACCTCAAAAATTCCCCTCACTGAAACAATCCCCTCACCTCAAAAATTCCCCTCACTGAAACAATCCCCTCACCTACAAAATTCCCCTCACTGAAACAATCCCCTCACCTACAAAATTCCCCTCACTGAAACAATCCCCTCACCTCAAAATTCCCCTCACTGAAACAATCCCCTCACCTCAAAAATTCCCCTCACTGAAACAATCCCCTCACCTCAAAAATTCCGCTCACTGAAACAATCCCCTCACCTCAAAAAATCCCCTCACTGAAACAATCCCCTCACCTCAAGAATTCCCCTCACTGAAACAATCCCCACACCTAAAAATTCCCCTCACTGAAACAATCCCCTCACCTCAAAAATCCCCTCACTGAAACAATCCCCTCACCTCAAAAATTCCCCTCGCTGAAACAATCCCCTCACCTCACAAATTACCCTCACTGAAACAATCCCCTCACCTCAAAAATTCCCCTCACTGAAACAATTCCCTCACCTCAAAAATTCCCCTCACTGAAACAATCCCCTCACTGAAACAATCCCCTCACCTCAAAAATTCCCCTCACTGAAACAATCCCCTCACCTACAAAATTCCCCTCACTGAAACAATCCCCTCACCTAATATTCCCCTCACTGAAACAATCCCCTCACCTCAAGAATTCCCCTCACTGAAACAATCCCCTCACCTAAAAATTCCCCTCACTGAAACAATCCCCTCACCTCAAAAATTCCCCTCACTGAAACAATCCCCTCACCTCAAAAATTCCCCTCACTGAAACAATCCCCTCACCTCAAAAATTCCCCTCACTGAAACAATCCCCTCACCCAAAAATTACCCTCACTGAAACAATCCCCTCACCTCAAAAATTCCCCTCACTGAAACAATCCCCTCACCTCAAAAATTCCCCTCACTGAAACAATCCCCTCACCTCAAAAATTCCCCTCACTGAAACAATCCCCTCACCTCAAAAATTCCCTCACTGAAACAATCCCCTCACCTCTTAAATTCCCCTCACTGAAACAATCCCCTCACCTCAAGAATTCCCCTCACTGAAACAATCCCCTCACCTTACAAATTACCCTCACTGAAACAATACCCTCACCTCAAAAATTCCCCTCACTGAAACAATCCCCTCACCTCAAAAATTCCTGTCACTGAAACAATTCCCTCACCTCAAAAATTCCCCTCACTGAAACAATCCCCTCACCTTAAAAATTCCTGTCACTGAAACAATCCCCTCACCTCAAAAATTCCCCTCACTGAAACAATCCCCTCACCTCAAAAATTCCCCTCACTGAAACAATCCCCTCACCTCAAAAATTCCCCTCACTGAAACAATCCCCTCACCTCAAAAATTTCCCTCACTGAAACAATCCCCTCACCTCAAAAATTCCCCTCACTGAAACAATCCCCTCACCTCAAAATCCCCTCACTGAAACAATCCCCTCACCTCAAAAATTCCCCTCACTGAAACAATCCCCTCACCTCACAAATTACCCTCACTGAAACAATCCCCTCACCTCAAAAATTCCCCTCACTGAAACAATCCCCTCACCTCAAGAATTCCCCTCACTGCAACAATCCCCATACCTTAAAAATTCCCCTCACTGAAACAATCCCCTCACCTCAAAAAATCCCCTCACTGAAACAATCCCCTCACCTCAAAAATTCCCCTCACTGAAACAATCCCCTCACCTCACAAATTACCCTCACTGAAACAATCCCCTCACCTCAAAAATTCCCCTCACTGAAACAATTCCCTCACCTCAAAAATTCCCCTCACTGAAACAATTCCCTCACCTCAAAAATTCCCCTCACTGAAACAATCCCCTCACCTCAAAATTTCCCCTCACTGAAACAATCCCCTCACCTACAAAATTCCCCTCACTGAAACAATCCCCTCACCTAAATATTCCCCTCACTGAAACAATCCCATCACCTCAAAAATTCCCCTCACTGAAACAATCCCCTCACCTCAAGAATTCCCCTCACTGAAACAATCCCCTCACCTACAAAATTCCCCTCACTGAAACAATCCCCTCACCTACAAAATTCCCCTCACTGAAACAATCCCCTCACCTCAAAAATTCCCCTCACTGAAACAATCCCCTCACCTCAAAAATTCCCCTCACTGAAACAATCCCCTCACCTCAAAAATTCCGCTCACTGAAACAATCCCCTCACCTAAAAAAATCCCCTCACTGAAACAATCCCCTCACCTCAAGAATTCCCCTCACTGAAACAATCCCCACACCTTAAAAATTCCCCTCACTGAAACAATCCCCTCACCTCAAAAAATCCCCTCACTGAAACAATCCCCTCACCTCAAAAATTCCCCTCGCTGAAACAATCCCCTCACCTCACAAATTACCCTCACTGAAACAATCCCCTCACCTCAAAAATTCCCCTCACTGAAACAATTCCCTCACCTCAAAAATTCCCCTCACTGAAACAATCCCCTCACTGAAACAATCCCCTCACCTCAAAAATTCCCCTCACTGAAACAATCCCCTCACCTACAAAATTCCCCTCACTGAAACAATCCCCTCACCTTAATATTCCCCTCACTGAAACAATCCCCTCACCTCAAGAATTCCCCTCACTGAAACAATCCCCTCACCTACAAAATTCCCCTCACTGAAACAATCCCCTCACCTACAAAATTCCCCTCACTGAAACAATCCCCTCACCTCAAAAATTCCCCTCACTGAAACAATCCCCTCACCTCAAAAATTCCCCTCACTGAAACAATCCCCTCACCTCAAAAATTCCCCTCGCTGAAACAATCCACTCACCTAAAAAATTCCCCTCACTGAAACAATCCCCTCACCTCAAAAATTCCCCTCACTGAAACAATCCCCTCACCTCAAAAATTCCCCTCACTGAAACAATCCCCTCACCTCAAAAATTCCCCTCACTGAAACAATCCCCTCACCTCAAAAATTTCCCTCACTGAAACAATCCCCTCACCTCAAAAATTCCCCTCACTGAAACAATCCCCTCACCTCAAGAATTCCCCTCACTGAAACAATCCCCTCACCTCAAAAAATCCCCTCAATGGAACAATCCCCTCATCTCAAAAATTCCCCTCACTGAAACAATCCCCTCACCTCACAAATTACCCTCACTGAAACAATACCCTCACCTCAAAAATTCCCCTCACTGAAACAATCCCCTCACCTCAAAAATTCCCCTCACTGAAACAATCCCCTCACCTCAAAAATTCCCCTCACTGAAACAATCCCCTCACCTCAAAAATTACCCTCACTGAAACAATCCCCTCACCTCAAAAATTCCCCTCACTGAAACAATCCCCTCACCTCAAAAATTCCCCTCACTGAAACAATCCCCTCACCTCAAAAATTTCCCTCACTGAAACAATCCCCTCACCTCAAAAATTCTCCTCACTGAAACAATCCCCTCACCTCAAGAATTCCCCTCACTGAAACAATCCCCTCACCTTAAAAATTCCCCTCACTGAAACAATCCCCTCACCTCAAAAAATCCCCTCACTGAAACAATCCCCTCACCTCAAAAATTCCCCTCACTGAAACAATCCCCTCACCTCACAAATTACCCTCACTGAAACAATCCCCTCACCTCAAAAATTCCCCTCACTGAAACAATCCCCTCACCTCAAGAATTCCCCTCACTGAAACAATCCCCATACCTTAAAAATTCCCCTCACTGAAACAATCCCCTCACCTCAAAAAATCCCCTCACTGAAACAATCCCCTCACCTCAAAAATTCCCCTCACTGAAACAATCCCCTCACCTCACAAATTACCCTCACTGAAACAATCCCCTCACCTCAAAAATTCCCCTCACTGAAACAATTCCCTCACCTCAAAAATTCCCCTCACTGAAACAATTCCCTCACCTCAAAAATTCCCCTCACTGAAACAATCCCCTCACCTCAAAAATTCCCCTCACTGAAACAATCCCCTCACCTACAAAATTCCCCTCACTGAAACAATCCCCTCACCTAAATATTCCCCTCACTGAAACAATCCCCTCACCTCAAAAATTCCCCTCACTGAAACAATCCCCTCACCTCAAGAATTCCCCTCACTGAAACAATCCCCTCACCTACAAAATTCCCGTCACTGAAACAATCCCCTCACCTACAAAATTCCCCTCACTGAAACAATCCCCTCACCTCAAAAATTCCCCTCACTGAAACAATCCCCTCACCTCAAAAATTCCCCTCACTGAAACAATCCCCTCACCTCAAAAATTCCGCTCACTGAAACAATCCCCTCACCTCAAAAAATCCCCTCACTGAAACAATCCCCTCACCTACAAAATTCCCCTCACTGAAACAATCCCCTCACCTCAAAAATCCCCCTCACTGAAACAATCCCCTCACCTCACAAATTCCCCTCACTGAAACAATCCCCTCACCTCAAAAATTCCCCTCACTGAAACAATCCCCTCACCTCAAAGATTTCTCTCACTGAAACAATCCCCTCACCTCAAAAATTACCCTCACTGAAACAATCCCCTCACCTCAAAAATTCCCCTCACTGAAACAATCCCCACACCTTAAAAATTCCCCTCACTGAAACAATCCCCTCACCTCAAAAAATCCCCTCACTGAAACAATCCCCTCACCTCAAAAATTCCCCTCACTGAAACAATCCCCTCACCTCAAAAATTCCCCTCACTGAAACAATTCCCTCACCTCAAAAATTCCCCTCACTGAAACAATTCCCTCACCTCAAAAATTCCCCTCACTGAAACAATCCCCTCACCTCAAAAATTCCCATCACTGAAACAATCCCATCACCTACAAAATTCCCCTCACTGAAACAATCCCCTCACCTAAATATTCCCCTCACTGAAACAATCCCCTCACCTAAAAAATTCCCCTCACTGAAACAATCCCCTCACCTCAAGAATTCCCCTCACTGAAACAATCCCCTCACCTACAAAATTCCCCTCACTGAAACAATCCCCTCACCTACAAAATTCCCCTCACTGAAACAATCCCCTCATCTCAAAAATTCCCCTCACTGAAACAATCCCCTCACCTCAAAAATTCCCCTCACTGAAACAATCCCCTCACCTCAAAAATTCCCCTCACTGAAACAATCCCCTCATTTCAAAAATCCCCTCACTGAAACAATCCCCTCACCTACAAAATTCCCCTCACTGAAACAATCCCCTCACCTCAAAAATTCCACTCACTGAAACAATCCCCTCACCTCAAAAATTCCCCTCACTGAAACAATCCCCTCACCTCACAAATTCCCCTCACTGAACCAATCCCCTCACCTCACGAATTCCCCTCACTGAAACAATCCCCTCACCTCAAAAATTCCCCTCACTAAAACAATCCCCTCACCTCAAAAAATCCCCTCACTGAAACAATCCCCTCACCTCAAAAATTCCCCTCACTGAAACAATCCCCTCACCTCAAAATTTCCCCTCACTGAAACAATCCCCTCACTTTAAAAATTGCCCTCACTGCAACAATCCCCTCACCTCAAAAATTCCCCTCACTGAAACAATCCCCTCACCTCAAAAATTCCCCTCACTGAAACAATCCCCTCACCTCACTGAAACAATTCCCTCACCTCAAAAATTCCCCTCACTGAAACAATTCCCTCACCTCAAAAATTCCCCTCACTGAAACAATCCCCTCACCTCAAAAATTCCCCTCGCTGAAACAATCCCCTCACCTACAAAATTCCCCTCACTGAAACAATCCCCTCACCCAATTCCCCTCACTGAAACAATCCCCTCACCTCAAAAATTCCCCTCACTGAAACAATTCCCTCACCTCAAAAATTCCCCTCACTGAAACAATCCCCTCACCTCAAAAATTCCCCTCACTGAAACAATCCAATCACCTACAAAATTCCCCTCACTGAAACAATCCCCTCACCTACAAAATTCCCCTCACTGAAACAATCCCCTCACCTCAAAAATTCCCCTCACTGAAACAATCCCCTCACCTCAAAAATTCCCCTCACTGAAACAATCCCCTCACCTAAAAAATTCCCCTCACTGAAACAATCCCCTCACCTCAAAAATTCCCCTCACTGAAACAATCCCCTCACCTCAAAAAATCCCCTCACTGAAACAATCCCCTCACCTACAAAATTCCCCTCACTGAAACAATCCCCTCACCTCAAAAATTCCCCTCACTGAAACAATCCCCTCACCTCAAAAATTCCCCTCACTGAAACAATCCCCTTACCTCACAAATTCCCCTCACTGAACCAATCCCCCCACCTCACAAATTCCCCTCACTGAAACAATCCCCTCACCTCAAAAATTCCCCTCACTAAAACAATCCCCTCACCTCAAAAAATCCCCTCACTGAAACAATCCCCTCACCTAAAAAATTCCCCTCACTGAAACAATCCCCTCACCTCAAAATTTCCCCTCACTGAAACAATCCCCTCACTTTAAAAATTGCCCTCACTGCAACAATCCCCTCACCTCAAAAATTCCCCTCACTGAAACAATCCCCTCACCTCGCCCAGTGGGTTCTTCCACCTGCTCGGTTGTGATGTTGTAAAACATGCTGTTGATGTCAGGTGCTTCCCTCTTCACCTCTCACTCTCAGCGCTCTCACATGTTCAGCTCCTCACCTCGCCCTGTTGGATCCTCCACTTGCTCCGTGCTGATGTTATAGAACATGCTGTTGATTGTAAGGTCCCTCCTCAACGCGTCCTCCTCTGCTGTTCCAAACTCCTGCCACGGGAGCAAGCGGGATGTGAGGGCGACATGACTGGGAAGAAAGCGATACAATAGCAGCTCGCCTGAACCTTACCGTTTGGCCATATATCTAGAAAATATTGAGCTCTTACAATGGAAAGGATGGGATTCTGGAGTTGTGGGTGTACTCTTGTGCCCTTTGGAACAGTGCCATTTCAACTAGTAACCCTATAACCATGTTTAACATTGAGAGCACTCACAATGGTGTGTGGGATTCTGGAGTCGTGTGCGTACTCCTCCGCCCTCAGATTCACAAAGTCGATCCACATGCCGTGAATCATCATGGTTGCTGTCTCCAGGTGCTTTGACTGGTCGGGGTTCCTGCGCGGAGGAGAAATGAGGGAAGACGAAATTTTTGGATTGACCTGAGGCCACTGGGGGAAGGGCCTGGTCATGTTTCAAACATTGCATTCATTCTCCAATGCCTCAAGCATCCGCCCGGATGGAGACTTCTCGTGAATCATCATGGTTGCTGTCTCCATGTGCTGAAAGGAGAAAGGAGAAAGGAGGGGAGCTGAATGCTTTTGGATTGACCTGAGAGCACTGGGGGAAGGGCCTGGTCATGTGTGAGACATTGCATCCATTCTCTATACTTCTTGTGAATCATCGTTGTTGCTGTCTCCAGGTGCTTTGACTGGTCGGGGTTCCTGAGGAGATTGGAGGGAAGGGGAGAGGGAAGGGGAAGGAACGGAGAATTGCAATGCGCTTGGAGCAATGCATTCATGTACATGCGGGGAAGTGAATCATCATAGCTACTGTCTCCAGGTGCTTCGACTGGTCGGAGTTCCTGAAGAGATTGGAGGAAAGGGGAGAGGGGGGAGGGAACGGCGCATTGCAATGCGCTTGAAACACTGCATTCATGCGCATGCGGGGAAGTGAATCATCATGGTTGCTGTCTCCAGGTGCTTCGACTGGTAAGGGTTCCTGAGGAGATTGGAGAATGTGGGAGAGGGAAGGGGGAGGGACGGAGCATTGCAGTGCACTTGAAACACTGCATTCATGTGCTTCCGGGGAAGTGAATCATCGTCGTTGCTGTCTCCAGGTGCTTCCACTGGCCGGGGTTCTTGTGGGAGTAGGAAGCACACACAATGTTAGACCACATAGGTTGCTATTGTCTATCTATTAGTGAACTTTTGAACACCAAATAGACAGTAGCGACTCTTTGAGTGCACAACACGCGAGAGTGGTGTTAAGCTTAGCACAGCCCCTCGCCCTGCATGGCCTTAACCTCGCCTCATTTCCCTCGACTACTCGCGTCTGAATGACCCCCACGCCCCGCACGACCTCCCCCCGCTCCTTGAGATATTCCGTGACCTTCTCTGCGAGTTTCCCGCACTCCCTCACCCCCCAAAGGCAACCGCCCTACACCCTGCACACCCTCCGCCACTCACGTCTGAATGACCCCCACGCCCCGCACGACCTCCCCTTGCTCCTTGAGATATTCCGTGACCTTCTCTGCGAATTCCCTCCCCAGCAGGTTGTCGAGAGCAATGTCAATGTCTATGCAATCGCGCCCTATCAGCTGCGATTCAGTGGGGTGGAGAGGGGTTGAGTGGGATGGGATGGGATGGAGTGGATGGAGTGGGAGTGGGATGGGAGGGGGTGAGTCAACAGGTGACCTTCTCTGCGAATCCCCTCCCCAGCAGGTTGTCGAGAGCTATGTCGATGTCTATGCAGTCGCGGCCAATCAGCTGCGATTTAGTGGGGCGGAGAGGGGTGGAGAGGGATGGAAGGGAGTGAGTCAACAGGTTGCCTTCTCTGGAAAATCCCTCTCCAGCAGGTTGTTGATGCCAATGCAATCGCGGCCTATCAGCTGCAATTTAGTGGCATGGGGAGGGATACAGAGGGTTAGAGAGGGGCGTAGAGGGGTGCAGAGGGATGGGAGGAGGTGAGCCAGCAGATTGCGTTCTATGCGAAGTGCCTCCCCAGCAGCAGGTTGTCCAAAGAGCTATGTCAATGTCTATGCAGAGAAATCAATAAAGTCGTCCCTCCCGGCTTCACCCCTCCCGGCATCACCCCACCCCTCCCAGCTTCACCCCTCCCGTCTTGGACCCTCACACCTCACCTTATCGCGCACCCAGCCTCCCGCCACTCGCAGCTGCGTGCCCAGTCCGTAGTGCGACACCACGTCCCTCAGAGTGCTGAATCAAAAGACCTCGCTTGCTTGTCGAGTCTCTTGCCTCACGCACACCTCAAACCCGAAACCTCACCTTATCGCGCACCCAGCTTCCCGCCACCCTCAGCTGTGTTCCCAGCGCGTAGTGCGACACCACGTCCCTCAGAGTGCTGAATCAGAGCAGAACAGCTCCCTTGTTTCACACCCCGTTTGCTTCACACCCCGTTTGCTTCACCCCTCACCTTGTCGCGCACCCATCCACCCGCCACGCGCAGCTGAGTGCCCAGCCCATAGTGCGACACGATGTCCCTCAGAGTGCTGAATAAGTGCGACTCGTCCTCGGTCAGCCGTACCACCCCCGTCACCCGCACCGCTTCGGGATCGCCGAACGCCATCGCGGAACCGACGCGCGGAGGGCGTCTCCGCGGCTCCGCGGACTGCGCTTCTCCTGCGGAACCTCCTGCTGACGTGGAAGTTGCCGCTGCTGACGTGGAATTCTCTCGCGCTGACTCAGCTGCGTCCAGGCTTGGGTCTTCCGGCGCGGCTGTTGCTGACGTCGGCGCCGATCGTGAAACCCGGAATTCACGCGATTGCCTCGTGTTCACCTGCTGCTGATCCTTAAACCTCCCTTGTACTGACGCAAACCAGGAGAACCCGCGATATTGAGTTACCCGATGATTCGGCCTTACTAAGGCGGCTCCTGTCAGTACCTTCCTTTCTGCTCCCACCTTCGCCCCAGCCTCCCTCCCCTTACTGTCTTTCCCAGCAGCAGCAACAGCAGCAGCAATGCGAGTCGACTTGATTGCTTCAAGAGATGTGCTAACTCGAAGGACCCGGCCTAAACTCCGCGTTCCAACCCCCCACCCGTGCGCGAAAGCGTAACCAAAGGTAAGCCGCGACGCGTCGCAGGAATTAAGGACTTTAAACTGCGCCAGTTGCGCTTCAACAAATCGCCTAATCTCACAGAGCCTCCGCGGCGGCTCGCCTGCTCTTGAAATTGAGGATTTCCAAGGACTGAGCTGATCGGCCGGTGGTGCGAGAAAGCTTCTACGGAGGCAGTTTAAGCGGCACCTCGGGAAGCACGGCGTGGATCGCGCAGAGAGGACTCGCCACGTGTTCAAAGCTACGCGCGACGCGATCGTCCGCTCCACTGAGAGAGGGAAAACGCGGTGCGACGCCACGGTGACGAGCTGCTTGGGATGCCAGTATGACTACTAATGATGAATGGCAGGGCGAAGACCCCTAGGGAATGGTGAACGAGTCGCCCGAAACACCTGGTGAACATTCGTTAAGATATGACGCGATAACTATTAAGAATGCTCCTTCGCCTCTGCACTAAAGCCTGCTACATGGGGGTGCTTGAATCTACGGTTTCTCAAGGTTGATCAAATATTAGAAACTTGCAAAAATTGTTTTAAAATTCATAACATTATTACCTAATAGCCTAACATGAAACCTGATCTAATATGGACTGCAAATATGCTAAGGGATTTACATGTAAGGCATCTTAAGAATGTTCTCATAAATTTATTACAAGCACACTCATTTATGTATAATCTGCTAGATACAAGGTGGTGCTTCTTGTTTATATTAGTACACAATTTTTAGTGCGTACTTCTGATTTGGCAAGATGGGCCTTCTGCAATTTCAGGACGCTACAAGAATGGGCTTTCACGCGCTTTTTATCGTGCCCGTTTCGATACTAGCTGGAACCGTTTGACCATAGCATGGTTGGCACAACCGTGTCCACATATGCTGTTGAGTGACTAGCTGCCTGCGTGGATGGAACGCCTGTCTTCACACTTGATTTTGCTCATCTTGAGCCCATACTGTGTCCACAAACTTCCATTGCAGGATTTGAAAACCGTTGCAGCAACCCGCAGTTGGGAAAGATAAAGATTCTGTTGTGACCAGATGCCGCTGTCGATGTCCATACGGAATTATGATTGCAGCCCTTCAGGCCCTTCGGGCGGGGATGGGTCATGTCTTTGAATCTTTGCTAATTACATATTCGGTGCTACATAAGGCGTGGTGCGCAGTGAGTGCGCCCTGATGGAAGGGAAAGCCTGGATTTCCACAATTTCCAGCTGTGAACGCGTTGCTATCACATCACATCACTCAAAGCGGCAGGCCATCTTTTTCCACGCCGCAAAATTCCACACCCCAGCCCGTCCAGGTATTCAGTAACCTCCAGTTCCTAAATGAAGGATGTTGTGGCTCATCGCCTACCTGAATCTCTGAAGTTAGTCTTTATTTTCAGGATTTTTGGTGTACGACTTCTCGAGGTGTCCCCGCTGTCGCAACTTTGAAATGACAATCAACACCAGTGGTGGGCTCCACTAGACATTTTGAACGCACACCAATCTACGCGATCAGATCAGTGGAACGACCTCCACAAAAACACATGGACACGATTCGTGCAATCAATTCCGCGCCATACTGTTTTGGGGGGTTCGACCTTGTACTGTATACAGTCGGTGCTCATTTCAAGAACACCAGGTAGGCGGGCGGCATGTGCGTGAAACGAGTTCGGGTCAGTTCGTCATGTTCGCCCTTGTCGCCACGGGCAAAATTGTGATTGTAAAATGAAATTGGAATTTGAAACGAGTCCGGGGGTTTAAGTTCGTAACCAGGTAAACAATTCTGATGACGGGCAATCGCTGTTGTTTATGAACTGTAGATGTTTTTCTTCCGCAACTTGGTGACTGTACCCGAAATCAGCACAATCACCACTCACAGGGAAAACGTTCGCGAGTGACTAAATTTCTGTACCCTATGAAACTTGGTGCATCGGTTCTTGACGTGAGTCACGTGTCCCACCGTGCTGGAAGGGTCTGGCCAGCTGTTCCCAGAACCCTGATTCTGATTGAAAGTCCTGTCTGCCAAGGCCTGGTCCCGATTTCGAATATGGAACTGTACAGTGTATCTATTTATACCTATACAGTTCAAAAAAACAGGCACTTTCTGCCCCAATTTCCATCAGTGTCAACCAGGGCCTATGTTATCAGGGCAATTACCCTGTTTTGACTGAAATTATGAGGTGATTTTTAGAGCAGCCCTGATTTTCACAAGGTGATTTTCGGACCAGCCCGTAAACCTGAAGGGCGATTTTTGAGCCCACTCGGATCACTCCGGGATGTTTTCGAGGGGACCCGGAAAGTTTTAGCAACACTTATAGTCCCCGACCTGCTTCGCATCCCCTCCCTCTCCCCGTGTACAACGCATAGCCCACTTTCAGTGAAATTTCCTTGGCATTTGCTCCTGGTTTGGCCTTCAGGTGTTTGATTTCCGGTACTGCGTTGACGTGGCTATTAGTACTCCTCCACATATAGAAATTTCTAAGTATACAGAAAGTCTCTCTCCCCCCTCTAGTGCCGCTCTTAAATCTCCAACCTTCCCAGCCTTCGTGCCACCCACTGTGAGTTTCACGATCATTTCCCCATCCCGCGAGATTCTGGTAAGGTAGGTTTTCAGGCCTTTTCTGGCACGAACCCGGATTCGTGAAGGTTTTTTTTCTGCTGGCTCGTATTTTACAGGGTCTTTTTCACAGGGGCCCGGATCGTCCGAGCTAGCAAAAATCCTAGCAATAGCCCTGGTGTCAACCCTCTCCGACCAGCAGTGGAGTGGAATGGTGTTTTCTTGCTCAACTGACTGCCTGGCTGGTCGAGCAGCCCCCGCGGTTCATCAGAGCCAAGCGTTTTTGGCGGGGAAGGAACTGAAAGAGGAGCACCACCGCACCAGACAACTAGACCACGAGAGCCCCGCAGGGGCTGCAAGTGCAAGCGAGGATGGCCACACTGACACATTTCACATAGCTCCATCCTTCCCCAGAGCATCATTTCGAATCCTTGTGCCAAGAACCCGAAAAAAGATCAGACGAGAACCTTGTCACGCGGAACCCTTTTGCCTAGAGTCTCCGGCACTAGTAGTAACTTTCCGCTTTTGTGAATCAAACGTACTTGTCATTGCAGATTTTTTGTCTAGGTAGTAGCAGTTTCATTTCAAACGTCGCCGAGCTCATAATGATGCAGTGTCAGTCACAGCTCGCCGTCATGTCCGGCGAGTCGCATCAATGGCGTCAGCACCAAAATCAGGACCAGCAAGGCTCGTCGAACAGAGACTGTCGCACAGCCGCTAGGTCACCCTCCGCCGAGTCCGCCGCCTCTCGCGGTGGATATTCCGTCAAAGGGTTTCTGAACACGCTCAAGAAAGGGACTTCCGGAATCAATGTCGCCAAGCGCGGTAGCGCAAGCAGCGCAGGGGCAGAATCTGGCGGGACCATGCTTCAAAGCGTTCGGACCGGGGGGAAAGACGGCGGAGTGGACGGGGACGGTCCTCAAGTAACGATAAGTAGACGGAGAACGTTAGCGGAGATGGAGCGATTAGACGTAAACGGCAGGAATCGCAGACCAGGGGCACTGAATACTATTCCCTCCCCCTCATCTAGCAATCCGAGTCAGTCCATGCGGTCACCCTCGCACCACAAGCAGCCGCCGTATCAAGCCGCCCAATTATCCCCCGTTGCGGCTCGGCGGAATTTGATCCCGCAGCAGAATACCGCGCCGCAGCGTGCCGCGCCGAGTCCCCGCGGCCGGAAGCCGCCAATCTCTCCGCCGTCGCCAAAGCCGCCGGCGCTTTCGGCGGGTTCCGCCGCCGTGGACGTATCCGTGGAACCTTCCGCGCACAACGCCCCGCGGAGATTCAGCTCTTGCCCCGTGCGGTCGGAGGCGCAACGTCTGCCGCAATCCCCGACGTCAGACGTGACGGCCTCCGCTCCCGCCGCCGCCGCTATTTCGTCGTTCCCGCTCGTCGGGATGTGGGCCAAGCAGTCAAAAAAACCAGCGGCGGTTGCGGAGGGCGGAAGCGGGATTTCCGCTCCTCCACCGGCCGGTGGTTCCGCGCGACGGGAAGACCGCGCGGGGAATGAGTTATTGCGCCCATCCGCTAGCGGCAATGCTGGAAGCGGTTCCCGCAGCGGAAGAAACATCAGCGCAACTTCCGGCCGATGCAGCCCCCGAGTCGGGGATTCGTGTGCGATTTCTGAGGAGACGACCGACGGAAAGCGTCGGGATGCCGCGAATGGCGCCGTGACTGACGGCTCGAGTGACGGCGGTGATTCTGACGACGAGTTCGTGGATCTCTATTGGACGGCATTGGAACACCGCAAGGCGGCAAACGCGGCGCTTTCCACGGCGCTGAATCGGCTCGGGGTGGGTGCAGGGGGAGCGAAAGCGGAAGCGTGTTTTGCGGGGGGAAGCGCGCGCAACTGCGGTCGCGGAAACGATGCGGAAGGGCTCGGCGGAAGGCGGAGGCGGAGCAGCAGCTGGGGGAACCTCGCGGATTCGCATCATCCGCTGCAAGGGGGGCAGGGGGACGGAAGCGGGCGGTTCGCGCGGCGACAGGCGGGACAGGTGGGATTTGGGGAAGGCGGTTCGGGCGATATCGCAACGGGCTCGGGCAGGCTCGGAGAAAAAGAAACTGCGGCTGCGGCTGCCGCCGCTGCCGCTGCTTCTGCAGAATTCGCTTTTCCCAAATACGGTGCGGCTAGTAACGGGGTTGCGCGTAGCGGGGATGAGGGCGCGCTCCCGGGGCACAGGCGGCGGCACAGTATCACGTGTATCGACACTGAGCTGAAGGAATTCCTTGACTTGGTTGACTTGGAAGATGACGTGGACGGCGAGGGCGACGCGGGGGAAGCGGAGGGGGACGCGGAGGGGGAAGCGGCGGGAAAATCGGGGGGAGATGCGGAGCGTGAGGGAGGGATGCGCAGAAATGGGAGGAACCTTGTAAGGAGAGACACGAGGGGCCGCCCCGGTGCGAATGCGACTGCTAATGCGACTACACATGCGACCTTGTCTGCGACTGCATCTTCGCCTGTATGTGCGACTGCGACTGTTCGTTCCCCTGCAGCAGCAGCGGCAGCAGCGGCAGCAGCAGCGTCGCCGGCGGGCAGTAACCCCGCGTCTATGCGCACTAGTAACCCTTCGCCTCGCACGCGTTCCGGTCCACTGGTGCCCGCCCACGCTACCAGCCCCGGCGGCCGCCGCCCCGCGCGGCGCCGCAGCCAGACGTGCATCGACACAGACCTGAAGGAATTCCTTGACCTGATTGACTCGGACGAGGGGGAGGAGGGGGAGCGCGGGGAGCGCGGGGAGCGCGGGGAGGGCGGAGAGGGCGGGGAAAAGGGGAAAGCCGGGGAAGCAGGGGAGGGAGACGGGAGAAGGGTGAGCTTTGAGTTTGCGAAGCCTGAGGCTGCTGCCTCTGCCCGTCGCGGTGCTGCTGCTGGCGCCGCTGCCGCCCCTGCTGCTCCTGATAACGCTGCTGTTGCTGAGCTGCTGTTTAACCGTTGGAGGCCGGCGGCTTTAGCCCCGCCAGCTCCCGCTTCAGCCTCTGCAGCAGCTCCGGCAGCAGCTTCGGCAGCAGCCTTGGCAACAGGTTCGGCATCAAGTTCGGCATTGGCTGTACCTCCCGCCTTGGCTGGTTCGCAGGGTCACAGGCGGAGGCACAGCATCACGTGCATCGACACGGAGCTGAAGGAATTCCTTGACCTGGTTGACCAGGAGGATGACGTGGACGAGTTCATCTCCACCAGAGTCATCCACCTCCCCGCACCGCTTTCCACTGCTACGGACCCTCTTGTGCCGGCACCATACAGCACAAGAGCAGCAGCAACAGAAGGCATTGCAGGGAACGGAAAAACACCTGCTGGCTCCAATTTGTCCTCCCCCTCCTCCGTTGTCTCCACTGCTCTCACGCCGCTAGCCCCTGACGACCTCCCTCTTGGGTACTCCGCCTCTTCTCCCACTCCCCTCTCTCCAGCCTCACTAATCTCCCCATCAGCCAGCCCCTTATCCTCGCCCTCTGCAACTGCTGCTGCTGTGGCTGGATTTCCACGGCACGTGCTGGCATCTGGTAGTGCCAGCAACACACCTAAGGGAGGAGCCGTGGCGGCTCGCGCAGCTGCAGGGGGTGCGAGAAGAGGAGGGTGTGCTGGGGGTGACTCGAGCAGGGTTGGCGTGAGCCGCTCTGGTGGTGTTGCGTCTCTGTGGGCCGCTGCCTCGCACAACCCTGCCATCGCTCAACCGTCCCGCCGCCCTGCTGCTGCCCCTGGTCCACCTGCTGCTTCTGCAGGTGCTGTCGACACAGCTGCTGCTATGGCTTCAGCCGCTGCTGCTCCTGCTGCTGCCGACAGTGCGACTGCTCGGCCTGCCAACTCGCTGCGTGTGAACGGTCGGCGCCTCAGCGCAGGCGACCTGAGTGCCCTGCTCGGCGGCACCAGCTTCGAAACGAGCACGTTCGACAACACGTCTGGTTACCCCACTGGTTACGCCACTGGTTATGCCACTGGTTACCCTACCAAATACATGGGTGTAACCACGGCTGTGGTGGATGCAACTGGCAGCAGTGGTGGCGGCAGCAGCAGCGAGCGGTCTAGGCAAATGTGCTTGAGTGAGGCGCGGCGGATTGCTGGCGTCTGCTACCCCTCGATTGCTTCCGGCTCCCCTGCTCCTGGTCCTTCAGGTGCTCCTGGTCCCTCTGGTCCTCCCAGTCCTCCTGGTCGCCTTGGGTCTATTGGGTCCCTAGGCCCTCTTGCCCCTCCTCGCACTGCCTCCAATGGCAAGCCGCTCGGAGGTGGCGTTACCATGGCGTCTGAATCTGCCCGAGCTGCCCCTAGGGCTGGTCAGGAGTTTCTTGGGAACGCCCTACCGGGCAGTGCGTGTGAACTTTTTCCTGCCCGTGGAAAGCTGCTGTGGCCTGGCACTCCGGGAGTGCCTTCCCTTGGACAGGCTGGGAGGGCTGCTGATGGTGCTGCGTCTACCCCGGTAGCTGCTGCTTCCCCTCTGGCTGCTTCTGCCGGTAAAGGCTTGCAATCAAGGGCGCATCACAGGCGAAGCAGCAGCGCAGTGGTGGTGCCTCAGTCCTGTGAGTTGCTGGGTAAAGTTTCCCCTGGATCGGGGCATGGTTCAGGGAGGATTTCAGCCATGGGTGCGTATTCGTCCATCAGTGCTGCGGTTCAGAAGGGAGCTTGTGCCACGCGCCCCCTGCGTGATACTGCGAGTGCTCGTGCGTTGAATGTGAATTCCATTGCACGTGCTCTGGAAACTGCTCAACTGGGGCTGGCTTATGCCAAGCATTCGGAAATTGCTTAGGGAGAATGATTGAGGGACAACTAGATCGTTTTGGTGGTGCATTGAAGTATGGATGCAGGCTCATTTTTCACAATTTTTTTATGTGGTTAGTCGTTGGTGCTTGTTTTGTCCTAATAATGTGTTCTTTCACACCGTATATCACGTTTCTCCTGGACTTGAGAAATCATGTACTGAAATGCTGTCGTGGGACTCTCTAATTTCAATTCAATCGTTTGATCCTGATCGTGCTCTCACGGTCTCGCAATTGTCGTAGAGTCGGATGGAAAATCTCGCCCGTTAATCCAAGCATCCGGCGGCCCAAGGTGCCTCACACACCCACCTAAAGCGCACAAACGAGCGAGTCGCTTTTCTACGCAATTGGTCCAGCATTTCCAGCTGTCCACGGCGCAAGTCTCCAACCCCCATCCCCCCACCCACCCCGCTGGTGCACAGCACCACTCAGCTTGCGCTCCTCCTTGCATGGCAACGGATGGGGATCAATGTACCCCTCTCGGCTCTGCTTTCATCTGCTGCCCTGTGAGTGTAGGAACAACGTTTCGTTTACGATGGCGCAACAATTCTCCTGCATGCGACGATCCCACAAATCCGTTCGCCAATCTCCAGCCAATCCGTGCTCAAACGCGACCAGCCCAAACCGAACGAAGCCTTCCCTCTGACGCCCTTCTCTTTTGCCGTCAAAGCTCAAACGCAGACAGAAAAAGAGACGAGAATAGCAACACTGCAGCTGACTGATTGATCGCAAGCCTGACTAGAACAACCACCACCTGTACCAATTTTCCCGCATATTGTGATTGCTTCCCTGAACTGATAACTTTCGCCAGCTTGAACTCATCTGTCCCAGCAGCAGGGATTAGCTCGACTTTCTGATAGCTGGTTTTAAATCAGCAGGGATTAACTCGCTCGCATACGAAGGTTGTGGAGTCTGTGCGCTTGCCCCCGTATGAAATCAAGTCGAGGCGCAGGCCAGCGCCTGTGTCAACTGGCAAGATTTATCTTCCACTCCCTGGTCGTTTCAACACGCGGCAAGCATCATGTATGCGCGCGTGGGTTAAGCCACCATATGTGTCGTCATACGCAATAGTCGCGTCGCGTTTGGTGGAACTGAAATTAGACCCTTGCATTTACTAATCTCTTCGAAGCTTTCCGGTTTCTTGCGCGTTCTCCACCCTTGTCCTAGTTGTTGGTGCGCTATGTAATGGCTTGAGTTCAAGCAATTCGGATGCATCTTGTTTTAGCTCCTCGTAATGACAGCCGGGAGTATTGGCGGAGTTTTTGTGCTGATAAAGGCTCATTTCTCGGCAATGATATGTCAGAAAACATTCCCGTCCTTGCGTTTCTTGATGGCAGAGTTCGTGACCGATGGAGGTCCACTCGCAAAATCAAGACGCTGACGCGGATCCCTGTAAACAGCAACTTATGTTCGAGTTTGCTTTATTGGATGGCCTTGAAGTTTATCCTGCTCATCTCCTCCTAGGAGTTCACCGCCATTTTATGCTCTTCGCGTTAACGGACCACGTCAGCAGGAGGTTGGGACAAGAAGTTCCAGGAAACAGAATTATCGAGCACCTGGAGAGTTCCTTCAACATGGAGGGACTGAGGAATCGGCTGATTGGCGAAGAAGAGGCATGGCTGCAATCTCTTAGTGAAGAGAGTTTTTCCCTATCAAGTTCTCTTGGATCCCAAGAGCAATCTGATGGTTGACAAATACCTGTATGTAACCCATGTAGCGAGTTTGGGTGAATGCACATTTTGCATTATCCAGATTGTGGGCTTGGGTTCCTAGCCTTTTGCTAGTTTAGACATAGTACGTTTTGTGCAGTCTTCATGTAACATAGCGTACCATACAAATGTTCTTCACCATGGTAGTTGACTTGCCATGCAGGTGACGACTTATATATATATACATATATATGTATATATATATTTCAAGCAGGGTATTGGTTATGGACCGAGCTGGCTAGGTTAGCAACACGTATTGGATAAGCCTTGATGTTTATTTAATATTCTTACATGGAGAAAACAAAAACGTTGGTTGCTTTAACGGATATTGTAAAATGGACGATGTACAGTACAGTACAAGCACACGAAACAAGCACTGCCTGCGTTAGTTTCCTCGAATGTACTCTACAGCACACTTTGTACGGATGAGCCGCCTCTTGCTTTTCCCGATCGCTCCCTAGTTTCAGTACGCAGTTTCAGAACTGCCCCGAACATTTTAGAAAAAAGCGGTTTATTGTATAGTACATAAGTGTTTTAGTGAAGGCGGACGTCATCACGATATTTCCTCTCCGCACCAACCTGCTTCCCATTTTCCGTTCAACGCGTTCAGACTCTGTAACACAAGGCAAACATGACGAAACGTAGGGCTGTGGTGAATGGGTGGGCTGCCCGTCACAAACACGACTAGGGGGTCCGCTTGCATGTGCACCTACACTACTGTACAACTCTTGAGGGGTGTGGGAATCGTGCGAAACAGAACGACAGTTGGGACTTGGAAGCATTGGATTTTTGCAGTTCAAGCTTGGCGTTTTCACAAATGTGGACGAGGCAGGAGGGAACTGTGTGGTGGTCCCTGGTGTGGTGTGACGTTGCACGTCCTTGTACACCAGCAGAGCACAGTTTACGGGCAAGTTTCTGGCTTCAGGACCCCAAGCCAACCTATGTAGATTCCAAATAGACCGTTTTAAGACGCAAGGAACCTCGACGTTCCGGCTTCTGGGGCTCCGCCCTTAGTTCTACAACCCACTTGAGAGTTCACGTACAGTACACAAACTTTTTTTGGTGCACCAAAAAATCCGTTCGGCCCGGACCTGTGGGGTCCGGCCACATTCGGGGAATTCGAAAAATGAACCAGGTCCTGCCAAGCATTTCTTCTTGCTGCTGAAGCTGATTCTGATTGAACCAAACCAAAGCCTGCGCAGTGCATTTGCAGAGTTCCCCCATCAGCGTGCCTGTCGTTCTCTCCGTCGTACGATTTGTCGCTTGTTCTTCCCACCACCCCACCCCACCCCACCCACTCACCCACCAACCACGTCAGCCCTGAAGACCCGAGCAGTGGCATCCCCCATCCGAATCAGCTCTCTCGTGCGAGATCTGCATACTGTATTCTTCCTCCCTTCCCACACCGAGCTTCTTCACCCAAACTCGGCCTCTTGGGTTTGGTTGGGGTTGGGTTCGCTTGGGTCCCCTGCCCTGCCCAGACCCCTGCCCACGATATGGTACCAACACTGCACAACTCTCGGGTACACTCCCCCATCCCCCACAATGGTACAATACAGAACTGCACTGCACTTTCTGTGTTCTGGGCAGCAGGAAGGAGTGCAGCCGCGCAAAAAAGCGTTTCACAACAGTGCTTCGTTTCGTTACTTCCCACCGTCCTCCCACACCAACGGCATTTTCCGTTTCCCACCTCACGTTCTTCTGCTCGAGGTCGTCTCGTCTTGTCTCAGCAACCTTTCTGAACTTGCCATTTCCCCCAACCAACGTTCCTTGCAGCACTACTCTTGAACAGCAGAGCACAGAACAGCACACCACCTATTCCCAGACGCAGCGCATCGGGCATCCAGCTCACAACATTCTGGCTCACAACATTCAGGTTTTAGGAGACGGCGACTAGGCTCTACCTGGCTCGCCGAAACCAAGCGGAGCTGCGTGTTAACCTGTATTCGGAACCCTAGTCTTGAAATCCTCGCAGAGCCGAATTAGCTGCGTCTTGAAATACCTCCTTTCGAGCTACTAGCATTTTTTAAGTAAGAGTGTTGCTTGTTCCTCCATGACTAGCACGGATCACCATCCTGTGGCGGGCCCCCTCCGGCCGCCGCACAGAACGTCCTACTCTGCCGGGAAGTCCGTTACGAACGCGCTTTTCGGCAACCAAGTTGACGATGATTCGCCGGGAGCCCTGTCCAGCGTGTACGCGGCGCGTCGAACCCTTTCGCAAGACACGTCAGCGTCGCTGCTTTGCTCTGTAGATGCCGCCGGCATAAAGCAGTTCGAGAACGTGGAGCGAGCCTCTGTTCCCGCAGTCCCCGCCAAGACTGTAAATCTCTCTGCGACCGACTTACTGCTGCTCCTCAGCCCTAGTGTCGCCAATAACGCAAACCTCCACGCATCCACGAACAACCCGTACGGTTGTCGCGAGTGCTCGGGAAAGTTCCCCTCGTTAAACGCACTGAACGAGCATTATCAGGAAGAGCATCAAAAGGAGACCCACCTTTCTAATTCCAACTCCCCTCTTATCCATGGCGCCGGAGCGCTTACGCCAACTAGCGGGTTCTCAGACCGTCCGGATTCGGGATCCCCGGCGATAGAGTCTTCGGTATCGAACAGCGGGCGCACGAATCGCGGCAATGGACGGCGCGTTCTCAGCGGTCCGCTCGAGGCGCCGCGACGACGCACGGGACGGCGCGTCGTGAGTGGACCGTTGGAGCCGCGGAGAGTCACCGCGCGGAAGACTAGCGGTCAAGCGAGTCCGATGAGTCAAACAAGTCAAGGCACGGGAGAAGACGAGGCGTCGCCACCCGCGGACTGGTCTTGCGGAACGCCGAACGGGCGGAAGCGCACGCGGATTCCGTCAGAACCGATTCAGGAGTCCGCAATGAGCGGCGAGAGCTCCGAGACGAAAGAAACTGAATGCTTCGCTGGTCCCGCGTCTTCCGCGGGTGGCGCCTCGCAAGATCTTAGCTCGTCTTCCGCCGCCGCGACTGCTGCGACTGCTGCGACCGCTGCGACCGCTGCGACCACTAGCAATAGGCGGCAAACGAAGGGGACCGCCGCCGCAGCCGCTTCTACCACCCCCGAGCGTTCCCCCCCTTCCGCCTCAGCCACGGAAGCGCGGCACGTTGCACGAAGCAGCCATTCGGATCAGCAGCAGCTCGTGACGCTCTTTCAAGCGCTCACGCCGGGCGGGGAAGCTCCGCGCGGAGAGCACGGCGGAGGAGCGGCGGTCGCGCGGCACACGACGACTGTGGCGCAGCCGGGTTCAGCCGCGGGCGCTAGAATTATCGCCGTTCCCCCGCGTCACCCGCAGCCGCACTCGGGTCGAAAGAACGTGGGTGGCGCGGATCGAAGCGGGGCTGGCGGAACGAAAGCGGCTGCAGCGGCGGGTAGCACGGCGGGCCGTGTGGGTTCTGGGGGCTCGGGTGGATCTGGCTTGGGAGGGGGTAGCTCCCCGGATGCGGTCGCGCGGAGACGTCAGGGTGAAGCGGGTCCGGCGCTGGCGGATAGACCCGCGCCACTGGAGGGCCCTGCGGACGTACCCTCGGAAGCACTAGCTGCGGCCGTTACTGCCGCGATCGTTCCCGCAGAAGGTGTGCGAGGCGGGTGCAGGATCTTTGTGGCATGTTTGCGTGGGTACTTGCGTTGCACGTACTCGTTAAGGGTTTGCAATTCGGTACATATATTAACTGACGTTTACGCCTTCGCTCTCGTTTTTTTCGTTTTTGTTATTCATTTTTGTTTGTTTGTTTGTTGTTTTCTTGTTTTCCTTTTGCGCAGGTGCTCTGCCCAAGGGAAGCTTTGCCTCGGGAACGTCAGGCGGAGCACGCAACTCTCTAGGCGCGTGGTGGAGGTCCGGATCTCGCGCCTCGGGAGGGACAGCGCGGTCAGCCGCTCTCAACCAATCTCTCGGTACTTCCGCAGCTCAAAGCGCTGCAGGCCCCACGTTCGGAACAGGCTCGGCAGACCGGTTCGTGGTTGGGCAGAAAGACGTTCTCATGGGGGAGGGCGGTGTGGGTACCGTGAACCCCTTGGTTCAGGGTACGCAGGGAGCTGCCGAGGCTGCTCGGGTTTGTAACACCAATCAGACCAGTTACACCCAAGCAGGTGATATATTAGGCAGTAACGTAAGAAATACTGATGGTGTCAATTATACATCAGGCGCTGCTGGTAACATTGGAACGGCGACGGTTTTACGTCCGTCTCAGCCGGCTTCTTCGCCCACCCACCATCTATTCCACAGGCGATCTGCGTCATCGTCAGCGGCAGGTGACTTGGGTCGGGCAGACTTGAATGTTGCAGAACCGGCCGCACCTGCCGGAAGCGGCAGGAAGGGCAGCCCGACAAGAACTTCGGGAAATGCTGGGTTTGGGCAGCTGCGGGCGCTAGCATCTCTGCTGAAGCAACAGCTGCCGCTTCTGCAGAAGCAGCAACAGCAGCAGCAGCAGCAGCTGAGCCAGTTGGATCAGCCGCAGCAGCTGCAGCAATCTCCGCACCAGCTGCAGCCACCACAAGAGCAGCAGCAGCTGTTGACAACACAGGGTGATCGGCAGGTGCCCGCGCGCCGCTCAGATGTGTTTCAAGTGCAGAAGCTTCCGGACGGCCTCCGTGCCCTCTTTCGATCATCCTCTACCTCCGGTGCTCCATCCCCTAAGTTCTCAACCGCAGCAGCAGCAGCAGCAGCAGCTGCAGCAGCAAGTACAACAGGTGCAGCAGCAGGTGCAGCAGCAGGTGCAGCAGCAGGTGCAGCAGGTGCTGCAGGTGCTGCAGCAGCAGCAGCAGGTGGTGCAGCAGCAGCAGGTGGTGCAGCAATCACCAGCTCCCAGGGACCCTGTGGCAAAGACACCAGCGCAGCAGCAACACGAGCTGCTATTGCAGCAGCATCAGCAACTGCAACAGGAACAGGTGCTTTTGCAGCTGCAGCAACAGCAGCAGCAACAGCAACAGCAACAACAGCAGCAGCAGCAGCAGCAACAGCAACAGCAGCAGCAACAACAGCAGCAGCATCTGCACCAGCCTCAGCACTTTCAGCAACAATTACAGCAGCAGCAGACGGGGCAGTCGCTGCAGCAAAATCTCATTCACACCACGGTCCCCACAGTCACACCGCCCTCTGCTTTCAATGCTCCACAGGGCAATTTCCAGCAACATTCACCCAACGTTCCTCATGCAATGCAAGGAATATCAGCAGTAGGTGGGGGATCAACTGCTACTGCAGGTGCGAGTGCATTTGCTGGTACAGGCGCAAATGTATTCTCTAATGCAGGTGGTAGTGCATTCGCCAATCCAGGTGCAAGTGCATTTGCTAATACAGGTGCGAATGCATTTGCTAATGCAGGTAATAATGCATTTGCTAATACAGATGCAAGCGCATATGCTCATACAGGTGCAAATGGATTCGCTAGCGCAGGTGATAATGCATTAGCTAGTGCAGGTGGTGTTGCATTCGCTAACGTAGATGCAGGTACAGGTGCGAATACAAGTGCAGTCAGGGAGAGGTCCCGTGGAGCTTTGAGGGAAGACGGGAAGCTGCTTAGCCTTGGGCTGCCTGAAGTGATGGTCAAGGAAGAGCCATTGGCAACACCTGCTGACACAAAAATGATGGATCTTGAGCTGAGATTGTAAAGAAAGGAGTGTGCTTGATTCGCTTACACACTCGTTATATTTATGTTTACAGCTACGTACGTTTGGTTTCGTGAAAGTAGACGTTTTTCTCTTGTTTATTGACATCGGGACCCCTAAACCAGATTAGATGTACATTGGTAGGTAAGAATGGGAAACTTGGTGGGGAGTTCTAGCTACATTCTGTAAACATTTCTAGTGATTGCATTACTGGATCTGTAAAGCGCTATTCTGCAATATGCTACAGTTCTTTATTGCGCACTACCGTACTTGTTGCGAAGCCGATAGTATTTTCCCAGTCATGCTTCACCTATGGCCCGCCAACCAAATTCGGCCCGAATTCGGCCCCTTCCAATCACCTATTTGCTGACCACACCAAATCACCCAAGCACCATATGCAAACCTGCTCACGTGTCAATGGTTCTAGGACAGCTACTAAAAGGGGCCTTCAGCGGGGCAATAACGGAGGTAGCCCGGCAAACGACCGTTATCCAGAAGCTCTCCGTCGCGTCGCGTCTTTCTTTCGTGCTATTGGCTGAGCTCGCCGGCGTTGTTTCGACCGTCCCGTGCGGCGCGTTCGCGCTCCTCCTTTACTCCTTCCTACGCCTCGCTTCCCGGTCGCGCGTTCTTCTCCGCCGTTTCTGCCGTACATGGTGCCGCATTTCCCGGCTTGTGGTTCCTGGTCGATGCCGAAGCGTCGTAGTCGCGACGGTTGCGCGGATCGCGGCAGGATTGCAGCGCCTGCGCCGGTTCGTGAAACCCCGCGCCGCGTTTTGGCGCCGGCTGGGCCCCCAAATCTCGGCCTTTCGTTCTCTTCTCCGATTGGCTCGAGTTCACGTAGTTGCTGACGTCAGATACGGGCATCGGCCGCGCAACGTGTAAGTGACTAAAACTAGGTGTACTCGTGATTGGATGCGACTTTTACGGCAGGAAACGCCACGCGCCGCGTTTTGAACGTCTTTCCGGGCATGTCTGTGTGTTTCCAGGAGTTTCTGGCTGTTTTTTATGGGTGAAACGGAGGGCGTGTGCTGACGTGTAAGCCTGCCACTAGATGTGTGCTGCGTTGATGAAAATAAGAATATATTGCTTGCTGGCCAGAGCCTTCCTCTTCATGGGATTGTGATTCTACTGTCTGCCTCGGTCCCCCCCGAGGCCCCCACTCTTCCCCCCACCCCCTCCCCCCCTCCACCCGCTTTCCCCCCACCACCTCCCTCCTACGCCCACTTTTGCCTTCCTCACCACCATTTTTTCTTTCTGAATCTGCCCCATTTTCCATCCAGAATGGATATTTATCTGCCCAGTTTTCACCGTCGTCGCATTCACCGTCACTATCATCACCAAGACCGCCATCCCCATCACACCACTACCATCGTCAGCGAACTCAACAGCATTAGCGGTAGCAGCAGCAGCAGCAGCAGCAGCATTCACAACAGCAGCAACAACATTACTACCAGCAGAAGCAGCAGCGGCAATGGGTGCAGAGTGGTGGTTTTTGTGCATGGGGGGTGTTGGGTGAGTGGAGATAAGTGGCTGTATGCTCCCCTTGCTGCCAGATGTGCTGCCGAAGGGGCAATTGCAGTTGTTATTCAATACACCCTCTTCCCGGAGGTAAGTTATGGTTTTGCAGTGGAGAGCCTCATGTCAGTAATTGAGCCTATGATATGTATAAGCATCATGCAATTTAATAAATACTTATATTTGTTCTTTTTATGTCATTCCAATCCCATTAGCTCCTGGCAGCGGGGCAGCAGGAGGAGGCAAGTGCGGCCCTCTCATGGGTGTATGACAACATCCATGCTTATGCTGGCGACCCTGCTCGTGTCTGCCTGTGCGGCCACTCCTCTGGTGCGCCTCCTCTGTTCTACTTTTATTTCTGATTCTGTTCTTCCGCGCCCTCTCATGGGTGTTTGACAACATCCATGCTTATGGCGGCGACCCCACGCGTGTCTGCCTGTGCGGCCACTCCTCTGGTGCGCCACTTGTGCTTCCCCTCATCTGTCGTACTGTGTTTTGTCGCGCCCTCTCATGGGTGTTTGACAACACATCCATGCCTATGCCGGCAACCCTGCTCGTGTCTTCCTGTGCCGCCACTCCTCTGGTACGCCTCTTGTGCTTTCCCCTTTGACCCCAATTGACCCCCATTGATCATATTCGGCTGCAGTTCATGCCCCTTGACCCCCATTGACTCGTATTGACTTTTGTTGACTCACAGGGTCGCACACAGTGGCTATGGTGATGTGGCGCCGCTTTAAGCAAGGCCTGCTGCGGGCAGCAAGGGCAGCAGGCAGGAGGGGGGGAGGTGAGGGGGGAGGGAGGCGAGGAGAGGGAGGGACAGCGGGAGTTGAGAAGGGAGCGGGCAGTGGTATCAGAGAGGATGAGAGGGATGCTGAGAGGGATGCTGCTTTTTCACAGCATCATAGTGATCATGGTCAACTGCAGCAGCAGCATCAACAGCAGCAGTTTGAAGGGCACAGTACTATAATGGATACCCGCCAGCCTTACTGTGTGATTGCACTGAGTGGCATCTTCGACCTTCACTATATGCACACGTATACAGTCACCACTGGCACGGCCCCTCTCACCTGCTTTGCCGAGGCTGTCGGAGGCCCGGCGGCCTTTGCCCAAGGCTCCCCTCCCAACCTGTTTTCAGCCTTGGCCGAAGCTGTGGCAGCAGCAGGTTCAGAAACTCATGTAACACCTACGGGAGGGGATGAGAGCACAGGAAAGTCGACAAGTGCAGATGCACCTTCCTCTGATGCAGCCTTGTCTCTTTTCTTCTCCGAATTTGGGCGGCAGACTGGCAAAAGAATAATTTCCGGCATCGCGGAAGGGATCATAAAACCCACTAATTTTCTTCCCCCCATGCTGCTCCAGTGCAGTCCGGGAGATGCATATGCTCCCCCTCACTGTAGTCTCGCACTAGAGCAAGCATTGAGACGGGTGGGAGGTCGAGCAAAGGTTGCGGTTTATGCATCGGTGCATCATGCGCAGTTTGCGTGCCTCTGGAAGCCTTGGCCCCAGCCTAGAGGTTCTGTCGAGGCTGAGGCTCGGGCTCGGAAGCAAAGCGGGCGGGTTTGGTGTGGTGAGGCAATGAGGAGTGATGAACGATCAGGCGAATGGTTGGATTGGTTGTGTAGATGTTGGGGATTGGGTGAATCTGAGAAGGCCCATCAAGACTTGTTGGATGTGGTGTCAGGACGGGTGTTGCTTGCCGATTTACTCTAGGCTCGCTGCGGCTGCCACTGCCCATGTATGTAAATTTCTGTCTATGTGCTGTTATACATATTTGTAGGCTGCGTGTACGTGTGCACTATTGCATTCCGAATTACCGCGTGAAAAATGCTCGTGTTCCTGACACGCGCAAGAGACACTGTGCATGGGGACTGTAATCGCGAGAGGCCGCAATTCTGCTCCGCAACTGCAGCAATGCACACACAAGACCAACTTCACCCTTTTCCCCTTCCCGAAACACGACAGCGCCGCCCTCTTCCCCCCAAAGCCCATGCAGCGCTGCCGAAGTGTTCCCCCTCACGCCGCTCGCTATACTCACTCTGCTACGCGGTCTAATTACGCCCCAGGCGGGTTACCCCACGCGCCTTGCCCTTACTTTTCCAGCGTCCCGCCCGCTATGCGCGTCGCGACCCGCCCCGCCCCGCAATGTGAGGAGCTGAGACGTGCTTACGCCAGGTGCATTGCTGAAGTTGGCATTTTATCCGTATTTCAAGGCGTCTCAGAAGCTGCCCGCCACTGCCCGTAAAATACACTATTCGACTGCTAGTCTCTCGCAAGGAAGCGTCTTGCATCGCGTATGCCTACATTGATCCGCGAGAGGCTGCTTAGTAGGCAATTCGCGCGTGTGTACGCTCGTCTATTGTCAACGCGAGGCGGTGTCTACTCTTGTGGCGCCTTAGAATTGACTCGTTGGGTTGACTGTAGTCAACGCGAGGGGATGTCTCCTTCTGTGGCGTCTTAGAAATAGTATCGTTAGGTTGACTTCAGTCAACGCGAGGGGGTGACCCGACGGGGAACGCAGGTGGGCTTGGGCGGGGAGGAATAGGAGAACGGGTTTGCAGGGGGAGGCGGAAGAGAAGGCGGAAAGGAATAAGGAATCTAGTTAGGGGAACATTCGCGCGGTAGAAATGCTGTCGCAGTCGTCGGGGGTGCCGCACTGGGAGGCGGAGGACTCGGGCGCGCGGGACGCGGCGGCGGCGGGGATAGCGGGCGGAAGCATGGCGGCGAGCGCGCCGATGCTTGCGCCCCTCTACCCGTCAATATCGATGGACGCGCACGCCGTCGAGCTCGCGTCGTACATTCTCTTCCCGCCGCCGCCCAGCCACGGCTCGCCCTCCTTGCGGCCCCTCCAAGGTAAAGTTTCCTCGATCCCCCCGTTTGTACTGACCCCTCCCCCCTCCCCGCCCTGTTCCCGCTCCGTCCCCGCCCCCGCCCCCGCCCCCGCCCCCGCCCCGCCCCGTCCTCGCCCCCGTCCCCTCCCCCGTACCTGCCTCCGCCCGTGCCCCGCCCCTGCTCCTCCCCGCTATCATCCTTCTGCACTTCCCTTCTCCGCTCTCGCCCCCGCGCGTCCCGCTCGCCCCTCCTCCGCGGCTTCCCTTGTGCTAATGTTTCCCTAACCCCTCTTTCCCGTCGCCCTCCGCGCTCTCCCCGTCTCCCTCCCCCTCTCCCCCCACGCTCTCCCCTTCCCTCCCGTCCCGCGGTTCCCCAGGTTCCGCCGGGGGGACCTCCGCGCCCACTGGCGCATCCGCCGCGGCGCAACTGGCGCGCCAGGCGGAGGCCGAGGAGCCTCTGCTATTCGCGGAACGGATCTCCGCGCAGGCGCGGCGCGGGTTGGTGGGGGAAGCGACGGGAGGGATTGACGGGCATGTGGGGAGGGACGAGGCGGAAGGGGGGGCTGAAAAGGGGGGCGCGGGGGGGGCGGAAGGAGCAATGGTAGGGGAAGGAGAATCGGGAGATAAAGGAGATGCAGCAGGGGGAGAAGGGGGAGGAGGAGGGGGGAGAGGAGGAGGAGGAGGAGGAGGAGGAGGAGGAGGAGGAGGAGGAGGAGGAGGAGGAGGAGGAGGAGGAGGAGGAGGAGGAGGAGGAGGAGGAGGAGGAGAAGGAGGAGAAGGAGGAGGGGAGGAGAGAGGAGGAGGAGGAGGGGAGGAGGAAAGAGGAGAGGGGAAAAGTGAGAGATGCAGCAGCAGTGTAAAGTCACTACAGCTTCTCTCTTCCCGGTCCCCGCCTCCCCTTCCCCCCAATCCACCACTCCACCGCACCCCCTCTCTCCACCGCAGCTCCCCCCTTCACCGCGAGTCATCCCTCCAACGCAGTTCCCCGCTTCACCGCGAGCTATCCCTGCACCGCTCTGCACCGCTTCACCGCGAGTTATCTCTCCAACGCGGGTCCCCCCTGCTCCGTGAATTATCCCTCCACCGGGATTCGCCTTTGCACAGGGAATTATCCCTGCACCGCAATTCCTCCCTTCACCGTGAGTTATCACTTCACCGTGATTCCTCCTTGCATCAGGAGTTGTCTCTGCATCGCAAGCCCTCCCTGCAGCGGCATCAGCCTGTGGCAGCGCTGCTGCAGCAGCAAGACGGGCCCATTGCACTCCAGCCGCCCTCCTCCTCCGCCTCTGCTGCTGCTGGCGCTGCTGATTCTGCCGCTGCTCCTGCTGATTCTCCTGCTGCTACAGCAACCACCGCCGCTGATGGTGCTGCTGATGCAAGGGAGCTGGAGCAGAAGGAGCAAGGGGAGCAGAGGGAGGAGGAAGGGGCGGCGGAAGGGGGAGGTGCAGGCACAGCAGAGGCGCAGGTACCAGGGGGTGTGGTGGGCGGGACAGGGGGGAAGGGAGGGAGCGGCGGGGAGGAGGGCAGAGAAACGGGAGAGGGCGGAGAGAGAGGTGGAGGGGGAGGGGAAGGGGAGGGGGATTTGAGGTCTCTAGACCTGCACTTTGTGCCCTCTGCTCCCCGCTCCATCTTCCGATTTGATTCGTACGAGTTCAGTTTTTTCGGGCCTACTGATTCGGCGGGCTCGGGGGCCACTGTTGCCGGACCTGGCAGTCTGGTTCGGGGGCCCAGTGGCTTGGGGCGGCAGCTGTCTATCAGCTGTGCGGAAAGGTTGCCGGAAAAGGTGGGGGGAAGGGGCGCACTAGGGGGAGGGGCGGAGATGGGGGAAGAAGGGGAAGCAGAGGAAGCAGGGGAAGCAGGGGGAAAGGAATTGGGGGAACATAGGGCGGAGCAGGGGAAGGGAGGGCGAGAGGGAGGAGAAGAAGGCAAATGGGGGACGGGGAGGGGCGGGAACGCGGCGGAAGGGGGAGAGCTTGGTGGTGGTGAAACGGGCGGCACTGGTGCTGCCCTGGCCCGCACTGGTACTGGCGTGAGCGGCAGTGGGAGCATAGGTGCGGCGTGGCGGCGAATCATGGGGAATACGAGCAAGGAAGGGGGGTTGTATGAAGGTAGCAAGGCGAGCAGTGTGGGTGTGAGCACAGGCATGGGCATGGGCATGGGCATGGGCATGGGTATGGGCATGGGCATGGGCATGGGTATGGGCATGGGTATTGGTATGGGCATGCATGGGGGCATGGGAGATGGGATAATTCGTACTGACAGCTCATGCCTTGACGCTGTTGTGAACCCCCTCATGCGTGTTGTTCTACACCCCCCTGCTGCTGCTGCTGCTCCTGCTCCTGGCCCTGCTGCTCCTGCTGCTGCTGCTGCTTCTGCTGTTACTGTTGCCGATGCTGCTGCTACAGCTGTTGCTGCCACCGCTCCTGCGGTTTCCCCTGCTACAGCAGCCCCTGCTACAGCTGCTGAGCCTGGTCCAGACATCAGCATGACCACAGCAGCATCAGCAGCAGCAGTGGCAGGAGCAGTCAACGCCTCTCCTCCTCCTCCTTCTCCTGCTCCCTCTCCTGCTCCTTCTGCTGCTGACTCAAACACGGCTGCTGCTGCCAGCAAGCCTTCTGATCCCCCATTCACCTTCACCACCGAGCAACGCCGCAGCCCCACCCCCCCTCCCGCCTCCCTCCTGCCCTCCCTCCCCCTCTCCCTGCGCATGCGCCCCCCCAGGCTCACCCTCCCCCCCGACCACTCCCCCATGCACTCCCCCTTGCACCCCAGCCCCCCCCTCTCCCCCGTCCCTCTCCGCCACTCCCTCTCACCAGCTCCCCCCCGCCCGTCCATCTTCCCCGCTCCTCGCCACCCCTCCCCCTCTGTCTCCGCCTCTCTCTCCCCCACTTCCTCCACCCCATGTAACACTCTCCCTCTCACTTCCGTAACCAGGCCTCTCCCTTCCGCCACGCTCCCCCTGCAAGACACGCAAGCCTCTCACGCCCATCCATCCCACACTCATACCTTCAACGACCATGCCCCCCATTTACACCCGTCCAAACGTCTCAAGCTCTTTCCCAGCCCTTCCCCCAGCCCCCTCCCCAGCCCCCTCCCTAGCCCCCTCGCTAGCCCTAGGGCTGCTGCTGCCGCTGCCGCCGCCGCCGCTGCTGCTGCTGATGGTTTTGCTGGTGGTGCTGGTGGTGGTGGTGCTGCTGCTGCTGCTGCTGCTGCTGGCGGTGCTGCTGGTGCTGTTGGTACCTGTGGTGGTGTGGCCATGCATTTTCCTCGCTCTCGTTCCACTGGTGGTGCTGGTGCTGGTGGTTGTGGTGGTGCGACTATGCGTTTCCCTCAGTCTCGATCAGTTGGTGCTGCTGGTGCTGATGGTGGTGCTGATGCGGCAGCCATGCGTTTCCCTCAGTCTCGATCGGTTGGTGCTGCTGGTGCTGATGGTGGTGCAACCATGCGTTTCCCTCAGTCTCGGTCCACTGGCTCAGAGGGTGGGTTAGCAGGGGGAGTGGGTGGGAGGCTGGGAGGGGCTGATAGGGACCTGTGGGGAGGGATGGAGGTGGGGAACAGCTTGCCTGCTGCTGCCGCTGCTACCGCTGTTGCCCCTGTTGCCCCTGTTGCTGCTGGTGCTGCTGGTGCCGGTGGTTGTCCTGCGACCATGCGTTTCCCTCAGTCCCGATCCACGGGCTCAGAGGGCGGTTCAGCAGGGGGAGCAAGCGGGAGGCTGGGTGTGAGCGGGGGCGTGGTAAGGGTGGGTAACGAGGTTTGGGGAGGGGTGCAAGTGGGTACGGGAGCACACGGAGGGGTACAAGGGGGCTTTGATCTGAACCAAGTTCGTCTGAGCCCTGTGCCACAGGCAGGGATGCCGGGAGCTGCTTCTGAGTCAACTCATTTGTTGCGCCCTGCGCTGGGTGTGGGCACTTTTGAGGCGCCTCAAAAGCCACAGACAGGGATGCCGGGAGCTGCTTCTGAGTCAACTCAAGCGTTGCGCCCTTTGCTGGGTGTGGGCATGGGCATGGGGGAAATGGCAGGGGGTGCAGTGGGGCTGGGGGAACGAAGAGAAGGGGCAGTGGGCATGGCGGAAGGGGTGGGGGCCGCCCTTGGGATGGGGGAAGGGGCAGGGGGAGCAATGGGAATGGGGGAAGGAGATGTGGGCGCGGCATTGCTGCGGCTTGTGGGGGGAAGTCTGGGGGGAGCGGGTATGGCGGAAGGAGGGGCGTTGGCAGCCCTCCTGGCGAGTGCGTTGGGGGGGAGCAGCGGGGGGAAGCTTCCCTTGGGACTGAGTGCTGCTGCCATGGGCATTACTGGTGGTTCTGCTGCGGCAGCTGGCAGTGCAGCACTGCTGGCGAGTGTGTTGGGAGGCAGCAGTGGGGGAATCCTTCCTTTGGGGCTTTCTGGGAGTGCTACTGCTGCAGCTGCCGGCAATGCTGCCACATGCTCTGCTGGGCTCAATCCAGCCGTTGGATCAAGTGCTTCCGGGCTCAATCCAGCCGTTGGATCGAGTACTGCAGGGTTCAATCCAGCCATTGCCCCAACTACTGCTGCAGGCACTGCACTGCAAAGAGGGTCTAGAGGCCCCACCCCCTCCACGCGCTCCCCCTCGCCTCTCCCCCTCCACCCCACCCTGCCTCTCCTCCCCCATGCCTCGTCTGCTCCTGCTGCTGTTGCTGCTGCTGCTGCCCCTGCAGCTGTGACCCCTGTCGTGGATTATCAGACAGGGGTTTCAAACAGTCCTCTTGGCAATGCTGCCGCTGCTGCTGGTGCTGCTGCACCTTCCTTTTCTCCTGCTTCTACAGGGTGCCGCTGCTGCTGCTGCTGCTGCTTCTCCTGCTGCCGCTGCTTCTTCTGCCGCCGCTGCTTCTGCTTCTGCTGCTACTGGTGCTGGTGCTGGTGCAGGTGGTGTTGGTGTTGGTAGTGTTGTTTCTGGTGCAGTTGGTGTGAGCGAGTTAAGCCAAAGCAGTTCCATGCATGCGTTGCTGATGCTGCAGAAGCAGTTGCTGAAGCAGCAACTGCAGCAGCTGGAGCAGCAGCAGCAGCAGCAGCAGCAGCAACAGCAACAGCAGGGGCAACAGCACCAGCTGCTGCTGCGACAATTGCAGGAGCAGCAGCAGCAGCTGCTGCAACAACAGCAGCAGCAGCAGCAACAGCAGCAGCAGCAACAACAGCAGCAGCAGCAGCAGCAACAGCAGCAGCAACAGCAACAGCAGCAGCAGCTGCAACAGTTGCAGCAGCAGCAGCTACAACAGGAGCAACAGCAGCTACAGCAACAACAACAATCGCAACGGCCATTGGATTTGCTGCAACAGCAGCTGCAGCAGAGACAGCAGGAGCAACAGCAATCGCAACGGCCATTGGACTTGCTACAACAACAGCAACTTCTACTTGAGTTGCGGCAGCAGCAGCAACAGGCAGGGAGTGCAGTGAGACAATCCCTGAGTAGCAACTCGCTGACAACAACCACTGCCACCACCAATGGCATCAGAGCCGCTGCTGTCCACGTGGGTGCATCCCCGTTTGGAAGAGGCGGCGCGTGGGGCACGTCTCCTGTGTCTCCTGCTCCTGCCGCTACTGCTGCTGCTGCCGCTGCAGGTGGAGTCAGCGCTGCTGCTGCTTCTGCTGGTGTTACTGCTGGTGTTACTGCTGCTGCTGCTACTTCTGGAGCAGTTGCAGGTGGGTCTGCGGTTGCAAAAGCAGGGGGGGTAGGTGTTGCAGCTGTACCGGCAACAGCAGCTGTTGGAGCAGCAGCAGCAGCAGCAGCAGGAGCAGGAATAGCTGCAGGTGGTGGTGGTGGTGGCGGCGGTGGTGGTGGTAATCGTAACGTGGTAAAAGGGAGGTCTGGCGCAGGGAAAGGAGGGGGCTGGTCTGGGTCAGGTTTGGAGGAGGATGGGGAGGAGAGCACAGGCGATTCAGAGGGGGAGGAGGAGGGTGGGGAGGATTTAGGGCTGAGAGGGGTGGGGCGGCCGGGACCGAGGAGGAAGAGTGGAGCGGTCACCAAGCCTTGTGCTGCCGCGCGGGTGAGTGCTGGGGGCTTGGAGGGGGTGTTTGGTGGGGAAAGGTTTGTGGGAAGTGTGGGGGAAAGGGGGGAGTGTTTGTGTGTGCAACCGAGGAGGAAGAGTGGAGCGGTCACCAAGCCGTGTGCCGCGCGGGTGAGTGCTGGGGATTTTCTTCTGAGTCAACTCTAAGACTCTTGAGTCGACTGACTTTTGGGTCGATGCAAAGTCACCTTGTTTTCAGTCGACGCAAATTTCATAGGGGTGGGGCTGCGAGGCCTGAGGAGGGAAAGCGATGTGCGGGGCATTTCAGAAAGCTCCTCCTCCTACCCCCCTCCCCTCCCCTCTGCCCCCCTCATTCCCCCACCACTGTGCCAAACCGTGCAGAAGCGGAGGGATCGCATATCGAGGCACATCCGCACGCTACAGGGGCTGGTGCTTGCACCCACCAAAGACAGACGCCGCCACTGTCCCAGCCTCATGCGCTCCTCTCTTCACTGCACTGTTTCCCCTCACACTTTTCCTCACTGCTCTGTTTGTCCAAACCCTTCTCCTTCCCGTGCGGAACCCTGCAGAAGCGGAGGGATCGCATATCGCGGCACATCCGCACGCTACAGGGGCTGGTGCCCGCATCCACCAAGACAGACGCCGCCACTGTGCTGGCTCAGACCATCCGATATCTGCGCGGGCTCGAGAGCCAAGTGGCTGTGAGTGGAAGAGGAGGGGAGAGTGTGAGTCACGGGCTAGCATGAATGAGTGTGTGAGTGGGCGATGGTCGCCAGTATGCCACTGCGCTGGCTCAGACCATCCGCTGCCTGCGCGGGCTCGAGAGCCAAGTCGCTGTGAGCCAGTTTCCTGCATTCCATTGCTTCACTCCCTCTTCACCATCCTCTTCTGCTACTACTACCTCCACCCAGCTCTCCTCGTACCCCTCCCCACCCCTCAGACCTCTCCACAAGCTTATCCACTCGCTTCGATATGCTCCAGTTGCGTTCTGTTCTGACCCTCTCTCCCTGCCTGCATGCCCTGGTTTCAACTCCCCCCATGTGTGCCTGCGCAGGAGCTCAAGGCCAAGTTAGGTGCAACGGCAGGCAACAGCTCCCAGGCAGAGTAGCCACGGCACACGGGTTGCTGTAGTAACATGTAACACCTTCCGTTGCACAGTTGTTTTGCCCTGCCTGCATGCTGAGGAGCTAAGGCCAAGGTGGTGCAATGGCAGGCAGCAGCTCCCCTCCCACGCAGAGTAACAGCAGGCACCAGGCTCCAAATAGAGTAGCGGCACACATGCTGTTGCCATCGAGTTGCACCTGGTGTGCACCTGCTGTTGGCGAGTGCTGCTCACCGTCGCAGAAGTGCCTTGTGTTGCCTTGCCATAGTGATTTGTGCATTTTCGTGGAGCTGGCAGGGCAGTGTCCTATGCAGCCCAATGGAAACTGGACCTTTTCTGCCAGCCTTCCATCACTTGGAATCTGGCTGGACAGAGTTGCCTGAAAGTCTTTGTCAGCAGCTTGATCCACAGAAGGCAACAGTAACAAGTGCGTAAGAAATATATCGGCTCTGTATATAGGCAAGGGATTACTGAGCAAAGGTAGTAATTGGCTGGTGCATTCTCTGATTGGCAGTGCAACGTGCCCAGGCTTATGGCAATGTGCTTGGTCCATACTCCATATAGCACCCTGTGTAACAGCACACACAAGTCAGAAGTTTGGCCAGCCGCTGTGAATTTAACTGACTCAGACAAACCGCGCTGGCTTTATCCCTGTCTGCCTGTCTGCCTGTCTGCCTCACTGCAAGACTTGCTAACCCACTGAGCGAGTTGCAGGACCATTTTGAATGAGCCTCTTTGGCAATAAGGACGGATGACAGCGCTGACTCATTGCTGCTTGCGGGGAAGGCGCCTGAAGTTGATGAACGGCGCCCACAGCAGCATGCTGGTAGCACAGGGTGGGGAAAGGGGAAAGGGGAAAGGGGGGAAGGGGGAAGGGAGAGACGGGGGAGAAAGGGTGCATTGGCATGGTAGTTTCTCTGATGATAGCAATGAGTGGAAGCCGGCAGCAGCCTAGAGCTGCTTGCGTGGGAGGCGGCCACAGGAGCATGCTGGCAGAGCAGGGAGTGCAAAGCAGGAAGGGGGGGGAAGGAGGGGTTGGAGAGGGTGTGCTGGCAGAGGCAGGGATATGGGTATGTGCGTGCAGTGGGAGATAGCATGCAAGTGCTGGTTTTAAGTGGCATGGGCACGATGACTCTGCAAGTTGCAATCGTACTGGACAGCCGAGGAATTTTTTGGTGCCTAAAATCTCACACGCGGAAGAAGGTGAGCAGGGGACTCACGCGGGGAAGAAGGTGAGTGGGGACACACGCGGTGAAGAAGGCGAGCAGGGACTCACGCGGGGAAGAAGGCGAACATGAGGTAGTACTGGAAGATGGTCTCAATGGTGGAGCGGTTGAACCACCGCACACGCAGGTAGCCGTACACCAGTGGCTGGAGGGTGAAGGGAAGGGGTCGGGGCAGGAGAAGGTGGTGGGGGTATGGGGAGGTTGGGAAGGGAAAGAGGAGAGGAGAGCATGAGGTAGTACTGGAAGATTGTCTCAATGGTGGACCGGTTGAACCACCGCACACGCAGGTACCCGTACACCAGTGGCTGGTGGGGGAGGGGAATGGGTGGAGGCAGGAGAAGGTCGTGGGGGTATAGGAGTTTGGAAAGGGAAAGAAAAGAGGCGAACATGAGGTAGTACTGGAAGATTGTCTCAATAGTGGACCGGCTGAACCACCGCACAGACGCAGGTACCCGTACACCAGTGGCTGGAGGGGGACCGGTGGGAGGGGATAAAGGGTGGGGGTAACGGGAAGGAGGGTAGAAACAACGAAGCCATACTGGCAGCGGCAACGACAAATTGCTGACCAGCGCAACAAACTCGCTCACAGGGATCAGAACGAGGAACAAAGAGGAGCATTCACAGAAAGCGCAGCAGCACTCACTCGCAGGCACAACGAAGAGGTAGATGACGGCGGTGATGCCCCAGTAAATGATCGTCCAATGCACCAGCACGCACCAATGCAGCACTTACCAGAAGCATTGAAACGTTACAGGCTAAACTACTCACGGGCGCAACGAAGAGGTAGATGCCGGCGGTGATGCCCCAGTAGATGAGCGACTCCACGAACTGCTCGTCCGTCTGCCCCACCGCCTCCGCCGCCACCGCTGGCGCTGCCAGGACCGCGAGCTGCGCGAGGGGGTGAAGAGCCATCGGGGGAAGAAGGCAATGCGACGAGTGCGCGGTTCAGCTCGGTGCAGGAAGATAGGAAATTGACCACGCAACCGGGATAGCAGAAATTCACTCAGATGCGAGCGACTGTTTAGTCGCAACGAAGGCTCATGTTTCATGTATAAGGGCATTAATAATGAAGTAATTACACTACGCAGATTTACATGTCTCCTGTCAGCTTTCTTCCATCTTGAGCATTTCAAGATCCGGACAGACTAGGAAGTAGGAAAGTCAGGCGGATGGTGACGACGAGACACGGCAAAAGAACGGAAACCTGGGAGTGGTAGCAATGGCGACGGAACGGCTTTGAATAGTAAGTGAGCTTGATTTTCTCAAGCTAAAACGCTTCGACTGAGCAGAGCTTCTTTCTTTTCTGAAGCTCTTCGTAAAAAAGGTTACAGTTCCGACTTCCTGGTCACTATCTGAGCCCCTGAATGTACCCGTGATTTTCCGACGGCTAGATTGTACCCGCTACAAGATGATGCGTGAACGTACGGGTGCGAGGAAGGCAGCGGCTGTGGAGGAGATCGTCGACGCGTTGATGGCGAGCTGCTGCGGGGAGAACTGCGATCAAAAGTAGCAGGACGATGGGAGAGAGGAGCATGAGAACAGCAATGCCATGACGAAGTAAGCGCGATGTGAAAGAAATGATACGTGCGAAATCAACGGCTGGGAGAATGTGCAACGGAAAACTGACGGCTGTCAAGGTCACGACCAAGTCAGCAGGCCCCGGGATAAAACAAAAGAAGAAAAAACGAGGGAATGTGACTAGGGTGTACTTGATCGATGCTCGCTTGGGTCGAAGATTGGCTGACCAGCGAACTTCTTAAAGGCGAAGCAGCCTGTTATCGCGTGACAGGGAGAAAGAGAGGTCGAGAGAGATCACGAACGAGAAGATTTGCGTCGAAGAGTGAAAGGCTAAGAACTTACGGTAAAGAGCATCTGCTAACGCAGACTAAACCGACCTGCCAATGCACCCTAACGCAGTCCTGAAGCAGCCTACGGAAGCTAAGAAGGTTTGGATTGCTTCCATATGCTTGCCTAAACAGGCCAGCTCAAGTCAATACATTGCGACAATATGTATATATTCGACACGCGGGTAAGTCTTAGGCTGCTTCAGTAGGCTTATGCTGCACACTCTAGGGGAGCTGAGAAAGAGTCGCACCTCAGGCTGGTCGCAGCTCGCACGAGCGTTGACGACGACTCTGGCGTTGACTGCGGTCGGTCGTGCGAGGCGAGCTCCAGATGCGAGTCTGGGCCGCGACGGCAAGGAGAGGTACGGTGTGCGGCTCGCAACCGACGCCTGCATTATGACGGCAGCCATTGCTTTGACACTAAAGCGTCGGCTTTGACTGCTGACAAGGGCAACGAGCAGGAACCTAACACCAGCAAAATAACAACGATCAAGGTATACTGCACTAATTTTTGGTCCTAGTTTGAGCGGCTGTGCACTGAATAATCTTTTGACAGCTCCTCTCTATTTTCAAGAGCGATTCAATACGATGCCTTGCAATTGAAAGCGGTTCACTTGCTTCGCCGCTTTGCACCGCGACTCACCTGTCATGCCTTGCGTCTCGCATCACGCTGACAGGCCGTGAAGTGGTGAATGCATCACGACGGTAACACGGGCAGCCAAAGGCCTGCTTTTGCGTGACAAGGCAGAAGCCACGCGGCAAGATCAAGGCCACACCAGCCAATGGTCTGGATGACCTACCCGCAGCCGTAAATATCACCTTTGTGAACCTCAAATCCTTCGCAGTTTTGTACCGTGGTGTATTGGTCTTCCGTTCAACCTTACCCTGTATCATAGTTCTCTTTAGCGATTCTTTCATTTCACGTCCCAACTTTGACTGATATTCCACCAGTTTCACACGCGAGCTCTGACCTCAGATGTTGACGTTCGTTGGCTCGGGTGCCACCAAACCTCACAATCACAGCTCCGGCCGCCTCCCGGAACCCCCGAGGTGCGTTGGAAACACGTCATCCGTACACAAGACAGGCCATCACAGCCAGACCAACATCAGCCGAACCAAAATTCTATCAGCAAACATTCTCCTCACCCAGTCACTGGTTACTCCCCTCACCTGCTCACTGATCCTCTTCCCACCCAGTCTATCCCTCCCTACCTATCCTTTCCATCTTCCTGTTTCACTCCTCACTTGGTCCTCGGCACTGTATCATTGCTTGTCTCATTGTAGCTTTCCTCTCATTTGTCAATCAGTGAGTTGTCACCAGCATCGTTGCTGTGGTCCTACTAATGCTTATTTATTCCGCTTAGGTTTCCTGGATATGGCGGAACGCAAGCGGCAAGAACGCGGTCCTGTTGGCAGCGCGCCTCCAGAACCGTCTCCCAGACCTAACCGTCCGCAGCAGACGCATTCCGGGCCGCTCGCTCCCCGTAAAAAGTCCGACACGGGCCCGAATAAACAAACGCCTTCGGCGTCGCAAAAGGCGGATGGCCCGCCGCGAGCCAGCGCCAGAGGCGCGTTCCCTCGCTCCAGCAGCATGGGAAGCCCCGTCGTGCCAAACGAAGAGGTCAGCGAACCCCCGCCGATGGTTCAGCGCGCGTCGACCGGATCGCGGCAGCTAAAAGTCAACCCAGTCAACGATCCGAGTGTGGCTGAAACCGCGACAACGCCCACGGGAAGTCAAGAGAAAAAGAAAGGGCTTTCGTTTCTCGGCGGTTTAAGTTTTAAAACCGCCACATCCTCGGATAAAAGCCAGACGACCACTTTAAGGACGTATCCCGATTTAAAACCGTGCGTTGTCAAAGGTAACAAACTGCGGCGCCGGCAACGAGACCCATCAGAACCCAGAAAAAAGGTTTCTTTCAACGAGAAGATCGAGGTCGCGGTGTGGGAGGTGGAGGAGGAGGAAAACGTCACGGAATCCAAATCGGCGAATAAAGGACGTGGATTCTTCTTATCCAAGGTGCTGACTGGCGCAGCTAGCAGTCTGCTATCGCAGGGGTCGAAGAAACCGCTTCCCAAGGATCTTCCGCTTCAGATTGCACCTAAGAAGAAAAAGGGTGAAGCGGGAAAGGCGGGGAAGGCGGGGAAGGATCAAGCGGCGTCGGGTGAGGTTAAGTCGGCGAAAGCGCGACCAGCTCCTGGTGCGAAGCGCGCCACTCCGCCCGTCGCGGGTGCCAAGCCCAAATCTGCAGGCGGAAGACCTGGCCCCCCTGCGCAGAGGCCGCGGCCGGCGGGCGCGGATGCGCCAGGGATGGGGGAGAGGCGGATGCGGCCGCCTCCGCCTGCGGGAAGCAGTGGCGGCGACGGCGGACCCCGGGGACCCCCTCGCGCTGGCGCTGGACGCGGGCAGGCGGGAGCGGAGAGACCGGCGGAAGGTCGGCAAAGAGATCGGGGGGAGATGCGGGGAAACATGGGCGGGCCGGGGCAACCGGCGGGGCCCCCGCGGGACATGGCGCAGCAAGGGGGTCAGCAGCAGTGGGGCGGGAGTGGTGGAGGGATGGGCGCGCAGGGAGCGAGCATGAGCGGGCAGGGGGGCATGGGCGGACAGGGGATGGGGATGATGGGGCAGGGGATGATGGGAGGGGCGGGAATGGCTGTGGCAGGACCGCCAATGGGGATGCAGATGCAAGGAGGTATGGGGGCGGGGAACCAAGGTATGGGCATGGGCGGCCCAGGTATGGGCATGGCCGGGCAGCCAATCGGCGCGCAGTACGGATATGATGCGAATCAGAATGCGATGGGCATGGATATGGCAGGCGGCGGAGGGTATAGTCAGCAATGGGCGGGGGGTGCGGGGAACGCGGGGGGCGGCGGCGAGTGGGACTATGAGCAGGAGGGGGAGTGGGGAGAGGTGGAAGGGGAGGAATACGAGGATGAAGAGGAGGAGCTGGAGGATGGGGAGGATTATGAGGAGGAGGAGGAGGAAGAGGAGGAAGATGAGGAAGAAGAGGAGGAGGAGGGAGAGGATGAGGAAGAAGAGGAGGAAGAAGAGGAGGAAGAGGGTGAGGAGGAGGAAGACGAGGGGGAGGACGAGGAGGGTGAAGAGGGGGAAGAGGAGAACAGTGCTAACTGGTCGCACGCAGGGGGTGGTTACCAGCAGGGGCAGATGGTGATGCCTGGGGGTCCGATGAGCGGGGGGATGGGGATGCAGCAGCAGGGCATGCCAATGCATGTCAATAACCCCAACCAGGGGCCATCTATGCCTGTCGGCTTTGGGGTTCCTCCTGGCATGATGGCCCCGCCTCAGGGGTACTCCAACGCAATGCCTCCAGGTTCCGGGCCTAATTACCCAGGCTTTCAACCCGCGCGCGGGTACCCCCAGCAGGCGCAGATGGGGGGCATGGCGGATGATCTCTATGGCGGAGGGAATGGGGGCGGCGGAGGGATGTGGGGGCCGCAGATGGGGGGAATGGCGCCCCAGGGTGGGGGGATGGGGGGGCCCGGGGGCGCAGTGGGGGCTGTTGATGACGACCTCTACGGGGGCGGGGGGAGCTGGGGCGGGCAACAGGACATGGGCGGAATGCAGGGGGGAATGCAAGGGGGAATGCAGGGGGGCATGCAGGGCGGAATGCAGGGCGGAATGCAGGGCGGAATGCCGGGTAACGTGCCGGGGGGCATGCAGGGGGGGTGGCAGGGGCAGCAAGGGGGAGGGGGAGGGAACTGGGGGAGGCCGAGCTGGGGAGGCGGGGGAGAAATGGGGGGCGGAGAGCAGGGAGCGGGAGGGGCGAAGCTGGAGCGATCTCTGGCGGCTGATGACGCCCACGAGCAGGAGCTGGATCAGGTGGGTGCAGAGTCACGTCTGAGGCGTCGCTTTTGAGTCCCGGTGACTGAAAGTTGACTCTCAAGTAAGCTGGAGCGGTCTTTGGCAGCTGATGACGCCCACGAGCAGGAGCTGGATCAGGTGGGTGCAGAGTCACGTCTGAGGCGTCGCTTTTCAGTCCCGGTGACTGAAAGTTGACTCTCAAGTAAGTAAGCTGGAGCGGTCTTTGGCAGCTGATGACGCCCACGAGCAGGAGCTGGATCAGGTGGGTGCAGAGTCACTTTGACGACGCTGGTTTGGAGGCGAGAAGTGAGTTCAGGTGGCTCAAAGTTTACTCATAAGTCAGCTGGAGTCGTCTCTTGTGTCTGACGACGCCCACGAGTAGGAGCTGGATCAGGTGGGTGCGTGGTCACTTGCGAGGCGCCTGCCTGCCTCAAAACACCTTATGAGCAAGAACAAGAGCATGTGCGCGCATGCTGCTGCCTCTACTCCCCACTCCCGTGTCCATCTTCCCCTGCTGTCACTCAACCTAAGCCATCCCCCGTTTTCCTCCCTACACTGCAGGCCCGCGCTCTCCCTCCCGGCAAGCCGGCAGTCACACGAAGCACAGCATTCGTCTTTGAAGACCTTGGCCTGCAGGTGCAACGTAAGCCGCCCCCATCCGGCATGCCGCCGCCCTCCGCCACAAACCCTAACCTGCCCGGAAATTTCCCGTCCGGGCAGCCGCCAATGTGGGGCAGCAGCATGAGCACGGGCGGGATTAACAGCGGGGGCGGTAACGGCCCATTGACCCCGTCCAGTAAGATGCTTCTGGGACCGGGAGCGAGGTCGCATAGAGGCATGCGCTTGCTGTCAGATGAAGTGCCTGAGATGAGGCAGAGAGGGGGCATGGGCAGCAGGAGGGCGGGTGGAGGGGAGTATGATGGAGGGAGAGAGGTGCGGGCGCCGTCACCTGAAGAGAGTCGGTTGAGTGAGAGGATGAGGAGGCAAGGAATAGGGGAGGGAGGGGCGGGAGGGGGTGCGAGGGGTGGAGGTGTGAGTGGGGGTGGGGGGGGTGGGGATAGGCAGGGGCACAGGTATTCTGGGTCGACTATGAGCAATGCTAGCAGTGCTGTTGGGGGTGGTGGGGCGGGTGGGAGCAGCAGTGGCTCTGCGCGTAAACCAGGCAAGGACCAGCAGCAGCAGCAGAGCTCCCGAACAGAGAAGAGGCAGCCGCCGACGCCACAGCAGCAGGCTGAGCAAAGGGAGAGAATAATGAAGAAGCTAGCAGGAGGCCAGCCACAGCCGCAACCACAGGCTCCGGTGGAGCAAGAGTCGGGTGGTGAGAAGATGAAGAGGACAAGCACAGGCGGTAGAAGATAGATCGATTAGGAGGTTGATATTTATGGTGCTTTTTGTGCTTCGAGATCATGTGCTAAGGAAGCAAGGGAAATTGTTTAGAAATTGCTGAAATGCTTTGAAATGGGAAATTAAATTGCAGTACACGAGTTTACTGTATGCGGCTTCCTGGAAGAAGATTTGGGTTATTTGGAGGAGGAATTTCGGGATGTCCAATTTTCACGTGACTCAATCGAATGGAAGCTTCCCCTAGATTCCCTCGCTTCCAACCAGCACCCGCCAGCAGCGCTGGCCTTCCCGCCACGACAGCTCAGGCCGCGGCACGCGCAGCCAGCCACGGCGGCTGTCCCTTGGGTTTGGTTTGGCTGGCGGTTCGGTAGGCAGTTCCTTCCTTCCCTGGCCCCAGAACTGGTTTCTTCCCTCGAGGTTGGGTTGGTTGGGATGTTTTTCCTCGCCTGATTTCCCTGGGACTTGTTTGTTTTCTCCCTCGTCGGGGACTGGGACTGTTGTTTTCTGCATCCCTGGGACTTCGTTGTTTTCTCTGTTCCGTGGGGAGGACGTTGCCTTTTCTGATTTTCCCCTTCAGCGTGCGTTGTTCCTCCTCGCTTTCTCATCTCATCCGTCTTTATTTTCTAGCTTCTGGTGTCAGTACACTACCGATTCGTTTGGACATTGCCGTGTTCCCCGTCGCAGACAGGCCAACCGCATTAGTCGCAGGTCAAAGGTTCTCCGTGGAAATGCTTAAAAACGGACGATTAAGTTCGAAGTTTCTCGACGAGCTTGTAACCCGTTGGTAAAATTCGTTTTTTAATACATTTGTAGCGGGTTTAGGTAGGCATCAAAGCAACGCCCGTCGCGTTCTTCAGTAACAGATAGTAGAAGTTATTGTCTTTTTGGTATACTAGCCTGAAGGCGCCATGGACGTGACGGCGGATATTAAAGTGCTGGTGGCGATGCGGGACGACCAGCATTGCCGAGAAGCTCTAGACTGGACGATTAAGGAGTTCGGGAAGCGCAAGGATACAAGCGTGTGTTTGCTCCTCACGCATATCGTCACGGAGCTTCGCAACACAGGTGCGGTACTGTAGCAGGATACCTCAATGTCAGCGAGTTGTTATCGCGCCGGTAATTATCAGGGACTAATGCCCAACGATTCAATCCAACGAGTCATGATTAACCCAAATATATTTACAATGTGCGTCAACAAAAAGCTTCAATGCGTCTGGACAGTTGTCCCAAGTCGGAGCAGTATTCTGCCACGATCTACGCTTCTTTTCTCCATACAGCCTTCCTCGTTTACTTCGTTGTGATGCTTCTCTCTCATCTTGTCTCTTACGCCTACCCGCACCCTCCCGCAACGCGGTCGCACCCTGTCGCAACACGGTCGCACCCTGTCGCAACGCGGTCGCACCCTGTTGCAACGCGGTCGCACCCTGTCGCAACACGGACGCACCCTGCTGTAACACGTTTGCACCCTGTCGTGGCACAGTCGCACACAGTCGTAACACACTCGCTCCCTGTCGCAGCACCTCCAGTTTTTTCCGCGCTTAGCTCTCTATTAAGACTCCCGTTCCTCTCTCCTGCTCTTCATTCTCTACCTGCCCGCTCATCCTTCCGCCTTAACTCCTCCAAACCAGGAAATCACTCCTCTCCCTCCCCAGGCGCAGCGAGGTGGTGCACATATACGACCGCATGCTGCCAGCAAACCTTCTTCCTCCCCCGTCCCTTTCCCCCCCCAATTCCCCCCTTGCGTCCCTGTTCAGCGGGTAAGCTGGTGCGCCTAAGCGAGGCGGACAGCCCGAGCGTGGCGGTGCACATATGCGACCGCGTGCTGCCAGCTAACCCCCTTCCTTCCCCGTTCCTCCCCCGATTTCCCCCCTTTCTCTCCCTCGTCCAGCGGGCAAGCTGGTGCGCCTAAGCGAGGCGGACAGCCCGAGCGTGGCGGTGCACATATGCGACCGCGTGCTGCCGTACCTCGAGAGTCTGCAGGACGTCAGCGATGATGCGGGGGTAAGTCGCCTTGTGGCGGTGAGTCGCTTGAGACGTGAGACGTGCGGACGAGCTGGGAGAGGTGAGGCTTTAAGCATAGCGGTGAAGCTGTAAGCATGGCGGTGTACATATGCGACCGCGTGCTGCCGTACCTCGAGAGCCTGCAGGACGTCAGCGACGACGCCGGGTCGTGGGGGCTTTATTTATGGGGCGTGGGCGTCAGTCGCTTTAGACGTGAGACGTGGGAGCAAGTGGCTTTAGACATGAGCATTCTAAGAGGTGCGGCTTTAGACATGAGGCGTAGGACAGGTGTGGCTTTAGACAAGGGCGGCGCCATCCTCGTGCGAACCCTTCTTACCTCCCTTTTCACATCCCCTAGAACCCGTTTCGTGCCTCGCCTATCTCCATTCCTTCCTGTCCCCACCCGCCCAGCTGCCATCCACGGTGCACGTGATCAAGAACGAGGACAAAGGCGCCGCCATTCTCGAGGCGGCGCAGAAGCTGGAGGCGACGCACGTCGTGCTGGCCAGCATTCCCAACAAGCCCATCGGCGAGTGAGTTGATTGTTGAGTTGAGTTGAGTTTTGATACATGTCAAAACTCTGGGTTAGTCAATCAGAGGTGGCGCAGAAGCTGGAGGCGACGCACGTCGTGCTGGCCAGCATTCCCAACAAGCCCATCGGCGAGTGAGTTGATTGTTGAGTTGAGTTGAGTTTTGATACCTGTCAAAACTCTGGGTTAGTCAATCAGAGGTGGCGCAGAAGCTGGAGGCGACGCACGTCGTGCTCGCCAGCAAGCCCAACAAGCCCATCGGCGAGTGAGTCATTTTGTAGTCGAGTTTTGAGAGAGTCGAGATTTGAGAAGTGGAGCTGTAAGACATCTTGACACTTAAGCCGACTCAAAGAGAGTAGCGTAGAAGCTGGAGGCGACGCATCGTGCTCGCCAGCATTCCCAACAAGCCCATCGGCGAGTGAGTTGACTCCTGAGTCGAGTTTTGAGACATCGTAAGTTAGACTTGAGACGAGCTCAAACATAAACGGGGCAGAAGCTGGAGGCGACGCACGTTGTGCTCGCTAGCATTCCCAACAAGCCCATCGGCGAGTGAGTTGATTCCTGGGTCGGGTTTTGATACATGTCAAAACTCTGGGTTAGTCGATCAGAGGTGGCACAGAAGCTGGAGGCGACGCACGTGGTGCTTGCCAGCATTCCCAACAAGCCCATCGGCGAGTGAGTTTATTTCTTAGTCGAGTTTTGAGGCGTCTCAAATCTTGAGTTGACTCAATTAGAGGGGGCGTGAAAGCCGGAGGCCAAAACCGTCGTGCTCACCAGCAATCTCAACAAGCCCATCGGGAGTGAGTTGACCGTTGAACGCAGTTGACCGCTGAACAGAGCCAAAGTGATGTCATTTCATTCCCGTTGCACGATGTGTGTTGTCTTGCGCCGCGCCATGCCATCCAGTCAACAAGCCTCTGGCTCTCGCGCTCCTCTCCTCCTCTTCCCCCTTTCCCAACGCATGCCCTGCATGCCTTTACAACACCATGCGAACCACACCCATCACCCACCAACAGTGCACCACCATCCTAACAACCCTGCGTCACACCCCCTTCCCCCTTTTTCCTTCCCCCCACATGATGGCATGGCAGGTGGAAGACCATCAATGTGTGCGCGAGGGAGGAGGTGCTGCCGCCCGGCGCGACGCTCTATGTGGTGCAGAGCGGCAAGAAGCTCAAGACCGTGCAGAGCAAGGAGCAGGCGCCTGAAAAGGTGAGTCTTACGTGCTATTCGCCTTCTGAAACGCCGCAAAGGTCACTGTTTGTGGTGCAGAGCGGCAAGAAGCTCAAGACTGTGCAGAGCAAGGAGCAGGCGCCCGCCAAGGTGAGTTCCTATTCGCATTCAGCTTTTCAAACGTCTCAAAAGTCTCTCTTTGTGCTGCGAAGCGGTGCAGAGCGGCAAGAAGCTCAAAACCGTGCAAAGCAAAGGACAGGCGCCCGCGAAGTCCAATCCTCGCCCGTGCTCTCCTCCTGCTACCAGTCGTGCGTTGCATTCACCTGCGCTTTCCTCCCATGCCGCTCATCCCCCCCCCACCCCCCCCCCCCCAGCCGCACACCCCGTCTTTCCCCCGTCCCATCCCGCCTCTCCTCCAGCTGGAGTGTTCCATGGCATGGCATGGCACGGCATGGCATGGCATGGCATGGCATGGCATGGCATGGCCCTCTCTCCACCTCCCACGCTCCCTCTCACCAATCCCATCCCCTCCCCGTCAATTTCTCTCCGTATCCTCCCCCCATCCCAGCCCGCCCCTCCCCCAGCGCGCGTGTTCCACGGCACAGCTCTCAACAAGAAGCTGCCAGACATCCAGGAGGGGGGCAGCGCCCTCCTAACTCCTCAGATCACTCTCGCACATCTCCTCCTCTTCCCCTTCTCCCCGCCCCAATCTCCGCCCATCCCAGCCCGCCCCTCCCCCAGCGCGCGTGTTCCACGGCACAGCTCTCAACAAGAAGCTGCCAGACATCCAGGAGGGGGGCAGCGCCCTCCTAACTTATCAAATCACTCTCGCACATCTCCGCCTCTCCCCCCTCTCCCCGCCCCAATCTCCGCCCATCCCAGCCCGCCCCTCCCCCAGCGCGCGTGTTCCACGGCACAGCGCTCAACAAGAAGCTGCCAGACATCCAGGAGGGGGGAAGCGGTATTCAGGACGATGCAGAGGCGCAGGGGGGCAGCGGGGCAGTGGACGGGGAAGGGGACGCGGACGCGGGAGGCAAGGAGGCTGCAGCAGAGGGGGAAGCGGAGGGGGAAGGGGCAGGGAAGGCGGAAGCGGGGGCGGCGGAGGGGGGAGGGGAGGGTGCGGGGAAGAACGAGGAGGGACTGTCCGCGCTGGAGCTGGCGAGGCGGGCATATGCTGCCAAGGCGAAGGCTGCTGCTGGGGCAGGTGGCGGGGGGGGAGGGTCTGGGGGCGTTGCGGCAGCCGGGGCAGCAGCAGGAGGCGGGGCAGCAGCGGCAGGGGGGGCGGCGGGAGCGGGAGTGCCACCCAAGGACCGACCGAGGAAGAAAAAGCCATCGGCTGGCGCCAAGGTTGGTTGCTTGCACTGCCTTTCTGTGCTCGAGTGTTGTCAGGTGCAATAAATATGGAAAACCAAATTATACATACACAGACACACACAGATGGGAGGGGGAGTGCCTCCCAAGGACCGGCCGAGGAAGAAAAAACCCTCGGCTGGCGCCAAGGTTGGTTGCACTGCTTTCCTGTCCCGTGCTAGATTGGAAAAAGACAAATAGAAGCAGAACATGACTACAAAGAATGTTTTTATCCCGTGTCCTGTCCCACGGTAGACTGGAGCATTATAGCGTACATCTCAGAGCCTGCCCCTAAATTTTCCACGTACCTTCGTCTGCAGACGCGCCTGGAGACGACGATGGGTGAGAGGGAGCTTTGGTATGTCAAGAGCCTGCTCGCGAGGCCTCTGCACGTGGTGGAACCCTCCCACTCTCACCCAATGCCCTTGCTCTCTTTCTTTTTCCCCTTAATCACTGCCCTCCCCACCACAGGCTCGCCTGGAGAAGAAGATGGCAGAGCGCGAGAGCTCGTCCGGGCGCAAGGTCCCCTCGGACAAGAACCCGCTCACGAGGCCGCTGCAGGTGGTGGAGCCCGCAGTGGTGGTGGAACCGTCCCACTCACACCCAGTTCCCTTGCTCCCCTCCCCACACCAGGCTTGCCTTGAGAAGAAGATGGCGGAGCGAGAGAGCTCCTCCGGGCGCAAGGTCCCCTCAGACAAGAACCCGCTGACGAGGCCGCTGCAGGTGGTGGAGCCCGCAGTGGTGGTGGAACCGTCCCACTCACACCCAGTTCCCTTGCTCCCCTCCCCACACCAGGCTCGCCTTGAGAAGAAGATGGCGGAGCGAGAGAGCTCCTCCGGGCGCAAGGTCCCCTCAGACAAGAACCCGCTGACGAGGCCGCTGCAGGTGGTGGAGCCCGCAGAGGGCACACAGCGACAGCCGTTCCGCGAGTTCACTTTGGAGGAGCTGCAGGCGGCCATCGAGCACTTCTGGCCGAATCATGTGTGCGGCGAGGGCAGCTATGGCGTGGTGTATAAGGGCATGATCGACGGGCAGACCGTGGCTGTGAAGCAGCTCAAGAACCCCGATGTGAAGGCTGCTCTTGATGAGATCGACAGGGAGGTGCGTTGCGGTTGAGTAGGGTGCAGCCTGCAGGTGGGACTGGTGGTGGGGCACGGTAGAGGGCAGCTATGGCGTGGTGTATAAGGGCATGATTGATGGGCAGACCGTGGCTGTGAAGCAGCTCAAGAATCCTGACGTGAAGGCTGCTCTTGATGAAATGGTGCGTTACGGTGGGGCCCCACAGGCGAGGGTGTGGTTGGGTTGTGGTGGGGTGTGACTCACCGGTGGGGGCCGAATGATTGGCAAGGGTTGATAGACAGGCAGCCCATGGCGTGTCTCTTTCTCCTCAACCCCCACTTCCCTTCCTCCCCCCACCCACCCCCCCTCTCCCTCCCTCTCCCCAAACGCACGGAGCACAGATGGAGGTGCAGAAGCGCATAGACCACCCGAACGCGGTGCGCCTGGTGGGGTACTGCAGGGAGGACCGCTCGCTCGTCTACGAGTTCATGGCCAACGGCTCCCATCCCTCCTGCCTACCTGACCTGCCCTTTCCCCACTCCTTCCACCCATCCCTCTTGCCCTTGTCCCTCCCTCTCCCCATCCACCCTCCGTCCCCCATCTTCTCGCCCCCCTCCCCCACTTTCCCCACCACTGGGCGCAACTGGAAGCACAGATGGAGGTGCAGAAGCGCATAGACCACCCCAACGCGGTGCGCCTGGTGGGGTACTGCAGGGAGGACCGCTCGCTGGTCTATGAGTTCATGGCCAACGGCTCCCTCGAGGACCGCCTGCTCTGCATCGGAGGCGTGCCGCCCCTGCAGTGGCCTGAGCGCTGCCGCATTGCCATGGAGGTGAGCAACTGGGGGTTGCAGAGTGGGAGGGTGTGCATTGGGGGCGTGCCGCCGCTGCAGTGTCCCAAGCGCTGCCGCATCCTCCCCACCTTCCTCCCTGCTTCTTAAACTTGGAACCAGATCGCAGCAGGCCTGCAGCAATTTGCTCACGCGCAAGCCGCCCATCGTGCATCGCGACGTGAAGCCGGCCAACGTGCTGCTGGACGGCCACTTCACCGCCACTCACTCTTTCCTTCCTTCCTTCCCTGCTTTCCCCCTTTCCTGGTTCCCCTGTTCCCCTCTTTCTCCCTTCCCTCCCTCTCCTTCATCATCCCCCCTCCCTCACTCTCCCACGCTCACCAGATCGCAGCAGGGCTGCAGCACCTGCACACGCGCAAGCCCCCAATAGTCCATCGCGATGTGAAGCCGGCCAATGTGCTCCTCGACGACCACTTCACCGCCAAGCTCGGGGACGTGGGGCTCGCCCGCCTCATGGGAGACCTCGCTCCCGGCCACTCCCACGTCGTGCGGAAGTCAGTTATCGTGGGGACCGAGCACTATGTAGATCCTGAGTATCTGTGCGCGAGGAGGGGGTATCTCGGGCCGAAATCGGACGTGTATTCGTTCGGGGTGGTGCTGCTGCAGATGCTGGTTGGGGAGGTTCCGAACCTGAAGAGGATCGATGCTATGGTGGAAAAGGAGGAGTTGGCAGTGGTGCTGGATCCCAGGGCTGGTGAATGGCCGCCGAACCTGGCGCTGGACCTCGCGAACCTGGGGCTGTGGTGCGCGGAAATGGACCGCCGAGATCGGCCGGATCTGACGGAGGAGGTGATTCCTGCGCTGATGGATATTTGCGAGGCGGCGGCCGATGCGGTGGTGGAGTGGGAGGCGAAGCAGGAGGCGCAGAAGGAGAAGGAGAGGCTGGAGAAGGAGGAGAAGGAGAAGGCTGAGAAAGAGGCGAAAGCGCGGGCTGAGGAGGAGAAGAAAAAGAAGCAGCAGGCAGAGGAGGAAGCTGCTAAGAAGGCCAAGGAGGCAGCTGCTGGGGCTGGGGCGAGCGAGGCAGCGGCAGCGGGGAAGAAAGCGGGGGCAGCGGGAGCGACGGCAGCACCGTCGAATGAAGCGGCGAAGGGCGGGTGCTGTACCATTTCGTAACGCTGTTGCGATTTGCAGCGAAGGGTGTGGTGCAGTGGTTCACGAAATAAATGGCTGGAAATGAGGGAAGTGTAGGTGGTAGCAGTTCCAACCATGCCTTAGCACGACAAATACTATGCTGCCTCTCATATTGGGTAAGGGGGGTTATGGCATAACACTGGTACGATTAACTAGCTGATGTAGGAGTCAGGTTGAATTTATTAGAGTACAAGGTGTGTGGTTGTGTAAATGTGCTAGGACATTAGGATTTGCTGTTAGGCAGGTGTTTTGTTGTGGTAGAATTGACCATGTGTAGATGGTACTTCTTGCCTTAAAGCATGCTAACTAGGCAGTACCTATGTGATCTTGCACTCCCAACCGCAGAGGCTCTTATCGAGTTCAGAGACAATTACCTCAGCGGTGCAACTGCGACCTGCTTTCACTAGCCAAGCGAAGAGCGTCACTCCGAGATCGACCACCGTCTCGCAGCGAGCGTCGCCGCATCCGCCGCTAGCCGTTTCATTCCCGCTCACTCCCCGCGACTCGCTGCACTGTCCGCATCCACCGCTCTTGCCGCCGCCATGGCCGCCGCGCTCAACCGCCGCGGCTTCTCCCTCGCGCGCACGGCGCTCCCGCAGCTCCGCGCGCTGACGACCTCCGCGCAGCGCTCCGCAGTGGGGAAGGCGGAAGCGGCGGAGGTATCCGGCATTCCCAAGGAGCAACTCCAGCGGAAGGTGCGGCTTCGGAGATCGTGGCCCTAATCGCGGGGGGGTTCGGGATGGGTGGTAACAGGAGCTAGTTCGCGTTATGCTTATATCGACCCGCTTCGTCCGCTCGGTACAGCTGCCTCGCGCGGATCGCGCCGACCATCCAGCGCCAACGTCGTCCCCGTTGCCTCCCCCTGCCGTTTCTCCCCCCTCTCCTTCACATCCCCGCGCGCCCGTCTCCTCCCATCACCCTTTGGTTTCCGCGCTTCCGCGGCTGCGTTGCTGACGTGGCGGGGATTTTTTTGCAGGTGGTGGTGTACAGTCCCGCGCGAGCCGCGTCGCAGCAGGGCATGGGGCGGCATGGACAGTGGAAGATCCGATTTGATACCACGCAGAAGTGAGATTCAGTTCAGGCTGTTGTTTTTTTGAAAATGATTTGATGCGCATACCCACTTCGGGTATGCACTTATCGTAGCACATGTTTGTTCGCACGTATGTGTGCATGTTGCCGTGTGCTCTGTGTCTCTTGATTGCATCTCTGTGTGCTGTAATGTGCATGTCGGCATGCATACACATGGGAGAACCCCCTGATGGGGTAGACATCAATGGCAGACCCCATGGCATGTGTGGCTTGCTCCGCCCTTCCCTTCCTTTAAGTTTACTCTACCGTGTTGTTCTGCATGTGTTCATGCATGTGTGCATGCAGGTGGGAGAACCCCCTCATGGGGTGGACGTCAACAGCGGACCCCATGGCATGCGTGGCTGACTCCGCACTCTCCTTCAACTCCAAGCAGGACGCCATTGACTTTGTTGAACGCCACGGCTGGCAGTACCAGGTACGTGGGTGGCAGTAGTACTGTGTGTCTGGTAGTACCACACTGGGTATCTGGCAAATCTTGCCCTCTCCTTCCACGCCAAGCACAATGCTGTTGACTTTGCTGAACGCCACGGCTGGCACTACCAGGTATTGAACGTCGTTTTCATTGCGCTATCACGCTTTCTCGTTCCATTCCCTTTGTGAATGTACGTGTGGTGTTTTTGAGACGTCTCAAATGTTGTGTGCCATGGCTGGCGAGTCTCTGCCCGGAATGATATCTTCTTTTTCATTTCCTCATGTCGCCTCTGTGTTTCCAGGTCCTCGAGCCGCAGAAGCCAATTAAGAAGGTAAAACTGCATATGGTTCACGCTGCAATCCTCTCTTTTCTAAACCTTACGATCCATTGCCCATTTTCCCGCATACATGCTTGCTTGCTGCTACTTGTACTTGCAAGATTCCATGCCTTCAAGGCCCACCTCTAGCATGCATACTCATGGAGTGCGTTCTTTCTTTCCCTCCATGCAGCCCAAATCATACGCGGACAACTTTCGCTGGAGAGGCCCTGCCACTTCGGACAAGCAGACTTCGTAAAAAGCTACAAATTCTATGTTTTACGTTTTTATTGTTCACTTCATTCCGCTGTAGGTTATCGAGTTGCTATTAGACCTTTTCCTACTGTATAATTGTGTGCACTGTAGCGCATAGCTCTGCACCGCACGTTTCGAAGCGCCTCCGCTACAAGCACCACCGCTCACAAGAGCCCAGGGCAGGTCTTGGTGCGGCTGGTTCTGAATCCTGATTGGCCACATGGCGCTGCTAGCGCCCCCGCTGAATACAGTATTGCCCCGCTTGCGATTCGGGGGCGAACTTCTCCCCCAGTCAGGCAAGGCGCTGATTCTTCCCTCCCCCGCAGTCACGACCACCCTTCCCCTGCTTTACCTTCCGCCTCGAGATTAGCGCCTCTACTCCGCCTCGCTTTACCACCCACCTAATTCGCGCCGCCCTTCCACTAGCCGCCGCGCAACGACGAACCCTTGCAGTGATCGCGCGCAGTTAGTGCATTGCACCTAGTTCCTAGTCTTGGAATATCGTTTGTTGCTCCGCGATTGCATGTGGCCTTCACTACGCCGTCCCGCTTACGCAGTATTAGCAGTGCCAGCCGAAGTCGGCACACAACTATAGATTGTACCCAATTATTCGCTGCCTCAACCTCGACGCATGTAATGCGATTCGAGTAAGATAGCCTCAGGTGGGCACGCGTGCAGCACGCGCCATGGCCGGCGTGAGTGATAAGCTTATTCGATAATAACTGCCAAGTCCGATTATGCTTTCGAGGGCGCTATCTTGACTCGAGTCGCAGCCTTTAGTTGTCGCGTTCGTCGCACAATGGACCGATTAGAGAGCTTCGCGTCGTTACGCTCGTTTCAGTGTCGTCGTCGAATTGCGCGTGCAAGGGTCTCTCATAGATTAAGAGCCTCGACATTAGTTACGTAGTTACTCATCGCTTGTCGCAGCATCTTCAGACATTAATCGCTGACCTGAACCACTCGCCAGCATGGCTGACGTGGCAGCGGCTGGGTCCCACGGCAAGCCAAGTCAACGGAAACCGTCTCGGCCCCGGCAACACCTCGTTGCCGGCTCGCCGCGATTTCGCCTTCGCCGCTCGCTCCATTCCCTCCTCCTCCCCCTCTTCCTCTCCGCCGCCTTCTCCCCCGCCCCCCGACAAATCTCCGCAAAGGCGCGCTTGCAAGGCGACCAATGCGCGCTGCTGGCGGAGCAGCTGGCGGCGACCGCGCGCGTCGTCCCCGGGACCGCCGGCGTGGGTTTCGCGACGCCGTCGCAAACAAAGGACTGCCTCCGCTCGTTCCGCTTCGTCGCGTCGCGCGACATCCCCGTTATAGACTCGATCATCAACGGTCTGGCCAGCTTCTACGTGTACAGACACATCGCGGTTAACTCCCCCGACCCGTGTCTCCCGAGCGACGTCGACATAGTATCCTACCTGCGCGCGATTCGAGAGAAGGCGTTAGCGGGGAAGGGGATCAAGAGCCTGATGCGGTTCCAGACATTAATCTACCGCGCACTAATGAGTCTTAACGACGGCCACACGATGTTCAGCTCCGCGTGCTTCCACCGAACCGCGTCCTACTACCTCCCGCTGCCGCTCGTCGCCGTCGTTGAGGATGGTAACCAGATCATCCGCGTCGCGCCGTCCTCGCGTGAGTGGCGGCCTCCCGCTCTTTTCCCCCCATACCCGCTCTTTCATTCATGATTCCCCTGTTCCTCGCCCCCAGTTCCCGCCATCCCAGACCTCCCATTGCCCCTCAACCCACTTCTCCCCCCCCCCCCCCCGCTCCCCCATTCCCCCTCAATCATCCCCCTATTTCATCCTCCCCCCACCCCCTTCCCTTCCCCCTCCCCTCCTACCCAGTACTCCTTCAGGGCTTAGACGTGGCACCGCTGGTCCTCCATCAGTTCGACTACTACCGGTACGAGGGCGCGCACGTGACGACCATCAACGGCGCCCCTTCTCCTCACCGTGCCCCACCTTCCCCCTCATATCTGCACCCTTTCCCCCTCATTCCCCAGTCCTCCTGGAAGGCTTGGACGTAGCAGCGTTGGTCCTCCACCAGTTCGACTACTACCGCTACGAGGGCGCGCAGGTGACCACCATCAACGGCGCCCCCGCAATGGACTACCTGCTGGAGTGGGCGGGGCGCTACGTGGGGCGTGCGCTTCAACCTGCTGTTTTCCCCCTTTCCCCTCCTCCCGTCCCCCCTTCCGCAGTGCTACTAGAGGGCCTAGACGTGGCGGCGCTTGTCTTGCATCAATTCGATTATTATCGCTACGAGGGTGCTCAAGTCACCACCATGAATGGTGCCCCCGCAATGGACTACCTGTTGGAGTGGGCGACTTTTGAGACGTCTCAAAAGCTGGGCACCGTGACAGGAGTTGCCACTCACTCCGTTTCTTTCCCCCCTCTTTCTGTCCGTTTCCACTCCCCCAGTGCTGCTAGAGGGCCTAGATGTAGCTGCGTTGGTGCTCCATCAGTTCGACTACTACCGCTACGAGGGCGCGTAGGTCACCACCATAAATGGCACCCCCGCCATGGACTATCTGTTAGAGTGGGCGGGGCGCTACGTGGGGCAGTACCGCGATGCGGGCGTGCGCTTCAACCTGCTGTTTTCCCCATTTCCCCTCCTCCCGTCCCCCCTTCCGCAGTGCTACTAGAGGGCCTAGACGTGGCAGCGCTGGTGCTGCATCAATTCGATTATTACCGCTATGAGGGCGCGCAGGTCACCACCATCAACGGCGCCCCCGCTATGGACTACCTACTAGAGTGGGCGGGGCGCTACGTGGGGCAGTACCGCGACCCTGGCGTGCGCTTCAACCTGCTCTTTGCAAGGCGGGTTGTGTCCAAGGCGACGGGCGCGGTGATTGCGACTCAGGGCGCGTTCGCACAGCGGAGTCTTGCGCCGACGAATGACAGTGTTGTGGTGGAGCTGCTGCTGGCGTGAGTGGGGGGGTGGGGAGGCGTGGGGAGGGTGGGGGGGAGGGGTGGGGAGGGTGGGGAAGGGTGGGGAGGGGTGGGGTGGGGAGGGTGGGGAGGGGTGGTGTTGGTTTGCAGTTGGGTATGGGTATGGGGCAAGAGCCGTCTTGCACAGAGGAGTCTTGTGCCGACAAATGACAGTGTTGTGGTGGAGCTGCTGCTGGCGTGAGTGGCGGGGGAAAAGAGGGAGGGGTGGAGAGGGGTGGTGGTGTTTGCAGCAGGGTCTGGCATGGAACATGGGAGTATGGGGTATATTGGCATGGGGTGAGGGCCGTCTCGCACAGCGGAGCCTCGTGCCGGCAAATGACAGTGTTGTGGTGGAGCTGCTGCTGGCGTGAGTGGGGGGGTGAGGAGGGGTGGGGTGGGGTGGGGTGGGGTGGGGAGGGGTGGCGTAGTGTTGTTTGCAATGCTGCATGGGGCAAGAGCCATGTCGCACAGCGGAGCCTTGCGCGCATGGCAGTGTTGTAGTGAAGCTGCTGCTGGCGTGAGTTGGCAGGGGTAATTACCATTACCATTACCACTACCATTACCATTACCATTATCATTACCACTACCATTACCATTACCATTACCGTTGCCACTACTATTACCAATACCATTATCGTAACCATTTCCATTATCACTACCATTACCATTATCATAAACATTATCATTACCACTATCATTACCATTATCATTACAATTACCATTTTCATTACCATTATCATTATCATTACCATTACCATTACCACTACCATTACCATTACCATTACCATTACCATTACCATTATCATTACCACTACCATTACCATTACCACTACCATTACCATTACTATTGCCACTACTATTAGCAGTACCATTACCATTATCATTACCATTACCACTACCATTACTATTACCATTATCATTACCATTACCACTACCATTACCATTATCATTACAACTACTATTACCATTACCATTATCATTATCATTACCATTATTACCATTACGATTACCATTACCACTACCATTGCGACTAATATTACCAACACCATTATCATTACCATTACCATTACCACTACCATTACCATTACCATTACAATTACCATTACCATTACCATTACCATTACCATTGCCATTACCATTACCACTACTATTAGCATTCTCAGTACCATGCACTCACATTCTCCTACTCCTTGTAGCCCTGTCTGCCCCTACTCTCAGTGACTTTCTCTCTCCACCTCTCCCTCTCCCCTCCCCATGACAGCACGAGTGCCACACCAGTGCAGGTGACAGTACCCTGGGTGGCAGTGCTACCGACCAATTTCGACTCTGCCGCCTCCTACTGGACGGCAAACTGTCCGCGCTCTCAGCTCTTTAAACCTCTTTCCTCTCTCCCCAACTCTCTGCTTCACTCCCCCCCCATCACAGCACGAGCGCCACGCCAGTACAAGTGACAGTACCGTGGGTGGCGGTGCTGCCGACCAATTTCGACTCCGCCGCCTCCTACTGGACAGCAAATTGTGCCATTCCTCGCCAACGCACCGCTTCGGCTGCTTCTGCTTCTGCCTCTGCTACTGCAGAGGCTGCGTCTGCTGCTGCTGGAGGAGGCAGGGGAATAGGGGCAGCGGGGGGTGTTGTGGGGGCACGCAGCAGAGGAAGGGGGGAAGAGTTGGCGCTGATAGCAGATGGGGGAAAGGGGGGGAATGCTGGGGATGAGGAGGAGGAGTGGGAGGGGGAGCGGTGGGGGGAGAGGGAGCGGGGGGAGGGTGGGAGGGGGAAAGGAAGAGGGGATGGGAGGGTGAGGAGGCCTGGGCCTCTATTGAGTGAGAGGCTTAAGAAGCGAGCTCGGGGCATGGGGGCTTGGATTGCAGCGAGCACAGCAGAGAGCACCGAGGGAGCAGAGGGGACAGAGAATACAGTTGGGACAGAGGTGACAAAGGGTGCAGTCGTTTCCGAGAGTGCAGAGCACACAGACGATGCTGCTGCAGGGAACGGATCAGCTAGTAGCACTGAGGGAGCAGTGGTATGGGGCAGCAGTCGCGCGGGGATGGGAGACAGCAGCAGGGAGAGAGCGTGTGGATGGCCCACTCTGGCTGTGGAGTTCCCAAGGCCTGATCTGGAGCCCCGCTCCTCCCTGCTCCGCCCCCCTCCCCCTCCCCCTGCCGCCCCCCTGCTGCTCCGCTCCCGATACCAGGCAGCAGCAGCTGCTGCTGAATCTGGTCAGTCTGCTGCCTCTGCTGATGTTGCTGCCGGTAAGGGGCGTGCCTCGTCAGCGCCAGCGCCGAATGACCTGGCGGGGGCGCAGAAACTGTCCACGTCATCAGCGCTGATTCCTGTGAGTGCTGTGTGCTTGGGTGCACGTGGTGGTGTAGCATACGAGTGCTGTGACCATAGCGGTAACATGCGGCACACTCTTGAGTCAACTCATATGCATGACAGCATAAGCAATGACAAGCATCGCACTTTTGAGTCGTGCATATGCTGGCCACTGCACCTCCTCCCCCGGGCCTACCTGTGACAGCAGACAACGCTGCGGCAGGCACGTGCCTGCACACCTTGCTCCATGCCACTTCATCTCATCTGAAACCAACACATGATCCTCTCTCCTCTCCCTCGTCCTCTTCTTCTCCCTAATATCCCCCTCACTTCTGCCCTCCCCTCCCCCAGGTCTACCTGCTACCAGACAACGCCACGGCGGTCATCTGCCTGCACACCTTCCCTCTGGCCACTTGCTCTCGCTGAAAACATTGGTGCCACCAACAACACGCTCCCTGCTCCTTCTCACCCACTTTCTCTCCCTCCTCCTCTCCCTCTCTTCCTCCCTCCCTCGCTTCCAACCTCCCCCAGGTATACCTGTTAGCAGACAACGCCACAGCAGTCATCTGGCTGCACACATTCCTGCCAGCATTGGACGGCTCAGATGAAGCCCTCATCGCCTTCCTGCTCACCGAGATCTCCACAGCCGTTGATCTCGCCAACCAGTGAGTCTCAAAACCTTCTTTCCCAACGTTGTGCTCAGTGCTCGTTCTCCCCATTTCACCTCTTCCTTCCCCTTCCCTCCCCCACACCCCCCTCCAAAACACCTCTCACTCTCCCCCCGACTACCACCCCCAGTCAACCCCAGCCACAGCAAACCAGAGCTCCCGAGAGCGAGTGGTGCCAGTCGTTGCTGCCCCTGCCCTGCTGCCCGCAATTCCTCCCTTGTCCTTCCTCCTGGCGCCTTCCTCCTCATCAGTCCTCCCCTTCCTCCTCACCGTTCCCCACATGTGCTCATCCACGTTCGCATTTCCTCCCCAGGCAGGCACGGCAGCCGAATCATCATGGACGTGAGCGGCAACGGTGGGGGCTACGCAGACATAGCAGACATAGCTTCTGCGCCTCCCTGCCGTGGTTGGCAAGCGGAAAGCTTACACTCCCTGCCCTTTTGCCCATCTCCTCCAACACGTGCTTCCCTCCTTCCTTCCCCCTTCTCCCTCCAGGCATGGCACGCGGCATGGTACGCAGACATAGCCTACCTGCTCCTCCGCCTAGTGGCCAGCAAACGAAAAGCCCTGCCTCTTTCCCCCTCCCCCCACTCTTCCCACTCTTCCTTCCCCCCTCCAGGCACGGCACGCGAATCATCATACGTGAGTGGCAACGGTGGTGGCTACGCAAACATCGCATACCTCATGCTCCTTTCCCTTCACCCCCCACTCTTCCTTCCCTCCTTCCTTCCGTCTTTTCCCCCCCAGGCACGGCACGCGCATACTAATGGACGTGAGTGGAAACGGCGGGGGCTACGCAGACATAGCATACCTCCTCCTGCGCCTCGTGGCCGGCAAGCAGAGAGCCCCCAAGGGCCGCGTGCAGATGCCACAACAACTCCTCATCTCCAATGCATTCATGCTCTCGCTGCTCGACAAGCAGCTCACCTCCTTCTACCAGTGGGACAAGTACGTGAGGGTCGACGAGACCACGCCCGTGAAGAGCGCGCGCGATTTCAAGCCGTTTCAGGAGGAAAAGTTTTCGCAGGACGGGCAGCCCGGAGTGTACTCGGATTTGTTCAAGCTCGCCACGTTTCCCGGGCTCGAGAAGGTGCCGTTTCGCGGGCCGGTGTTTGGGACCTGGCCGCTCGTTATAGTCACAAACGGCAACTGCTTCTCAGCCTGCGCTATATTCACGCATAATCTCAGGAAGCGGTTCGATGTGAAGCATGTGACCGTAGGGGGGGTTATGGGTCAGCCCCTCGGGATCAGCGCGTCATGCATGGGAGCCACGATGCCCTCTCTAGAAACCGGAGTGACTAACTTCCTAACAGGGACAAAACTCGCCGACCACCCGCGCGCGCCGAAGCCGTTTCCCTATAATGTGGTTCAAGGGGTGGCGGTGGTGCAGGGGTATGTGGAGGATAAAGTGCCGTGCGAATATGTTTTTCTGCCCGGGGACCAGCATGTTGAACTGACCATGGATAAGGTGGCAAACCCTGCTCTTGTGTGGACAGAGGCCTCCCAATACTTTTAATGCGATATGCTTTTATTCACCAGCAGTTGTTACCCGTCCCGGCCTGTCTTATAGGCGCCTCAAAAGTACTCTAGGCGCGCTGCCGCATTGGTATGGCACTAACAGCCATTTCATGGTTCATCTCAACCCAGCACTTTCGAAATTCTACCCACCTATCGTACTTCATCAGCATGCAGTGGGCTGCCATGCTACTCGTCTACCCATGGCCTGGTCCAGGCGGATGCCATGCAGATAGCATGGCAAGGGCACTCTTGGGATCAGCGCGTCGTGCATGCTGCTTTTTCAACTCTTGCATGTCATTACTTTACCAGCCTTCCTTGAAATCACTTTCTGGTACGGTATTCCTCTTTTCTGGTTGGACTACTGTCAGGTCAAAACTGGTGGTGCAAGTTGTACAAGAGCATCACAATTCAGTGTCAGAATCTAGCAGCAGGAATGGATGAACTAACAGGATGCAGGAGTACAAGTAGTAAACCCTAATTGGGTTGTAACCCATATGGGCTACCCCACTACAGCCTAAACAATATGCAGCACATACAGTTTGACACACCCCCATAGGCAAAGTGGGGGAGAACAAGGGGTCACACGACCAGTCAAGAGAAGCAAAACAAGCTCAGGGTGGATCACAACGTCACCACGCATTCCGAGCACAAGCAAAAGGCCACAGGGCCAGTTCACATGCAGAGATATATATGCAGCAATAACAGTACAGTGATGGCTACCTAGCAAGAGCCAGCATGCAGGTATATATATAGATCACAGTACAAGCAGAGACTACAGCAAGTGTGGAAACGTAGGCACAAGGCCCAACAGAGTACAAAAGCGCTGATGATCACCAGACGGAAGTGCCTTGGTGAATATATTAGCAGTGTTGGCCCGAGTGGCCACGTGGCGAAGACGAAGCTGGCCTCGCTGCTGCAACTCTCGAGCCAGGAAGTAACGCAGAGCAATGTGCTTCGTTCTGTGCTCCAGTCTGTGCTCCTCACACAAGGCAATGGCGGCCTTGTTGTCGACGTACAGCACTGGAGGAGAACGAGGCTGCTCTCCCAAGTCAGTCAGCAGGTAGGTGAGCCAGCGTAACTCCTGTGCAGCCATGGCTGTGGCGTAGATCTCAGCCTCACAACTGGAGCTGAGAACTGAAGACGAACGTGTAGAACGCCACGAAACTGAGCCAGAGCCAAGGCTGAAGGTGTAACCCTGTGACGACCGCTGAGTAGCCTGGTCGTCAACCCAAGAAGCGTCTGAGTGTCCAGTGAGGACAACTGGGCTCGTCCCTCCAAGCACTAGCCCCATGCCTGATGTGCTGCACAAGTAGCGCAGTACCCTCTTAGCAGCAGCCATGTGCTCAGGTCGGTGCCGGCCAGGAGCCACGTAGCGAGCCAGAAGACCAAGAGGGTACGCGAGGTCAGGTCGAGTGCAAGTCATCAGGTACATGAGGCAGCCGACTAGCTCTGGGTAAGGACCACTCGGCTCTACGGACTCGTCCGAAGGTGGAGCTGAGAGCGCTGCCTCCTGCTGCCTTAGGCCAGCGCGCTGCCCCTAGAGGCCCGTAAGGCCCACGCGCCGCCCCTAGAGGCCCGTAAGGCCCGCGCGCCCCCTCTACACGCCCGTCAGGCCCGCGCAGCCCGCTGCAGCCGCGCGCAGCCCGCACAGAGCCCACGCAGCCCGCGCCGAGCCGCGCGCAGCCCGCTGCAGCCGCGCGCAGCCCGCACCGAGCCGCGCGCAGCCCGCTGCAGCCGCGCGCAGCCCGCAGCTGCCGCGCGCAGCCCGCGCCGAGCCCACGCAGCCCGCGTCGAGCCGCGCGCGGCCTGCTACGGCCTCGCGAGGCCCGCGCGTGGCCCGCAGCAGCCCGCGTCGAGCCTCGCGCGGCCCGCGCGCGGCCCGCAACAGCCCGCGCCGAGCCGCGCGCGGCCCGCTACTGCCTAGCGCGGCCGCGCGCGGCCTGCAGCAGCTCAGCGCGCTGTCAGCGCAGCCCGCGCCGAGCCGCGCGCGGCCCTCTGCCTCGGCCCCGACCTGCCGCTGATGCGGCCCCGCCCTGCAGCTGCCACGGCCCCGACCTGCCGCTGATGCGGCCCCGCCCTGCAGCTACCACGGCCCCGACCTGCCGCTGATGCGGCCCCGCCCTGCAGCTTCCACGGCCCCGACCTACCGCTGACGCGGCCCCACCCTGCTACTGCCACTGAAGCGGCCCCGCCCTGCAGCTGCTTCGGCCCTACTCTGCAGCCGGTGTTGCGGCCCCGACGCCGCCGCTGTCGTGCGCCTACTCGGCCGCCGCCGTCGAGCGCCGGCCCTGCTCGCCCGGTGATCGCCTGCTCTCCCAGCCTTTGGTGAGCGCCTGCCTGCCTGCCTGACGGCCTGCCTGTCTGCCTGCCTGCCTGCCTGGCTGCCTGCCTGCCGGCCTGCCTGCCTGCCTGCCGGCCTGCCTGTCTGTCTGCCCGCCTGCCTGCCTGCCTGCCTGTCTGCCTGCCTGCCTGCCTGCCGACCTGCTTGCCTGTCTGCCTGCCTGCCTGCCTGCCTGGCTGCCTGCCTGCCTGCCGGCCTGCCTGCCTGCCTGCCTGCCTGCCTGCCTGCTTGCCTGCCTGCCTGCCGCGCCTGCCCTGCCCGCGCTACTGCTGCTGCTACTGCTACTGGCAGGTGGCCAGATGCAGCTCCAGCGACGTTCACGCGAGCCTCTCACGCCCCAGCAGCTTAGTGAGTGGTATACTAGCTGGGGTTGTCGCAGTAGCCGTCGTAGCTGTCGCCCTGGAGCTGGTCAGTTGGGAGCGTCTGGCAGTGGCCAGCTGCAGCTGCAGGGGCGTCCACGTGAGACACTTACGCCCCGGCAGCTCCAGGAGTGGTATGCTCAGTGTAGCAGGTCTACGCGTACAGTTCGCTGCCCGTACGTCATTCGCACAGGTGCTAGGACTGGTCAGCCTTGTGGGACGCTTGGTCACACACAGTCCCGCTGCTTCGCCCGTCTGAGCGACGACTGGCGCACAGTGTTTGGCGACGAGGCTGAGCTCCCCACCTGGCTGGAGCTGCATAGACAGAGGGTAGATATCTTTGCGCTTGACTATGATGCTATTCTCACTGCCATGTATGCATTGCCTACTAGTGCTGACCGTGCCTGTTACCTGTGCGTACCGCCTGACCCTGGTATAGAGCCTGCTGCTCTCGGTGCTGGTGAGGCTGCTGCTCTAGGTGCTAGTGCGTCTCCTGCTCTAGGTGCTGGTGAGGCTGCTGCTCTCGGTGCTAGTACGTCTTCTGCTCTAGGTGCTGGTGAGGCCGTGGCTTCAGGTGCTGGTGAGTCTGCTCTCTCTGGTACTGCGCCCTCTGCGGTCTCGCACACCTTCACCCTTGACTCAGGAGCTTCCCGCTCCTTCTTTCGCGACTGCACCACACTCACGCCGCTCAGTCGGCCAGTTCCAGTCTCCCTGGCGGACCCCTCCGGGGGCCCAGTCCTTGCCCACTACTCCACGGTTCTGCCGTGTCCGGCCGTCCCGTCTGGCTTCCTGTCAGGTCTTTACCTCCCCTCGTTCTCTACGAACTTGGTGGCGGGAGCTGACCTCCAGGATGGAGGGGTTCACCAGTTCACTCCTGCGAGTCAGCGAGTGACCCGCTGTACGTGTGCTCGGACGGGCCGACACCTGGCCACGTTTACCCGTGCGCCTGGCTCGAGTCTGTACACACTCACCACTGAGTCCCCTCAGGTAGCTGCGTCTGCGTCTGTGTCTGGTCAGCTGGCGGCCCCCTGCGAGTGTCGCGCTTTGTCGCACGACACTCTCCTGTGGCACCACCGCCTTGGTCACCCCTCCTTGCCTCGCCTGCGTAGCATGCACTCTCGCTCCCTGGTCTCTGGTCTTCCCAGGTCTCTGCCTGCCCTCCCTCCCTCGCCTGCGCCGCCCTGCATTCCTTGCGTCGAGGGGCGGCAGCGCGCCACTCCTCACTCCTCCTCGTTTCCTCCCACAGAGGCTCCACTGCAGACGCTCCACCTGGACGTGTGGGGCCCAGCCCGTGTCCAGGGACAGGGCCGCGAGCAGTACTTCCTGCTGGTCGTCGACGACTACACGCGTTACACCACGGTCTTCCCCTTGCAGAGCAAGGTCCCTGATGTTTTGATCCCTTGGATCCGCACTGTTCGTCTCCAGCTCCGCGAGCGGTTCCGGCGGGACTTTCCTGTCCTCCGTCTGCACTCTGACAGAGGTGGTGAGTTCTCCTCAGACCTCTTGGCAGCCTACTGTGCGGAGCACGGCATCACCCAGTCGTTCACGCTTCCGGCCTCTCCACAGCAGAATGGGGTTGCTGAGCGCCGCATTGGCTTAGTCATGGAGGTCGCTCGTACCTCCATGATCCATGCGGCTGCCCCCCATTTCCTGTGGCCGTTTGCGGTCCGGTACGCCGCGCATCAGCTCAACCTCTGGCCCCGTGTCTCCTTGCCGGAGACCTCGCCCACACTGCTGTGGACGGGGAAGGTTGGCGATGCGTCGCGTTTCCGGGTCTGGGGTGCTCGTGCCTTTGTCCGCGATACCACCGCAGACAAGCTCTCCGCCCGCGCTGTTCCCTATGTCTTCCTTGGCTTTGTCCCTGACGCGCCTGGTTGGCAGTTTTATCACCCCACCTCGCGCCGTGTCTTTGCGTCTCAGGACGTCACGTTCGACGAGTCGGTTCCCTTTTACCGTCTCTTCCCCTACCGCACTGCCCCGCTCCCCCCCCCGCCGCTCTTCCTCGCTCCAGGTGCTCCCCAGGTAGACCCCCTCCCCGCTCCCGGTCCTGCTCCTTCAGGTGTTTCTCAGGTAGACCCTCCTCCCTTGACTGCGCCGGTTGAGGTCACTGGTGACTCAGGTCCTACTGAGGGTGGTCCTGCTCGGGGTGCTACTTCTGGGGGTGCTGAGCCTGGGGGTGCGGAGCCTGGTGGTGCTGAGCCTGGGGGTACTGAGCCTGAGGGTGCGGAGCTTGAGGGTGTAGAGCCTGGTGGTGCTGAGCCTGAGTGTGAGGGGTCTGGGGGTGCTGAGCTTGGCGGT